CCTTGTTGGTTCCTAAACCCTCGCGGGCTGTGGTCGTATGCAGGGGGCCCGAAGGACAGCCTCCACCACGGCGGGGTCCTGGGCCCTGATACACCAGTCGCCCTATAATCCCTGAACCTCAACCTACTTGTCGGGTATCATGGGGAACTAAAGGTCAACCTTTTTGGGTATATAGGGATTATATAAGGACTATACTACCCAAAAAAGGTTAAAGGTTACCTACGCTACTACTAGGTCAAGCACTTTTGACTCACGGAAGCAAATCCAGACGTATACGAGAATTCAAAAATAACAGTTCGGGGATGCAGCGAGCTTCTGTGTTGTGTTGGCAGGGTAATGCGATTTCGCCTGCTCATTCTACTGCGTGTCAGGGGAACTCGACGGATTAGGGGGTGGGGTCTTCCGTGCGAACGTGGTTCTCCACAAATGCCTCCCAGCTGTCATCCCTAGACCATACCTACAGTCTGCACTTTGGTTCTTTTTGGGGGTTACCTTATAGGGGATCCTTAATATATAATTGGTCAATGGAAACTATAGGTAAACCCTAGAAACATCCCTGGCCCGGTTTGCTACTGGACTTCAAGTCTAGCCAGTCTACGACCTGCAATCATCTTGACCGAGGCCCTAAACCCTGAACCCGAAGAATCTGTCCTCGCAGAGTGCTTCAAGACTCCTCCGTGGATTTCGGGCTTTAGAGTTGAGGCTAAGTCTCAGGTGCTTAGAGCTTAGGGTGCTTCGGGTTTAAAGGTTCGGGTTTGGGAACCCCTGAGGCTTTGCAGACACTACTTAGAGGTTCATAAGTAGGTAACTATGGGTTGAGGTTAAGGTGTAGGTGTTTAGGGTTTGGGTTGTTTAGGGCTTCAAGGTTTTGGGTTTAGGACATTTGCGGTTTGGAGCTTTGGGGTTTAGGTGCTGCGGCAACTTCACGAGGTTTGTAAACCTTTATTCGGCCCAAAAGGTCCAAGTTAAGAGTAGGCTATATACTTTTGCGGCCCATATGCCTATGAAGTACCTACTCTAACAATGTATATATATATATATATATATGTATGTATGTATGTATATATGTATATGTATATATATATACACATATATGTAAGTATATATATATATATGTATACATGTATATTGGTACTTGGAGTGTTTGGCAAGGTCTTGTAAACCCTAAATGCTTTAGGTCAGCATTCGCCCGTCCACATGGTAGCTAAACCGTCGACGCTGAAACCCGCACATCGACAAAGGCAAACTTCGCCATTATCCTTTCGAACCCTTCGAACCTTAAGCTTAAACTTGCTTCCATTTTTCCCTAAGCCCTAAACCCTAAACTTGAAGCCATAAGATGTGGGCTTGGGGTTTCGGGCATAGGGCTTAGCATCGACGAGAGGCCGGAACTTCTGCAAAGAGTCTTTGCAGCCGTCCTCCCAGGTCTTTGTGCGGCTTCCTACGGGTCCATGAATCTATTCAGAATATACCTTGGGTTTAGAGGTGTGCCTATGTAGGTACTTGAGTGTATCGTTACACAAACCCTTGGGCAGACAGTCACTTGACAATTTAGGTATGCGAGCATGAGCAACTTGCGAGAGCTGTGTTGCGTGACTGAGGGCGAGACAGCGACATAGACAAAGAAACAAAGAGAGAGAGAGAGAGAGAGAGAGAGACATAAACAAAGAACGACAGAAAGAAATAACGAAACAAATGCAGACACCAGAAAAAATCGACGACCGACATAAAGAAACTAAGAACGAAAGACGGAAAGAACAAGAGTCGAGCTATTTGCGTGAGGTGAGTATGAGCCAACACGGAGGGCCTTCTTGTGAAGCCAGAGGTCGTGGTTGCCAGGGCAGTAGAACACCTTCTGCAACAAACAACAAGTTCGTTGCCATCGAAGTTTGGGGTGCTGGGACCAGCAATTCCGCGGCGATTGTCGTCGTACGTTAAACAAGCGGCAACATCATGATCATATCTAAAGCATGCTAGATCATGCTAGTATTCTGATGTTACTGAAAGCTTGCAGAAAACTTCTTCCTACCACTGTAATTAATTTCAAACTGATCTATTTGATTCAAATCGCGATGTCTTTCGCAACATCAGCTTCAGACAGTCTCCACATGTCCGGGTGAGGTTTCCCGGCCTGCCCCTGCACACCTTTGCCACCCACACCCAGTCACCCTGGAATTTCTTACCTGCACCCTCTTCCCTAAGCAACAAAGCCCGAGCCCTTAAGCTTCAAATGTTGAAAGCAGGGTCTGGGACGTAAAGTTTGAAGGCTTCAGGAGTCCAAACATGGGAGTTTCCGAAAATAGGGGTACCTTATTTAGGGGTCCTTATAATAAGGATCCTACTATTTAGGGTGCTTTATTAGGGTCCCCTATTTTCGGAAACCCCCACATAAACCGCGAATCATGATGGCAGGATCCAGGCCTGGCCAAATCGCTCGAGCACCAGCTGAAAAGTCGTCCGAACGATGTCCGGGTCATTGGACACATCGCCTTCAAAGCCGTACGTATTTTCCTAATACCCATGACCTCTAAGCCCTAGAATAGGCGCCAACCAAACCTTAACCCCCAACACTTAACCGGACAAGCTAAACTTCAAAGTAGTTCATCAACCTTCAGATCCTGAACGGCATTTTACACCACACCGCCTTTTCACACCTTTAGGTGGCGGCGGCGCCGACAGCAACCGCCCCACCACCACCGCCAAAGAAGCAGCCACATCGACAACGGTATGAGTCCCAAGCAGATAGCGAGCACGCAGGAAGTATGGAAACGACGGTCGTGGTGGGTCTTAAATTAAACATCCAGCCAGTGGCAGTAGTCGTGTTTTGCAGAAGGAGAATGAAGGACATGGGCAGCCATTATACAGGGGCCCATGAAACTATTAAAGAATCAGAGCAATGAAAAAACGGACAGCGATATCAAGCTTATGAATTGCTCCTCGTCGTAATGCAGAGAAGACGAAACAAAATCATGCAGAATTCCGGGCGCGCCTGCCAAAAGCAGAATATCGTTGGGCCGCCGGGGCCATTCACGGATGACATCCATGTTCTCCCTCGCCAGGATGTACTCAGGTGGTGGGAAGGGGCACAGTCTTGGGATGGGTACGAGAGAACCCATAGGGTTCAAGCACTTAATAATCATACACTCTCCAAAATCCTAACCTACATAACTACTATCCTAAAACCCAGTACCGAACTATTGGGTCCTTTGGACCCTTGGGGGAACATGTGCTCGCATTGCGATGTAAGAGGCAAAGCACGACACCATCTGCCAGCTCACGTGTCACATGACAGAAGTATACCAAGTTGTAGTAATTCATTGTAGTACCAGTGAAGACACTGAACATTTGGACCTGAACATCTTCATGCACTTCAGGGCCCGCCTCTTGTCCGTATGGATATCCGAGACGGCGTAAACTCCAAACTGCCGTGCCCCCGCCGGGGCAGCATTCGAGACGGCATCCGGGAGGCTGTCGAAGTCGAACATGGCAACAAATACCGGGCTTCTTCAGCCCCTTTAAAGCTGTATAAACCGCCTTTTGGGGGTGGACCTGCAAGAGGGCTCGATGAAGTCCGGCTTTGGGCTTTAGAAGGTGTCTAGTTTGGGCTCTTGGGGGTTTTTGAGGCTTGCATCTTTGCTGGGTTGTGCTTTTAACCCTTTGAAAATTATTTATGAATAGGTTCCCCCTATAAGGAAATAAGGGGAATTAAAATTATCCCAAAGCACAACCCAGTTTGGGTTAGAGTCAGAAGTTCCCCCGCCGAGTACGAAGCTCACGACGATCAGCAAAGCAGGCTAAAGGAGACTGAGCTGGTGGAAAGCCTGCTTTTTGGTTGAGATTCTGCGAAGATGGTTAGGTTTTTTTTTGCACCCTCTTTTCCGTCTGCCCCGAAGGTTAGCAAGATGGTTAGGTTTAGGGTTTAGGGGTTTAGGGTTTTTTGGGTCCTGTAGTATGTCCGCTCTACCTGGAATACTCTGATTCTCAAAGCCGCTGGCAGACATGGGTGAGCTTATGCGTCAGCTGCAGCCAATGGCTCTGGCGACCGTTTGCGAGGCAATTTTCGCTTGCAAGACCACAGCCTTGTTCTAATGCCTCCTGCGGTCTGAAATCACTTCCTTCAGATCATCCCGAAACAGGTGACAGCTCGCAAACACAGATGCTTGGCAGAATGATGCAAAACCTTAGCCTGAAATCTGAAGGAGTAAACGTGTTTTTTCTAGTTCAGCATGCTTCAGAACTGCAACCCTTTGGAATAGTAGTTTTCGAAAATAGGGGACCCTAAAATAGCACCCTAAATAGTAGGATCCTTACTCTAAGGACCCCAAAATGGGGTACCCCGAATCTCAGAAACTCCCTTATCACACAGTGTTGCTCGCTTCTTGTAGACATGCCTAAGGCTCCATGTACCCATATATAGCATATACTTAGGCCTTAAAGCACCTACATAGGGACCCCTTTAAGGCCTAAGTATCTACTATAAAGGTACATGGAGCCTTTGGGCATGCTTGGGTTTGAAGGCGCCAGGTGGGTACGCTGCCTTCTCGTCAGAACGCCGTGCTGCGACCGGCGTGCTTAAACACTCCCGCCTTTTAGGGTTTAGAGCAGTTTAGGTTTACAGCAGGGTACATAGACCTTTTTGGAGTTATAGGGCTTAGCGTATACGTTTTATGGAGTTTAAGCCGACAGACTCTGCAAGAACCCGAGCCCGAAACTCTGCAGCTGGATTTTGGGCTCCAAAAATCCTGAGAGCCCAGAATGAATGACTATGATTCGAATCAAGTATTGGGTATGCTGCAAATGTCCTGAACGCTCGCTTAGGGGCTGAGTACACTGGCCCAAAAAAGGTTAAGCTTCTCAAATATGGTAGGGCTATATAAACCCCAAAACGCTATTATATAAGACCCCCTTCTAGGACCCCTAAAGATCTCAAAAGGAACCACTTGTAGTAACCTTATAGAACCCTTAGAAGGAAGCCACTAAGCTCAACCATGCCAAGCTTCAGCTTCTCCTGCTGCCGCCGCGGGGACTGCGAAGTCAGGAGACACAGTTGAAGCATCTGTCGGTTTAAGGCTGTACGTGCAGCAAGCCCAATAAGGGCACCACAAACCCCACCCCCAACACTTATAATCTTCATCCCAGCATAATTAGGGTGAAAATTAAACCCCAAACTCTTCATCCTAATCCACGCCCAACGGCACCCTTTCAAACCCTAAACTCTCTATACTTTAGGCAGCGGGCATTGCCTGATCGTAGAGGGCGGAGGCTCGAACTGGCACTCTCTGGGAGGTCTCATAATTGCTCGGTTATGAGTCCCTAAGCAGCTTAAGCATCCCAAAGATTCAACATCACCCAAACCAGGTTTTAGGGTTAAGGGTTCCATTGCCGAAACTTCAGAGTATCGGGTCCATAGCCCACGAAGACCTGTCCCCAGCCGGAGCCCTCAAGGAAGAAGCAGTCAAACCTGCCGCTCGACAGTCACGACCTTATGTTCTACAAAATGTGGACCCTGACTCACAACCCCCCCTCCTCCCTTCTTGAACGCTCCGTGTCTCGTTTTTGCTGCCTCCTCCCGCGCTTCCAGGAGCTCTGCATCGAAACCCACGCAGTCGATGGCATCCAGAAGGCTCTCCACAGGCACACCTCCGGGGCCAAGGAACAAGGGCTCATACACGGTATACACGAGTTTGGCATGGCGGACTCAAGTCTGAGGTTTGGGGTTTAGGGTTCGGGGTATATACCCTGAACCCCGAACCTTCATCCCTATACCTATACCTTCACCACTGGTCCATGTACCTCTTGTGTAAACTTTGGCCTCAAGGTAGTTCCTACAGAGCAACTTCGGGCGAGGGCAAGTGTACACCCTGCACAATGCATGGCATGGGTATGGACCACTAGTGAGAGGTTAAAACAAGTTTTGAGCAGAAGTGCATGGATTATTAGAGCTTGAGTGCCAGGAAAGGCCCGTTAATATAGTACCATAAAATTTTAAAATAGTAGGATCCTTATTCTAAGGACCCCAAAATGGGATACCCCGAATCTTCAGAAACTCCCTTACTGGGGTCCCAGTAAACCCCCTTGCATAAACCCCCCGCATTTGCCTTGGTGGGTGACTTCGGCCCTCTTCATGAGGAGATTCACCTGAAGGACTGGCGGCTCCCAGGTCGAAATATTCATTCAAAGAGTAAAAGGAGGGACCCTTAATAAGGACCCCTAGGTATATACCCTTAATATAGCTATTCTATACCCATCATATAGCCCCATTATAAGGTAGGGGTCCCCCTTAAGGGTCCCTCCTTTTCCCTTTTGAGTGGATTGTCATCACTGGCTTTCCCCGGAAGGTTCCAAGGGTGCCACGTAAATGTTACCGATTCTTGATATGTGAGTATGGCTTGCGGGCTTCGTTCCAGTTCAGAGCGTGCAGGGCTTATGGCTTCTAGAATCTGTAGAGTTTTCGGGGGAACGAGCTGAGGATACCTCAAACAGCTAGCTAATCGATTAGCCTACCCTAACGTAGAGGCTCCTGGATGCTGCTATGGGGAGACTTAATGTAGAAGCTCTACAGTCTACCATATCGGTACCCAGGACCCTTGGGGTAACTTCGGCGACTGCCCTTGATGTTCAGAGGAGCAGTCTCAAAGCTACGGAAGCGTGTCAAAGCCTTCGTCGTTTGGCAACTTGTCTGTCTCGTGCTTAGTAGGAAATGGGGGAATGGATCCCTATAGTAGTCCCTCTATAATCCCGAATAGAAATCTCCATAATCCATTCCCCCATTCCCTACTAAGAACCGGACAGTATAGACATCCTGAGCCTTTTGCTTTAAACCTTGGTCTTTCATGAAAGCCATGTGACGACAGGCCCATATGCCCTGACTATAACTGCGGCGGAAACACAAAAGAAAGCCTGAAAGATAGAGAAGCTTCGTAAAAAAAAAAAAACGAGCCTAGGCCCCATGGGCCCAAGATCGAGGGTATAGGGTTTCATATAGGGACCTTAATAATTGGATTGAGGGATTTTTGAGCCCAGCATACTATAAATATTATAAATACCATACCAAAACTGTATTGGCAATTGTTTAGGCCCCTATATTAGGGTTTAGAGTTCGGGTTTTAGGGTACCTCCACGTCCGAGCGACGGAGGCATCGGTCACGCCTTTGACGCCCCGCAAGGCGTTTTCCACAGTAGCCACACAAGCAGAGCAAGTCATGCCTGTTTTTCTTTCGGGCTTAGGCTTTATAGCGCATTGCATGGCTTCGATGAGTTTGAAGTTGTTGAACACTTTCAAGCAGCACTGAAGGGCTTGTGAAGTCTGGAGAACTGGAGGGATGGGCTGAAATTCAGGCAGCTTGCGGTCTGTGATGGGTAGGTCCCGCGAGCTCATGTACAGTTTCTACACCCAATATGGGACTGAAGAGTCTAAACATACTTCGAGCTGGCCATTGATGAATTCAGGAAAATGGCCCTTCTGCAAAAGCTATTCCTATGTCCAAAATCGTTGGACAGCCTGCAATCTCCATGATGCCCTATATGCTTGACCCAATGCAAAACCTCTCGGGACCCCTAAGCGCCAACGTAGAAACCTCAAATCCAGCATCCTGACCTCCACAGTATGACTGCACATCAATTTCAACTTGTCTTTCCAAACCCACTCTCTCGTATCCGGAGTAATTACTCTGCAAACCTTCCGAAAGCCAAGAAAGGCCGCCACCTTCCACCTGAATCGCTGCGATTGCGCCGCCCTTTGCCTCGAGAGCTTCCGGTGCGTAGTCGAGGTGTTCCGTTCCACCCGGATAATAGACTGATCCCCCCAACCCTAAAACCCTAATGTACAGGGTTTGCAGTTCCGGGTTCTGGAGTAGGGCTTCAAAAGCGGCGATGTGCCTGAGTTTCCAGAATTTTTTGACGCTTACACCTGTTTCATATACCTCGGCTACCCGTAGGTGTGGACGTCCCCAGACTCAGCTTCGAAGGCCTTGGCGACGAAATTCCCTGATCCGAATTTACTTCCATCCTGCTCAATATTCTGGGTTGTGCTTTAAGCCCTTTGAAAATTATCTATGAATAGGTTCCCTTTATATACGGAAATAAGGGAAATGAAAAACTATCCCAAAGCACAACCCAGTATTGGATGAGATGAGCCGTACAAAGATGGAAGTCCTGGATCACAAGAGCGAGAACTTGAACCCTGCCCCATTGTCATGCCTCGCGCATGACAAGCTCCTTCTGCAACGTGGCCGGAAAGCCCGCGCAAGACAAGGCGGATGCCAACCTAGGCTGTCTGACTGTGTTCGCCGGTTAGGGCGTTTGGGTTTATATGTCTATATAGGCTCCAGCAGAGTTGTAGAGCAGAGCGCACAAGACGCCTGCAGACAAGCCAAGACACACAAGAGCAACAATATGATACATGACAAAACTCAGCCAGGTTTACGTTGTGCATGTTGCTCGTGTCAGCTTGCGTCATGAACTCAAGGCGCAACAGGACTGGGCACAGCAAGCGAGCAATCGGTACCTTTGTCACATGCCAAACGCCCGTCACATCCTATCCAGCCCGCATCCTGAAAGCCAAAACATGGCCTGCAGCCAACTAGCAGCTACAATGCATCCAGTACATCAAACCTCCATGAAACTCGACAGCACTGCTGAACTTGCCATGGGGTAGACTTCCTACTTAACCCTCCCACCCTCCCCGAATCCCCTATACTGCTCTGGGCGCGATTGCTGGGAAGATGCGCTCTGCTCTGCGACCGAGGCTCTTTTCCGGTGCGTCCGTCATCTCCACCTCTCACTTTGGATACTGGCTCTTAGGGTTTCAAGCGCAGGGCTTGGCTTAGGGGTTTCTCGATTGGGGTTTCGGTGAATAAGAGCTTAGTGTTTAGGATGATGGGTTAAGGGGGGAGCCGCGGTGTGGGATGCAATTGTTTGCATGGTGGTTCCATCAGTCCCTACCAGGAGCTGCTCTTGACGGCTTCAGGCCACGGCCTGTCTCAGGGCTTGGACCGCACAAGGCCTGCAAACTGTCTTGCATTGAGGCTTGTTCGACAGGCAGGTCCCCCAGCCTGAAGCTACCCAGCTTCATCTTACATTTCGTCCCCTCGTCTTCTACTTGTGGCTGTAGAAGATACCCTATACTGAACTTAGACCCCCAGCAAAAAATACAATTTTAGTTGTTTCTTAGGGATTACAATAACAAAAAATAAAAAATATTTCTAAGTACCCCTAAGATACGGTAGAAGAGGAAAGAGAGGACCCTTGCAAGAAAGACCCCGAGCAGGAAGATCCTCGGCAACAAGGACCCTGAATAAAGTACCCTACTTGGAGGTTCATGGGTGCTTATAAGGGCCCCTTAAAAGGGATCTATAGGGATTCTATAAGGGCTTAGGGTTTACGTAGGGTTTAGGGCCTACTTGGAGGTTCATGGGCGGTTATGCGTAGGATTTGTTTAAGCCCTAACATGGCGTATAACTATAGTTAGTAACTCTACTTATAACCCCACTTGTAACTACCCGTGAACCTCCAAGTACTCTGACACCGCCACATCTTCCCCCGGCGCCTCGATCATGCCAAGGAGTTCCTGCAGGCCGATAAGTCTTCCGCCTGCCCCAAGCTTCCAGCGTTTAGGGCCAGTGTAAGGCAAAAGGGTTTGGGTTTAGGGTTTAGGGTTCGAGGGTTTAGGGTTTCGGGTATACTATAGGGGCCTTAATAATTAGAACAGGGCTTTTCGGCCCAGTATACTATGCTATAATGAGGAACCTCCAAATAGTATGGGCAAAGAGTTTCGGATGGCATGAGACCATCCATTGTTGACTTAGGGCTGCAGGCAATACCTGCGCATACCTGCATGATCGTTGTTACCCTGACTGTACCAAACAGCACTAACTTATCACCATGACTTGCATGTTGATACGGCAGTCATCAACCTCAAGTACAATCACCGCCATCACCAGCAGCATCAGCATAGAAATCGTCACGCGTTGCGGCATCATCCGCACTACCATCATCAGCAACATTTCCTGATGAGCGTCATCATCGCCATCATCATGATCATCATCTTCATCATCATCGTCGTGCACGCAACTGCCCTCATCATGGTCAGTCTGCCAGCAGGCATCAGCATGACCATCCTCACCGCTACGCTGAGATGCATTCCCGGCAGCTTACATACGCCTGTGTATGCAGAAGCCACAGTCATGTCGACTCCAGTTGCGCCTACGAACTTGACGACCTCCCCCAACAAGTGCTTCTCGGAGTGATCCAACGTGTGAAGGTTCCTGGGCAGGATTCCTAAACCCTTTTTGCATCCGGTCTACAGCGGCTCTACCGGGTCAAGCTGTTCATGAGGAACGATTCGTCGAAACATATTAGGAATCCTTAACCCTTACACCCTAACCCTAAAACCCTAAACGATTCTGGGGCTGGTGGCTGAGAACGGGTGCTCCTCTCAGTTTCCGGGCCTGAACCAAGCTAGAGGGTAGATTTGAGCAGCTGGTGTCGGATGTTTTGGGTCTCTAGCGTTCAGGTCGGCACCGCCAAAGAATCCGAGGTCAAAACCACAAAGTGTACACAGCCTCGGATCCAGCACAAAGCCCGAGTCCAACACTCCCACTTCACACCCCGGGTATGCGGCCTTAAGCATTGAGTTACATGCTAGGCTTCAAGTGGCATGAATACACAATACCAGTGCAATCGTGCTCTTACTTGGTGCTCATGACTGGTACTATTCTACAAGAGCCTGCAAACAGCAAGGCACCAAATACCCAAATCGTCAGCAACTAGCTCAACAATGGTCATGTAACCAGAGAGCCCAATACCCCTTAATTAAGGAATATGGCTGAAATTATATCGGGCTTCATATTATGATTTAAGGTATATTCCTCAATTAAGTGGTATTGGGCTCTCTGGGTTATAACCCGGTAACCCAGTACTGGCAACTCAAACCCGCAAAATGAGAAACCTCAGACGCCCGCAAACAGCCCTAAACTCCGACTCTTATAGTACCCCTGTAGTAGCCCGTGTAACGACCGTTAAGGTGACAACCATTACAAAATTTTATAGTACCCATGAAGTAGTGCAACCGTTATTAGTGACCCTTATGACGACCCTTAAGATAATAAAACGATATTAGTAGTGCCCTCAATTAAAGCCAAGGTGCGACCCCTAGAGTAACCCGTACAAGGACCCTTAAGATGACAATCACAATCATTCCGCCGAGGGCTCTGGAGCTTGAAGGTGAAGCGCCCCAGGGGTAAGGAGTTTGGCTGTAGGTTCAGAGGGCGGCCTGGGCGGTTTTTGTTTGGTCTCCCGCCTGGCTAGGACGAACCGTCTAAACTTTAGGGGTGGTAGGGTTTAGGGCAGGGCTCAAGGTGTTCTTTATGGCTTATGGGGCTTTACTTCAGCCTTTAGGGTCGGGTGCAAGGTCTTCCTTAGAGCTTGTGGGGTTGAGGACATTAAGGGGCGAGTTTAAATCAGTTTCGGGTTTGGGATTTGGAGACAGGGTGATTTGAATTTAGCATTTGGCATAAACTACTTGTCGGAAGGTTAACCTTTTTGGTTATATAGGGATTATCCTACAGGGCAGAAACCGCCGGGCGAAAGTCAAAGTTCATAGGTCATAGCCCTGGAGGGCCCAAGCACTGCACCCTAAGTCTCATTATACTATAGTTAACTACAATAAGGAACCCACCAACATAGTGTAAGTAATTATTAAGGCCCCTATGTTAAGCATTAAGCCGCAAGTAGCAGCTCGACACCCAGAAGAGGCCCTCGAGTTCAAAAGCTCGGGCAAGCTTTGGGCAGTGTAATCATGCAAAGCCAAGCTTCAGAAGAACACGGACCCCACCATCTGAAGCTTATCATAACGTTATTTTAGACGACCCTTTTCCATCTGCCTGAACGTCCAGAAAGCGGGCTTCTGCTTATCATAACTTAGGGTTTAGGGTTTAAGGTTTAGCGCTATCCGCCTAAATAATTACCCATGCTGTTTTTTGTTGGGGGGGGTCCTCGTTATGGTTGTATTATAGTTATTAAGCCTTATTAACCCCGTATACGACTGCTCCCTTTCAAAATCCGGAAAGTAAGCCAACATCCCCGACAGCAAAGCATCACTTCTGAGGAGGTGTCAGTGGCAGCCACCCTGGGGACAGCGGCACCAAGGAGAACCACACCTTACTCTCAAGACCCATGAGTCCTGCTCCCGTGCCATGAGCATGACGAAGAGTATGATGGTGGTGCTGATGGGGATGATGCTATTGATGCTAATAGCATGTAATCCATTCAGACGAGGTTAGAGGTCGAAAATTCCAGTTCTTTGTCATGACCTTGTCGGTGAAGTATGGTCAAGATATAGAGCACGACTACAAAATTATGGGCTGTATGACGGCGGTAGGAGTACAATGATGGTATTATCAACGTATCTTTGCGGGCACTATAAAGGTTCATTATAGTAGAGGTACATACAAGGTTTCGAGGTTCGGGCTGTGCAGCTGGCTGATGTCCGCGGATGCCACGTCCTCAACTCTTCAGTCTAGTGACCACGCCTGGACGAAATTTAGGGTGTATACCCAGACCCCCAAAAGTAGGTAAAACAATGGCCCAAACCCTACAAAAGGCTGTTCTTCTACATAGTTTGAGGGTCCAGGTAAGTGCTTAGTGTTTAGGGTTCGGCCGCAGGGTGGCTTTGCGTCGGCTAAATTGTGCGCCAGCCCCAAGAAACAAAGCCGCGGAGGTGACTTGGACCCCCGGCTGCTTGCAAACCTGGGCTGGGGTCGGTGTATGATAATATAAACAACTATGTAGATAGAACAAGGAACCCTAAGGAAGCATATCAGAAAATATTCAGATCCCTATAATGCCGTTCTTCAGGTGCTCTTCTGTATGTTCTAGAGTGGCAGCAGTCTGAGCAGTGGTCCTACTACAGGGGTCGACGAACTGGTCATAGTATCCAGGATGCCCTGATGGTCTATATATATATATACACATATATATATATATATATTTATACTAAATAAATAAATATAAATAAATAAATAAATAAATATATATATATATATATACACATATAATTCTACTAAATGATACCTCAAAAACCCTGCTCGAATTAAGGCCGCTGTATTACTTCACCACGAGACTTACAAATGGGAGCTAGGCGTTGCTACAGTCGCGCATCTCCCAAGACCTCAAGGGTCCTATGTACCGATGTAGTAGAATGTAGGGTTTCCATTGTAGGAATTACTATTATGACTTAGGGAAGCATCCCCCATAACAGTACATAGGACCCTTTGGGAGAATGTGTTTCCACTCCGGATGTGCCTTGACGCCGACGAATCTCGGTGGTGGAAAAGTCGTTCACTATAGCTTTCAGCAGATGTTTTGCGGATGGGTTGGTGAATATACGGTCGATAAACAGAAGAGGGCTTTGGGGTGCTATATAGTATAAGCAACCCTAAGGTCCCGAAGGCATGGTAATCGAAACTACTCACCCGTCTTGTCACATCTCTATACTAGTGTAAGCTGAGACAGCTTGAAGACCCATGTGCGGAGCGTGTGTAAGTGAACTCTGCTGCCCAGGGTCGACCAACCGTCCAGATTTCACGCGGCCGTTGTGCACTCCTTCAGGGTTTAGGGCTTGAGGGTCGTCTGGACGGGAACGCTTGAAACACCGTCCACTAGCAGGTTTTCTGTCTCAGAACCCCGAACCCGCAAAACCACGCAGCCGTGGTGTCAGACAGCTCCGAAGCACCATTATCTTCCTGAGGTCTTGCAATGTCATCTTGTCAAAACTGGAGTCCAAAGTGGGCAAAGTCTTCGAGAGCATGTCCAGCCAAGTCACTCCACAAATTACTACGCCGGGATGACTGCAGCTGGTTGCATAGATCGCGCCACGAATATCTGTAAAAGCGACAAGCGCTTGCTGGTCCTCGTTCTGCATCATCCAGCTGATGCAGCAGTGGCTGCCCGAGCATGGCACCGAAGCCCGAGACCCGCACAGGATGTTCTGAGGCGGGATGTTCTGAGAATGGGGAGTTGGACAAATTCGGGGTCTCCATTTCAGGGCTCTTCAAACGAAGCAAGTGCTGAACCCTGGTTCAGACCAACCTCCTTCTATACTGTGCCGTTTCGGGTCTTGAGGAGGGGGGCCGCCCACGGCTGGCTGTTGGGAGCTGACCTTGAGGGGACTTTCCGTCTTGGAGTACGTGTAAGAATTTGGTGCATGAACCTGATCCTCAGGCAGTTGCGAGCCCCTTTCGCATAGGCCGCATCTGAGAGCCAGTGTGACCGAATCCAACATGCAGCCAGCAAACCGGCTTTCCTCCTGTTGAAGTGGCACGAAAATTTTGTGCACAAACTAAACTTACCGCAGCCTCAACCGTTACATACTAGGCATCGTGATGCTACTACTGCTTATGCCGCAGGCATAACAATGGCGACTTTTAGGACAGTTGCTGTTGCTGCTGCTCTTGTTAGACGACCACTGTATACTACGGCAGCACTTACCAATTCTGCTCCTCCTGTTCCTCCTACTCCTCGTCCTCCGCGACGACTACCTCTACATCGTCATCATCGACATCACAGGACCATCCTTATAAACATTCCCATCACAACTTAAATGAACATACCCAGGGATGCGCTTCATCTTGCCATGAATTTTGGGATGTCTAGCCTCACTTCAACACCTGCATGACGGAAATTCACATCTGTGTTCTACCTCTGTGCAGACTCTACCTGGACCCCAAAAGTATGTAGAATTATAGCCTTTTTATAGGTGTTGGGCGATTGTTTTCCCTACTTTTGAGGGTCTAGGTAAGGCCACTCTGCATCCTGGCTCTCTTTTGCATCGGTCTCGCAGCTCAAAAAAAATCCCCTCACAGGACCCGCCTTTCAATCTTCAAGAAACCCTATACTAACACCTCAATGACCCTAAGCCCCCAAACCGAGCCTACTACAAGGGCCTTTCTAATCAGAATAGGGTCTTGAGGGCCCATACTATAATTGTAGTTATAATAAGGAGCCCCCAAAACAGTCATAGGCAATTAGTTAGGCCCCGACATTACCCACAGGCCCCATAGCAGTTCCTTTTTGGGATTACCTTATAGAATTCTAAATATTAAATCGCCCCACAAAGGAACTACTGTGGGGCCTATGGGTAGAAGTCCCGACCCAGGGGTTTCCAAAAGTAATGGACCCTGATATTGTACCCTAAATAGTAGGATCCTTACCATAAAGGACCCCAAAATAATGTAGCCCTAATTCTCGGAAGCTCAAAACCCTAAGCCCTAAACCCTTTATAGAACCCTTATGAATCCCTTTAAGGAACCCTTCTAGATCCCTTTAAGGTACCCCTAATTCTCGGAAGCTCCCGACCTACCAAGAGCTTCGGGAGAAAAAACCGGGACAGGCCCGAGCCGAAGTTGCTGAGCTGAGCGCATTCGGATGCAGGGAGTGGTTCACCACCTTAGGGGCTTAGGGTTTAGGGTTTAAAGGCTACTATAGGGGCTCCAGGGATCTATAAGGGGTTAGGGGTCTAGGGTTTAGGGGGTTTAGGCATTAGGGTTAGGGTTTGGGGGTTTGGAGATTTAGGGGTTAGGGCCTAGGGTTTTCTAGGGCTTATACTTAGGGGATGAGTACCCAAGGGCCCAAACAAAGGTTAACCTTTTCAAGTATGGTGGGATTATATAAACCCCGAAAAGTTAAAAATTACCTTTACAGCCACCTCACGCAGGGCTTGCCTTCTTGCCAAATGCTCCAGCAGACCCCGCCGTGATGCCGGAGGCCCAAAAACCCCAAAGCCCAGGAAGCACTCCGAAACAAAGATTCAGCTGTCCCTTAGGCCACGGCCGCGGCTAAAGGCCACAGGCCACATTCTGGCGGGTCCTCTTCTTGCTCGTCTTACCGTGGCGGTGGCGATCTGAGTCGGGCCCCCGTTTCCAGCCGTTCATTGCAAATGCTGCCAGCTACTTGGCAGGAATACTACCAGCACTGTGCTTCTGCATGGGCATTGATAGCAGTCTTGGTGACGAACAAGAGAGAGCAAACTGCTGAGAGCCAATATTAACATATCACAACAGCGAAGATAAGAAGAGTATACACCACAGCCCGGAAAGCCTCAACCACATCATCAATCATCAAGTTACCCTGCCACATCGGGTCCTCTTGCGACAAGCCATCGCGGGGTGCTTGCTCCACCTTTCTTCGGCTTTCGAGCACGGGCTTTGACAGACTTAGCCCATAGAACTCACGGAGGTCGGAAGCCATCTGGCGTTGTGCAAACCCGCAAAGACGCCGTTTTTGTCACTAAGAAGACAGCCTGTCCCCACCCGTCCTCCTTCCTAAGTCATGTTCATTTAGTCCTCCTCAGGCCAGGCTGGGCATCAGGGAGCTATCATGATCCCACACCCATGCTGTTGGTGGTGCTACGTTTCCGGACAGCCCTTGAGGCAAACTTGTTGTTCCGGCGAACGCCTGCAATTGAGCCAAATTCAGTACCAAATCTGGCCCGACTCTGTAAGCCCCTTAGATATCAAAGACAACATGCTACAGGTAAATACTGGAAGTAAAAGCCACCTCAGATCGTAAACACCAAAACCCCAAAACTGCCTCCCACCACCCTTACTCTTGCCTCACCACACAACCCTACACTACAAACCCACCCCTCACCCTTTGAAAACCCCAAACGCTTAGGCCGGATGCTGGCCTCGTAGTAATTGTGGCGGACGATTCGCTCGATCAGCTTTCGATCCTGGGTAACACGACGAAGAAGTACAAAGAACCCCGGCGCGCCCCTCCGACGTTTGGGCTTGTGCAGTGTTTAGACGGTGTCTGTTGGTGCTGTATAGTGCTTGCGCAGAGTTTGTCTAGGTCGTTTGTGGAGCTTGTTTCTGGAGACCTCGTCCGGCAGCGGGCAGTGTTGACCATGAGCTCTTATAGTTGGAACCCAGTGCCAAGACTTGGATCTGGGTTACAAGTCGAAGAAGTGCAAATGCGGAATTCTTGAATGGGCCCTCATGATTAGTATGATGATTTTTTGCTGTGGGGGGAGAGGTATGTTGTATTATAACTAGAAGCGGACTATGATGAAGTTCTGATGAAGGTTGCTGGTTCAAGCAACAAGCCCGTTTCAGCAGCTTGGTTTGAAGGAGCGTTCAACTGAACAACTTGCACTTCGAAGCTCCTGTCCACAGCCCAACAGCCCCCAAAGCCCAGAACCCTGGATGCAGGGGCCTTAGAATCAGGTTTTTGTATGTTTTGGTGATATGTTATAGAAGAGCTATTTGGGGACGATGTGGGCATGTTATTACCGACTTTGTCAGTGCCTCTAAAGTACTCCAAAAGCCCGAGTAGGGGTCTTGCAGCTCGACCACTTTGAAGTGCCAATGCTCGCGCCTGAAGCGAAAACCCTCAACAACCGATGGTAGGGGTAATTCTACGGGTTATTCTGGTTTCTGTCAGGGTTCGTTTCAATGATTACAAGTGCTCTCAGGGTCCCTTTCAGGCTTCGCTGACCAGCTCTAGAAGTCAACACGCAAGAGTTGGGGAAGCCTTTAAGGCCCCCGCCGCGGGTTCTTCAGGCTTCAACGGGCCATACCCAAAGGGTCATAGATGCTGTTAGGGGAGATACTTCCCCAAATCATAATATTAATTCCTAATATGGAAACCCTACATTCTACTATACAGGTACTTTCGACCCTTGGGGATAGGACGACTCTACGGCTTCCGCGCCGAACCTCAAGGGCCTGGCGCTCAGTTGTCAAGCTTATACCTAGACCCCCAAAAGTAGGTAAAATAATGGCCCAAACCCTATAAAAGGCTATTAAAGGCTATTGTTCTACATACGTTTAGGGTCCAGGTAGGGCTTCGAAAGGGCTTGCGACGAATGTGGTGCTCTGTGTTGTTTTCAGGGGCATCAGAGGGCCTGGTAAGTCGGCATTAAGCATGGCATGCATGGCCGCACCGGATACTACTGTACCATGTTCCGTCTTCTGCAACATGCATCACCATCCTCAGGGCCGGCGCCATCATCGTCATTAGTATGATTCATACTAGCCCTCATCATCACTCTCAGCATCAAACTCATTGTAATCATAACCACCGATTGTGTGTCCTATTGTAATGGCAATCTACAGGGGCGTTGATGGTCAATATCAATAGTCTGACAAGATTATCTGATTCAGGAACCCTAAGCAGTGTGCCGAGCTCTGAACTCTAAGCCATCCGGGCCTTCCGGCCCTTAAACCTCAACCCTTCTAAACACTTACAACACGCCTGTAGGTAATCTTACGCTCCGTCCCTTGCAAAGCCCATAAGGCCGTTACATTGCAAAGTCTCAAGCCCTTTTTGTGCACAGGCTTGTAAGAATCCAGCCAGGATGTGTCACACCTGAAGCCCTAAACCAAAAAACCCTACACCCCTAAATACACCTTGAACACGTGACTCTAAACGCTACACCCCTAAATAATCCCTACGTCTAAAGCTCCAAAAACAGAAACTCTGAAGCCTGAGCATCTGCCCGATCTCCACACATGCCCAGCATCAGCCGAACCATCTCCTTTTGGGTTTAGGAGTCTTTAGGAGTTTAGGGGTGTTCGGTTGAGGGTTTTAGCTTTGGGGTTTTGAGGTCTGGGGTCTACGGCGTGAGGGTCACAAAACAAGCAAGGCTGCAGGCGTAAACTGTCCATCCATGCCACTGTGTGGATTTTGGGTTCAGGGTACCCTGGGGGCGTTATGGGTGGACAAGTTAAGGAAGCAAAGGGTTGATGGGCCTCGTGAGTGTTGAAAGTGTTCGCACGAGAGTGTGCAGGATTTCAAAGGGTGTATACGGCAACTATCCGGCACGCTTGTATGTAGGGTAAACATGGACCCAAGCATTGAGTTAGTTGCAGGTAAACACCAAACGCGATGGATGGGCCGTTGTTTTAGATCATGTTGTGCTGTCACAGATCAGAGCCGATCTTCAAGGCTGCTTATTCGTCTGTGCCTTCACTGCCTTCATGCTGTCAAGACCTAAAACTCTCAACCCTAAACTTCGGCGCTCTAGCCGTGTTGCGACTCTGGACAAAGGTTCGATAACGTCGCAAAGATTTCTGATTTCTGAAATTAGAGTAGTGCTACCAGCTCTCATCAGAAGTAGCAGCCTCAAAAATCACCATATGCTGATATAACTAACATATTAACCCAAAGCCACATTCTAATGATGAAGGCCCGTATATTGACGCGACAAGCCCTGGCAGCGTGGCCTTGTCCCCAGTGCTGGAGCACAGAAGGCCGATGAGTTCCTGCTGCATGGCATACATTCCTGTAGGGCCACGTACCGGTATAGTCTATACTTCGGCCGCAAAATAATCCCTGTAAAGTACTGTCTGCAATATGGGTACATGGACCCTCAAGGACTGCTTCGGGTGACGCTTGAAACGAGGGCACCCTGCAGACTATGAGCCGTATATGTCCGAGATTAACGAGCACCAGAATTATCACCATAATGACAGCACCATTCTCAAGGTACGCACTCATTCCCTTCAGCACCATCGTTGGACGTCTTTCTTCAACCGTCCCAAAGCCTTGCTCTAGTTTCAGGTTTCGGATAAGTAAGCGACGACCAGGACCCCCCAATGGCCCTTAAATGGAGCCCTTATGGTCCTTTAACAGTTGCTATTTACGGTATATGGTGGTCAAGGTACACCTTCGCCTCGAAATAGCTTCAACATCGTGGTTTCGGTGTGGAGTTTCAAGGCTTGCGCACACGGCTCGAAACCGACGTCCTCAATGGACGAAGGTTCGAGGGCAAAACGCACAATGGAGGACAGAGCCACAAACTTCTACTAGCCTCAAAGCCAACCCCACAGGGCAGCCAGCTCCAAGACCTGGAGCCAGATCATGGAGGAAACATCGTGCGAAACGAGTCTCGGTACGTGCTAAACCATACAGTAGCTGCAAAAAGTCGGAGCAAGAGTAACTCTTGAAGCTCTGGGATACATTGCATCATCTTCGGCACAGACCTCGTCTCTCGAAAGCAACCCCAAAAGAAGCTCAAGGCTTCGCAACAGGCCGGGGCGACTTCATGCAGCAACTACCTAGACCCCCAAAAGCAGGTAAAATAATGGCCCAAACCCTATAAAAGGCTATTATTCTACATACTTTTAGGGTCCAGGTAGGACTTCATTGAGGGCTTCAGGGTTCTGGAAGTGTCACATTGGGGGTTGTAGGAGATCGAATCTGGAAGGGACTTGGGGCTTATAGGGTTTAGGCCGGAACCGTGAATGCCATCCAAAGCCGAAGCGCGAGGTGATCCTAAATCCTAAATCATATAGGGAAAGGCCGAACCGTAGGGTCCTAAACCCCTCTCACACCCCACAAAAGAGCGCTTCGCCCCAAACTACACCCTAATCCCTAATTACACCCTGACCCTCTCTCTCTCTCTCTCTCCACCCTACACCCTAAAACTCAAACCCCACACCCTTTTTACACCTGGACTTGATGAACCCCACACCCTAAAACCCCAACCCTACACCCTTTTTTGCATCGGGCCTTTACCACCGCCCGGTATTCCCCACACTCGCTTTGACGACACCCTAAAACCCAAACCCCACACTTTAAATTCCAAACCCTATTCCGTAAAGCCCAAACCCTACACCCTAAACCCTACTCCCTCACCCACGATCCGACACCTCCCAACCCCGCCCCCAAAGAAGCCTCCTTGGAGGCCGACACCATCAACGGGCGGTCCGCCAGCACCAGGGATCCCGAAGCGATCTTCGTGCGGGCTACAGCCTGGCAAATCTTCCTCACAAGCCATCACTACCTGGGAGTTTCCGAAAATGAGGCTTATTTTGGGGTCCTTTTCACAAGGATCCTATATACCATTTCGGGTACTATGTTTGCGTCCCCTATCCTCGGAAACTCCCACCTGGATCCGAACATTTGAGAAATTGTTGTTTTAGGGGTTGGGCCCTCTTATTAAGGGGTCGCAACCTACTTTTTGTAGGCGTTGGGGGTAGAGGTATGAGCTACAGCTTGTAGGGTTTGGGGTGCTTAGGGATTTAGGGATTAGGGTTTGTGTTGAGTTCGCCAGTGCGGTTGGTAAAAGAAAACAGTCCCGAGTGCTGAACCATGAGATCATGATGGCTGTTTCTTCTATAAAAGAACTGAAACCTAGCTGCCTGAACTCGAGACCCCTACCCCTTTCTGAACCCCGACCCCAAAACCCACACTGGCTAAGCTCCAAATCCCAAACCCTGCATACATGTCTTGAGTACCGCACTCAGAAACCCTCAGAATCCATGTGCCCATAAAGTATACAATTAGGAATTAACGGGGTTCCTATGTCGGAACCCTTCTGGAGCACCCTTATAGATCTCTTATAGGCATATGGAGCCGAAGGGAAAGCTGTGTTTCGGCGAACTGCGCCAGGTCCACACATCTCCCTCGGTCGGGCCGAACCTGCCCAGAGAGGAAAAATCTGAAGCGGTTGACGATCGAAAGCCTGCATTAAACATAACAAGGAATAGGCCATAATTCCCATAGTTTAGGGTCCTTCAGGTAAGGCAGGGTTTATATCATCAACCGTAGTCCAGGACGAGTGCTGGTGGAACTACGGGATAACCATTGGGAGTATATAATAATAGGGCCTATAGGGATTATAGCACCCGAACAGGTTAGCGGACGCTTAATGGAGGTTAGCCTTCAACACAAAAAGCAACATGGAGACATAAGAGCACACCAAAAAAGCCCAAGCCCTAAACCCTAAATTCTTGGTTACCTACTCTACCACTGTGACCGCACAAGGCCTACTAGGAGGCCTCAATAATTAGAATACGGTTTGGGGCACATAACTGTGCATAACATAGATAGGTATCATCTCGAAATCTACAGTTGTAGAACACAGACGCACACACGCACACAGATATACATATATATATACACATTTATATATGTATATATATATATATATATATATATAAGGCCTCGGGATCTGAAGCCTTCGCACCAGAAGTTTAAAAAGTGTACAGATTCCGGGCATACTTAACACTCCTCTTAGGGGGGACTTGGGCCCCACTTATAACTACCATAGGAGACTTACTTGTAATGATTAGAATAGGGTTTGGGGGCCTTCATACTATAGTTATAATAAGGACCCCCCAAAAATAGCATAGGTAATTACGGACCCTGCTATACCCAAGAACCTTCAAGCAGGCTTGAAACGCCGCCTGCAACTTCCAGGACGTGTCTATGCAGCGATTTAATCCTACTTGTCGGGTATCATGGGGAACTAAAGGTTAACCTTGTTGGCACTATAGGGATTATATGGCGACTGTACTACACAAAGAAGGTTAAAGGTTATATACCTACTCTACCACTAGGTTTAATGATGTACTGTCGCACGCCTTCGGGTTGAATCATGTCCAGATCTCTTTTGGCTGAAGCCACGCACGAACACAATTGAAGATCGGACAGCAGGAGTGCTGAACAGATTCAGCCACAGGACTACCTTTTAGTCCTATCTGCAATCACTCATGGCCTCATGGTAGACAGACTGATTAGGCAGCTGCAGCCAACGAGAAACGGTAGCGGTGTTTGATGTGGCAGTCCTGTTCGTGAAGCTAACCATTCCTAGACCCTCAAGAGTAGGTAAAATAAAGGCCCAAAACCTATAGAAAGGCTATAATTCTACATACTTGTGGGGTCCAGATTAACACATTTAGCCAAACTGGTCGTTCGACAGAGACATTGCCACTCTACACCTGGCCGTGCCCCTTCAGCGCAGGCTGCGTGAGCACAATACTGTCTGGTTCTTAGTAGGGAATGGGGGAATGGGTTATGAGGACTATTCTTGGGGATTCTATAGGGGCTACTGTAGGGGTCCATTCCCCACTTAGCACCAGACAGACTAAGTCACTAAGCCGAACACATACACAGCGTAATTACTCTGCACCTTGCACCTGCCGAAAACTCGAACCTCGTGCTTGGAGAAAATGGGGTTTTAGGAAGCAGCTGCACTGCTGGTGTTGCACGGTAGCTACAGTCTAAAGTGCAAGGTCGGCAAGTCCACGTGGTCCGTGTAGCGCTTGGTAAGCTTTGAGCTCCAACTTGGACTTGCGGCAAAGTGGTCAAACCATCACATCGGGAATGCCTGCCTGTTCTCTGGGGCGAGCGTGAAGTACAGTGAATGAGGAACAGCTACCGTTTCCTCTCCAGCACTCCTGCGAGTCCACGGTACACTAACCTGGCATCGTGATCCATGAGGATCCGAAGCCCAACGAGCCACGAGAAATGCAGCTGCCTGAATGAATAGGGCTCTCTTCTTACCGGGCCCTTCTCCCGCCCCGTGCCTGAATAGGGTTTCGGGTTTAGGACCACTACGAGGAGCTGATCGATCGTCTTTGCTTGGGCATGTCGCAATCTGATCCACATGCCAACTGTACTTGCTGAGAGGTATGCGGTCTTGCAATCTGTCTGGTTTGAACTTTGGGAAGCCTCTGAAAGCAAGAAGCAGCCCAGAATCTCCATGACTCTTTCTCGAGACTCTGCGCATCTAATCTATGTGCTAGAACAAAGGGCTTCTCGCTCAGTTCTGATACACCATGTGTAGTATCAGAGCAGTGCAAGACACAAATGCAATTCTTGCCCTGTGCAGATCAAAGAGGTTCAAGAGACGGGACACTGCACGAGAAACCCTTTGCATCGGCAATGGCAAAGACTCGGATACAGACAAGCCGAAGACCCTTCAAACACCACACAAGCCACTGGCGGTTAAAACACGAGAAACTCGCAGAACTCAGAACAACCCTAAACCCTAACTCAAGAAGCCTCCAAAACAGTCCCATAGTAGAGGACCCAGGGACCTTACATCAGCCCCAAAGCCTGAACCCTAAATGGTATGCTCGATGACCTGACCCTCACCGGCTCACTGCCGGCTCGTCAGGCGTAGGTCCGCGTCCAGCGCCGCCGCCGGAAGAAGTCGAACGTGCCGGCCTTCGCCTTCGAATGCTGAGGCCCCTTGAAAAGGAACCGTAACATCCCTCTGCAAAAGCCCCCAAATTGGCTTTGGGTCTGTTGGAGGGTGCAGGCATTGAGGGGTTTAGGGCCTAGGGCTTTGTTCAAGGTTTTCAGGTGTCTTTTCATGGTTGAAAGATGTTGCAGGCCTCCGGGCTTCCTAGAATTCTCGGAACTGTTGTGCCTCCTGCACACGCGGCCTGCATGGCTTCTAGTATTTAGGAGTTTATGAAGGATGAAAAGCAAACTTCGCACTCAACGTCGTAGACAGTCTGTCGAAACAGGACAAAGAGAGGGACGTTAGAGTGATTGCTGTGGTGATTGCCCTGTTCATGCTGATGCCAATGCCGGTAGTGGCACTGTTGTAGCGATGGTGTTGGTGACGGTGCTCGCCAAAGCCAGAACCAAAACAACCCTGAACATCACTCCCATGCAAGCCTTCGCGAGACATGAGTCGTGCACTGGTGTGCGATTCTATCTCTGGTGCACACCAGGGCTAAACTGAATACACAACTCCTTGTGTGTGTGTGTAAGCATATACAAACACATGTACATGCTTACTCATGCAAGTATGTATGTGTGCCTTTCAACTTATGCATGCATGTATATACATGTCAGTGTGTGCGCACAAAGATTTGCGTATAAATGTATGTCTCCTTGATTTGATATAGCTGCAACTGAAAAACCAGAGCTGAAGTTTGAGAAGAGGTGCCCAGTGCCCTATGTATTACACCAACATGGAACCCTCGATATAGGCCCTACGGCAGGTGGCCTAGCTCGGATTCCATCCACATCGGGATACACAAATCCAGCAAGTCCTACACCCTTCATAAACTCGAAGCCCTTCTAAACCTAAACCCTAATACCCTGAACCCTAAAGCTCTAAGCCCTTCATAAGCTCTAAGACTCCAAGCCCTTCTCAACCGCTCCGAAAGGGGATCATATGGGAGGGTAAAGCTTCGAAAACCTTGAAAAATGGGAGTTTCCGAGAACAGGTGACCCTAGTATCGTACCCATTTTCAGGACGCCAGAAGAAGATACCCCCTAGGTCCCGGAAACTTGCGAAGTGCCTCCCAGGTTGAAATGTTCCAGGACCAGGCCAGCCCGTTGCCGTACATCCAGCCTTCATCGTCCGTGCCTGTGATTGTGACAAGGGGCCATACTAATTAGAATATGGTTCCCTTAAAGGGTTCCTTTAAAAGTGGCCTATAAGGGATACTATAGTAGGGTTTTATGATATTACCAATGCCGTTCTGGGGTGCCTTATTCCTACTGTCATCTAATTAGAGTATAACGGACCCTGAAACCCTATTCTCATAATTGAGGCCCCTATATATCCATAGTACCCTTATAGATCCCTTTTAAAGGATCCCTGTTCTAATCATTAAGGCCCCCACATTACCCCCAGGGTCACCTAATAATTAGGTACTCGGGTTTGGGATAGTAGTTACGTAGGTTAGGATTTCGGAGAGTATATTATGATAATAAGGTACTTGGACCCTTGGGGTTACTTTCCCGGAACCTGAACCTCCAGTTCTCTAAACTATGCGCGCTACTGGATTGCAGAGTGTTCGTTTTAGGTCTGCTACTTCGGTAACTGAACTCCAAACTCCAAACTTTGAGCCCTAACTCCACAACCCTAAACACCCAGGGCTTCCTAACCCGCACGAAAAAATGGGGCCCTTACAATAACCTGATTGGGGTTTTGAAGATACCGCGGCTTCGCGCTATCCTAGCAACCTAATTCGCAAACGCGCTTGGGACTCCATAGCTAGATCCACTAACTTCAAGGGGGCCTAAGTACCTCCATAGTACGATGTAGGGCTCTACAAGACAAATCACGATGATGGTTTGGGCAGGTATCCTCCATATAGGCACTGGTGGGGACCCTTTGGGCAAGAGAAAGCTGGGGAGAGCTCCCTAACCCCTAAACCCTATAGATCCCTTACAGGAACCCCTGTAGTGCCCTTTAACCCTAAACCCCATAGATCCCTTAAAGCAACGCGTATAGCACCCTTTAAAGGAACCCCTAGAGTGCCCTTAAAAAGAAACCCCTGTGGTGCCCTTTGAAGGAACCCTAAACCCTCTAGATCCCTTAAATTAAAGGAACCCCTGTAGTACCCTTTAAAGATCCCCTCCCTAAACCCTAAACCCTAAACCCTCCGCCCTAACAAGCCTGCGTGCTTGTCCACATGCCAGGCAGTAGTTGCCCGGTAAAGGCCCCGGTCCAGCTCAACAGGAGGATGGGACCTAAGTCCGGTTCAGGGTTTAGGGCTCCTTTAAGGGATCTATAGGGTTTTCTTAAAGGGGCCTATAAGGCATCTATAGTGGCGGTTTAGGGTTTAGGGGTTTTAGGGTTTAGGGATAAGGGCCTAAGTGCTACAGGGCAACGTATAAGACCAAGAAGGGTGGTAAGGTTTTTAGGGCCTGTTTGGAAAGAAGTCGGGGATCCTCTGCCGCAAGAAAGGCTTCAGAAAACAAATCTCTAGATGGCACCATCGAATCTGTTCCTGGACCTCTTAAAGCCATAAGCCCGAAATCTAGCATACGGCGTCTATGATATGTCACAATCATACACAGCTCTCTGCCAAAGCCGAGTTTCCGCATTGCACACTCCTCCTGGTTCAGCTTCCTGAGTGGGCAGCTTATAGTGATAGCAATACTCAGAACAACAATGGCGATAACAAGATTGTTCAAAATTCTAGAGCCCGCGGAAACCCCGACACAGGAAGTAGAAAGACTCTATACCAAGCACTAGTAGACTCAATTATTGGACGTTTGAGGGCTGAGACGAGCACGGCTCTTCATCCCCGGTTGTCCTCGCGAAGTCCCGAAACCTTCCTCATAGCTACAGTTTGGGGCTTAGGGGTTCCGGATGATTCTTAAAGCATTCCGTTATAGCCGCTAAACAGTTTCACCATCATAGCATATCCGAAGAGCCTTGTCTGATTCTTGAGGCCCCACTCCCTCTCTCTCTCTCTCTCTCTCTCTCTCTCTCTCTCTCTCTCTCTCTCTGTCTCTCTCTCTCTCTCTCTCTCTCTCTCTGTCCCTCTCTCTCTCTCTCTCTCTCTCTCTCTCTCTCTCTCTCTCTCTCTCTCTCTCTCTCTCTCTCTCTCTCTCTCTCTCTCTCTCTCTCTCTATGTATATAAATAAACGCTGTATATGTGTGTAAGTTACAATGCATGTGTATATATATATATATATATATATGTACATGCATACATACATATACATATATATATATACACATGCATGCGTGTGTGCGTGTGTATGTGTTTATGTATACAAATTTGTTTACATATACATATATATATATATGTATATATTCATATTAGTATTACTATTACAGTGCATACATTTTCGCTCAAGCTATCGAGCCTTCAGGGTAGGTTCTAGAGTTGAAGTTAGATACACATGCTCAAGGGGCAGAGTGCTTACGCTCTCGCAACTCGGACAAGCCTGACGAGGTCTCTTGACTCGCATTGACGTATGCTTGGGGTTCAGGGTTTCGTTTACAGTATACACTAGAGTCACTAGAAGGTTGGAATGTGGATTTGGGGTGATTAGTGCCGGGTCGCCTATAGCATACCTCAAGGGCACGAGCATACTCATGTTCCAACTTGTCGCCTTCTCCTGTAAATCTGGCACAGAAGGTCTTTGGAGTATTCACAGCTTCAGTAGCTCAGGATGCGAGGTTGCGGCGGCACGAGGCCTCAAACACCTCCGTAGTACAACACCCGAACTCCCGTTTTCAACCCCCTATATAACAAATCCTTAACGGAAAGCCCTATACAACCCAAAGAGCTGCAACTGGATTTGGCCAGGCTACGCAATAAGGTGAGGGTGCCGATTCCCAGTGGAATCCAGCCACCTCGGTGTGCGATAAGCCCGGCTGTCGTCGGGCTTCGTCGTAAACCCTAAACCGAGACATGAACCATTCAATCTGTTGTCTCATGACAGGCCTCAGAGACTTGACTACCTGGTTGTCGTCTTACTTGTGCAGTATATTAGGGGAACCACAGGTGAGCTTCTAAGATTACACGGGGACCGTAGCACCCCACACATGTTACATGTTACCTACTCTACTTTACTGCCAAGAAATCACACTAACTCACAAAATTGAACACCGGTACCCAACTGGAGTAAGAGAGCCAATCAGTCGGCTCTTGCAAAGCGGCCTCTTATGCGTGATTGCGCTGCTTTCAAGTCTCTGGTTTTGGGATAGAAGGGGTTTTGGGCTAGTCGTCGTGGGAGAGAGAGAGAGAGAGAGAGGAGACATACATACACATATATATATATATATACATATATATATATATATATGGACAGAGAGAATATTGTCTTGCGACATGGTATTGTGGTCATAACAAGGGAAGAAGGAGATGCTCGAACTAATTGCTTCAGCATCCTTAGATTTTTCTGGTATTCTTAATCTCTCCATTGCTGCTACTGTTACAATTATTGTCATCAGTATGAGTATGCTGATTCTTATTATCGCAGCCTCCATCGGAGTAGAATCGGAGGAAAGCTCGAACCAGGATAAAGCGCTCAAATTCAAGCGGGGCGAAGGTTTACAGTTCAGGGTCTTTAGGGTTCAGGGTTCAGAGTGCCGGGCTCAGGGTATAGATGTTTATGGCTATTTCATGTCAGGATGCCTCCAGCTCATCTCTGTGTCAACCGGTAGGAAAGGCGTCCGCCAACCTTGCAGACTTGTGTGTAACTCTCTGGTGTTGTCGATTGTATCCTTGGACCTGAAAGCGCAGTCATTGCGGGTAGAATTGATCAGTTTCAAACGAACACTGCTGGATTTCAAGGTCTGCCGCTTTTTTGAAGCTGTGCTGGCTCTGAATCTTGAGCCTCCATCTGGTTTTGACTTAAGGTTAAGGTTTTGTCGGTTTAGGGTTCGGCTGTTCTTTGACTCTCACACTCGGCAACACCAGGCCAGGTCGGAAGAGAGGGTTTAGGGTTTAGGGGTTTAGGGGCTGGGGATTTCGGGGGTTTCAGCACTCACACTCCGACTTGCCTGGGCGAGGTTCCTGGTACGACGACGGCACATTGGCACCCTACGGCCGCTTAACCGTAGATCGCATCACCTATAGTCTCCATTGTAGTTCCTTTTTCGGTGTAACCAGTTTTTATACTAATGATCCTATAAGGTAACCCCAACAAGGAACCACAATGGAGCCTATAGGTAGCTACAGGCCTCAAGTCTGATCCATTTGGGTGTAGGGAGGTTGAAGATATTGTAGTGTTTTTGAAGCCCAGCGAGACTACCGTGATGCTTTGTTACAGCTAGGGACCACACGCACTAGGAATCGTTATGTCGACCTCCACACAAGCTTTGCCAAGAACATTTGGACTTAGCCAAACCAAAAATCGAGACTTCACATCATTCAATCTCAAAAGGTTTATATTCTCGGACTCTCGGACTACGGTTTAGACTAAACCATACTCCAGTAGATACCCTAAACCCGAAAGCCTACACCCCAAACTCCAATCCCCAAACCCACCTTCACCATCCCAAGCGGCTTTTCGAGACTAGGTGGAAGCGCTCCACCTCGAAAACTTCCAATACTCGCTGGCCCACACCTCCTGCCAACTGCCGGCCCTACTTGCCTTAGGGTTACGGGTTTAAGGCATTAGGGGCTTTGAGTTCGGGCACTATCGGGTTTGTAGGGTCGAGGGCCTAGGCTGCCCTTGAGGCAGCTAGAGCCTGCACCCCTGTGAAGCTTAGGTCAATGCCTTGTGGCCTGAGGAAGCAACCGGAGGTTCAAGAGGCTGAACCAAGTAGGACCCTTCGAACCAAAGATACACGCTTGAGCCCTTGACCCTTGAAGCCTAGTCCGTCGCTGAGCCGCACGAGAACCTCAAGGGGTGCAGCCGAGGCCCAATACAAGTGAACAACTAAACACAATACTAATAAGAATACGAATACGAATAAATTAATGATAATAACATAATTCGAGCAAGTGGGGCCGCCAAGATGCTAACAGTCGAAGAGCCCAACGGTTGAAATTTGTTGAGGGAGGTTTCAAGCAGAGTTCTGGAATCAGGCGGCTCGGTCTCATACTGAGTATGAGTATGTATTTCAGAACCGGCTTACTAGGCTACGTGAACCGTTGCATTCATGTATCGGCTGGATATCGACCCCACAGACAGGAGCAGCATCATCAAGTATGACATACATCCTGCTACAGACTGGTACCCGAAAACCGTTTACCGAGACCGCTTCTTGGAACCCTGGAACGATCTGCAAATACTGGACCGGCAAGCCACTCAGGACTCAAAGCTGCGAGTCCCAGGACAAGAGCCTTTGCTAACCAAAGCTTTAAGGCCTATGGTTTAGGTTTCCGAGCGTCTCATCACTCATTCACACACTTACCGAGGCGCAAACCCAAGCTTGCAACCCTCCGAACATTTACGGAGTCCCGAACCACTTCCCTAACGGCCCAACATCATCAGCGCATTGAAAAATGATGCCCGCTCAGCTACTAAGTTGCCCTTATAGAACCCCTAAAAACCCCTTAAAGGAACCCCTTATAATACCCTAGACCCTATTAGAGCCGTATAGATCCCTTAAAGGAGCCCCTTATAATACCCTAAACCCTATTAAGGCTTTGTTGAGTGGCCAAGCCCCAAGCGGCCTCGTTTGCCGTTCCCCAGCGGCTCTTCCTTGCCTTTGCCACGGGTCCGCTCCTGAGCTAAGGCTCACGGCAACCACCTCGCCCCTCAAAGAAAAAAACAAATGTAACATAGAGGCCTTAATAACCACAATTGGGTTTTGGGGGTTCCGTATAATAAAAACTATGAATATAATAACACCCCAAAATCTCTAACATCGTAAAGTCTCCCCTGCCAGAATCCCCCTCTCTGTCGTACCCCTAAAGCCTAAGGCTACCTTCTATAGGGTTCAGGCATTCACGCCTCGAGCCGTACATGCAAGCACTGATTTCTGGCGTGGGGGCTTCAGAGCTCAGGACCAGAATGAGAATGATAAGACGATTACGTACTCTGCTTCTTGTTGCTATGACCATTACGTACTGTTATTATTGTTGTTTTACTATTGGTAGTATTCGCACACGTATTGCAACCGTAATTTTTGTTCTTGACAACGAGAAGAGGCTGAACCAGCAGAAATCAAATTCATTGCCTGCAACCCCCACGGAGCAATGACCATGACAGATGTACCGCAAGGGACGGTTCAACACTTATGAGGTTTCTTGCCAGAAGTCCTCCTGCAAAGCACCGGAGAACTCATCCCAATTTGCGATGCCTCTGGCAAGGGCGCCATTTCTGGGTACGCACATGTGGGCGGCTAGTTTGGGTAGGGGGCGTGTCGTTTGGTTCAGGGTGAGAACGGTTTGAGGGGTTTGAGAACCCATCCTTTCATAGCCACAGTAACACCTGAAATCCATTGAAGCTCTCCCTGAGTCCCTAAACCCTATATCCCCAGCATGTGTTCCATTTTTGCATCCGGGCTGTGATGTTCCGAACTCGGATATGGGGAGCGGGCAGTTCTCTAGAATTGGGCTCCTTTGGATAAGGGCGCCGTACTATTTTGTGGGACCTAAAGAGGGACCCGAATTCAAAGAACTACTCATACGGATGGTTGTCGGAATTGTGGCCCCTTTTTGGGTACCCTAAATATATGGTGCCGTATTATGATAGGGAGCCAAAAAGGGACCATCCTTTTGACAACCACCCATATGGTAGAAGCAGGTCGCGGTCTTCTTCACGGAGGTCTGAACTCTGCGGACTGCTCGCACCATGGGGTATAGTGGCTGTTGAAGATGCGGCGTAATGCTCGGAGTTAAGAAGTCCCCGGCCGAGCCCGAATGTAGCTTTTCGTGGAATGTAAGACAGTCCGGGTAGCCAGTATGTGCACACCATAAGGTGCCGTGTGGGGGACACAGGATGTTCCAGCATGTAAGGTCTGGCGGCATGCTGCATTCCCGACTTAGATCATCATTGCTTACAACTTAGGACAATGCAGGTTGGAGTAGCGCTAGATATATATATATATATATATATATATATATACATACATACCTATGTACATGCGAACTGTAAAATCGCAGAGGCCGTGGCTTCCCCCAACGACGCCGAAAGTACATCGGTTTGAGCCTCGAGGCCCTGAAACTCCCCACAGACAAACCCAGAGAGCCCAATACCCCGTAATTAAGGAATACCTAGGGTTACTTTAAAGGGATCCTTAAGGGTTCCCTTAAGGGATCTATAGGGTTTTTGGTTTAAAGGGGACTTCAATAGCCCTTCATTAAGGAATATACTGAATATACCTTAAATCATCATATGAAGCCCTATATAAGCTAAGCCATACTCCTGAATTAAGGGGTATTGGGCTCTCTGGGTCCCCACACCCACCCGCAAACCCTGGAAGTTTCAAGGCTGCCGACGGGGAAGGCGTGAGTGGCGCAGGTCCCTGGCAATTCGGGGCTCCTGGTGCAAGAAAGGGCTTTAGGGCAAACTTTACTGCAGTTTACTCATAAGGGAACTACAAGGGATACTTTACAAAACCTTCGGCCTCGTAGCATAGATGCCAACTTGAACCCGAGAGGGATGAAGCCTACACCAGAGGGGATATAGACGCTCTCAATGAGGTCCCTTTTAAGAGGGCCAGAGGTAGGGTTAAGAAGGGTCCCTAAACCCCAACCCCCTAAACCCCTAAACCGTAGCTACACCCTGGGCCGGCCTTGGGGATTCTTCACAGCAGCCTCGAGGCCCAGGATCAACGCTTCCCAGGCCTCCACAGCGAGGACTCTGAGGGTACATGTGCCCAAATAGGGATCCTTTAAGGGGTTCCTTTAAGGGTTGCCATAAGTGTTTCGGCGCTCACACTATAAGGGTTTACTGTGAGGTAGAAGGGTTTAGGGGTTAGGTAAGGATAACTATGATGAGGTATACGAGTTTAGGGGTTAGGGTATAAGCGTCCATATACCCACATAGCGCTCCTTTAAGGGATCCATAGGGGTTCTATAAGGGTCCATGAGGACTAGGTGGGGACATACACTCTAAGGCTCAAAGGTCCTAGGTACTGTCAGGGGGGATACCTTCCCAAATGAGAGTAATAATGCCGAATATAGAACCCTACATTCTATTGTATACGCAGTTAGGACCCTTTGAGAGGGTCACCTGAAGAGTACCTGTGAGGGTGACGTCAACGGTTACCTGCAGCGTTAGGTTAAGGCCGTGAAGGCTTGCTGACAGGGTTGCAACAATTATCAAGGTTACCGTATAAACGTTCAACGTTACTATAAATCAAGGTTTCTATACGGGCTACAAGACGGGTTAGTTTAAGGGTTACGTTATAAAGGTTACTGTAGTGGTTACTATAAAGGTTGCTACGATAAGGGTGATTAAAGGGTTACTATAAGGGTGGTTGAGAAGGGCTACTAGAATGATTCTAGGCTATCTAACTTATAGGGTCTGAGGGATGTAGAGGCTTCGGCGATGTTGTAGGGTGAGAGGATTTGGGCTTTTGCGCATTAAGGATCACGCTCGGAGGATTCCCGGTTACGGGTTTGACAATGTTGGTGGATTATAGGAGTTCGTTTAGGTTTAGCAGGGTGCGCAGGAAACTCAGAACTTCAGTGATCCAAAGATTTTACACGATTTCTTTGGCCCGCGAAACAAACTGGCTGGTCAGCAGGCCCAGCGCCCTAAATCCTAAACGTTTAAAGTCAAAGTCGAGTACTGGACTGGAGGGCTTCAGCCAGAGTCCGGCTAGGAGACGACGTCCATAGTGGACCAGCTTGGTCTCTGATCAAGCTGCAGCCCTTTCTCTTGCAAATAAGCGACACTAACAAGAGTACCCCTCTTCTGAAGCATGTAAATTGGGGCCGGGTCTGCTAATTAAGGGCTGGTTTCTCGGGTCCTTGTAACGAGGATCCTCGTGGTTTTTGTGGAGGAGCGAGGGGGAGGAGTCCCGGTACTTAGGACCCTCTGTTCAGGGTCTGCATTGAAATTCCCTACCATTTCCGCTCTGAAAACCCAGTTGGCCTGCACAGAGAAGCCAGCGGCACGCATTGGCAGCACCCAAGTTTTGCCTGGCTGAGTGGGTGTTCTATTGTATGCGCGGTAGTGATTGCAGTAGCAGCAGTAGCAGTAGTATTGGTACTAGCAGCAGTGCCAGTGGCAGTGGTGGCAGCAGCAGCAGCAGAAGCAGTCGCAAATGAGTAGCAGCAGAGTCGTAGTATTAGCAGTCTTGGTCGTCGAAGCAGTCGTCGTAGTGGTGGTCGCACTAGCTGTAGTCGTAGTACTCAGTAGCTTTAGCTTGCAGTTTGAAAAGTAGTAGTACTAGTAGTAGTAGTAGTAGTAGTAGTAGTAGTAGTAGTAGTAGTAGTAGTAGTAGTAGTAATAATAATAAGTAGTAGTGGTAGTAGTAGTAGCAGCAGCAGCAGAAAGCACAAGAGGTCATCGCAGGAACAGCAGAAGCATTAACACCACTAACAATACTAATAGCGATAGCGCTAGTGGTATTGGCAGAGGTAGCCGTGGACGTAGTAGTTTTTGTTCATGATGTCACATGACGTGATGTTGTTGTTGTTGCCGTTGTTGCTGTTGTGGTAGTAGCAGCAGCTGCAGCAGCAGCGTCATCTTAGCCGTCGACGGAAAAAGGAGCAGGCGACGACTGGTTACCCTTATTGGATGGAGTAGCACTAGACAGCCAGAGCAAGACTACAGTCAGAAACGCTGCAACACTAAATCAAAGTCTCCTGATTGATGAAGCAAATGACACAGTAAACCTACCAGAGTTGAAGCCTTAAGACGAATAAGAAGTGATCATGAGCAAACACTTAGCATGCGCTCCAAAACTTCGACCATGGATACCCCCACCCCCCAAACCCCCCTGCTTGTTGAACTTCTACATTCTACGTCATGCAACCCAAGCAGCATCTGGACCCCAAAACTGCTGATTTGCGACGCCTCACTGAGCACCCTAGACCCTGCAAGTTGCAAACCCTACCTGGACCCCTAAGAACCTGTACCTTGTACACTAAACCCTAAGAACCTACACGTACACTCTAAACCCTGCATCCGTGCCTTCGCGATCCTCGAGCTGAAGCTGAAACCCGGAATCTTTGGAGGTGTGGATATCCTGGGCTTAGGGTTTAGGGCTTAGGTTTAGGGTTTCGGGGTAGGCTTCGCAGTAGCCAGGGAGAACAAACTATGAACGTTGATTTCAGAATTGTTCCTTAGGGACAGGTCCCAACAAACACTAAAAGAGTATAGTGTTCCAAAACCCCGAGGCCAGGCGATGGTCATATTGAGGCCTTCCTCGTGTTCCTAGACAGAGTTTCATGAGGGTTCTTCAGTAGGGCCTATAGGGGCCTTAACGATTAGAACAGGGTTTCCGGGTATACTAGAGTGTAACGACTGTAAAGAACCATGGGAAAGCAGGCTAGTAGTCATTCAGGCTTCTATATCAGGTCTACATAGGGCTTAGAGTTGCCGTAAAAGTTTCGGTGGGTCTTCAGTTTTCCCACTTGTCGGGTATTATGGGGAACTAAAGGTTAACCTTTTGGGTTATATAGCTACTATATAGGCCCTATCCTACCCAAAAAGGCTAAAGGTTACCCACTCTACTACTAGGTTTTGGGATCAGAGACATTCCTTGGAAGCCTCTGTGATAAAAAAACCACTCAGTAACTTCCTGGACAATCGCAGGACCCTAGACACCCCTGGGTTTAGGGTTTTGGGGTTTAGGGATACCCAGATCCCCAAACGCACGAAAAATGATGGCCCAGCTAATGTGTTCCAGGATGCCACACGAACCTAAAGCAACATCTGCAGTATCCGAAACCCTACAACCGCAGACATATGGCAGAATCCTACAACCTAGTTACAACCCAACGTAAACCCAAACATCCGAGACTCTTTGATACTGTTGAAGTGGCACTCGCCGCGGATCGCCCGACGCAGGACTTCAGGATCCGGACCTCATAGCCCGGTGCTACGTAACAATGGCTAAACCGATAGTTCTCTAGATTAGGGTCCCTGTTAGTGTCATTGTTCTACTGGTGCCGTACTATCGATCGACCTACTACGGGACCCTAATTTAGAGAACTACCCAAGTCTACTAGCCTCAATGATCGAAATAGAGTTCTGGGGTACTGTGTGTCATACCCCGTCGATGGCCCCTGTGTTGTACGGCCGTGCTGCAGGGTAGGAACCGTATAGCGGCTCTTTGTGAGGCTCTGGAAGTATATGTAAGGTCTTCGTTGGGCTTCTTAATGGTTAAATGGCTTAGGGTACTTGGTTGGTAGTGGGTGTCAGGGGTCAGACGGCAGAATTTTTTTTGCCTAGGAGACATGGCCTCTCGTCCGATCGGTTTTGGGTTTAGGGGTAAGGGCTCTGCCAGGTCGATGCTGCCGCGGGCCCACTTGAAATGGAATTCTTCACACCTCCAATGGGTTTCGGCAGTCTTGGGAGCTTCGGGTGCTAGCTTGAACTCAACAACACTCAATCTTCGCCAAGTGGCCCTTCAATGCACCAGAACCGCCGCCAATCAGCGTGTTCCTTCCAAGACTACGAGCATGAGCCAAGGTGCATAGGGTCCCTTAAGTCTTAGAATACGTGTCTTGTTGGACGGGAGGTGTTACTATACACGGACAATAAAGGCAATTCAATTTAGCATGAATGCCACGATCATTTGTTCGACTTCGGGTGGTTGGAGCTGGATGTTGGCTCTGAGTTGAGGGTAGCTTTGGCGCTTCATAATAATGCAAACAAGGGGCCCTAAAACATAAACCCTATCTGTGTGAGCCCGACGTGCAATGTAAACCCGATGTCCCTCTCGATCAAAAACAACAGCTTCACATGTTGTGCAGTACAGTCGCGCAAGCACAGCTTTGCCTCCAGATCTCCTTTATGTGTTTGTACCCAAAACCTAAAACCTACACGGGACCGTGGTCAGAAACACCTCAATGCGAAACCCCAGATCCGAATTGCCTGACTCGTATTTGCTCGCACATGATGCCACACTCAAAGTACTGAAGCCTAAGTGATCAACCCTAGTTAATCCTAGTTCTGAATCCCAAAAAGCCCTCAGGAATTGACACGAAGGAACTGGATGCCATCGAAGCCGTAGACGACTGCATTGATGGGCCTTAGGACAAGGTGCAAAAAGTGTGTGTGTTTGCCGCCGTGTGGTTTGGTTATCTCGGATCGTCAAAACCCTGAAATGGACCCTAAACCCTAAACCCTAAACCCCTAAACCCTAAGGGAAGATTCTACGAGGCTGGAACATGGCTCCGGTTCTCGAGCTGGCTGGAGAAACCTTAACCCTTCTCAGCCTCAGGACCCCACCGAACCCCCGCTTTTTTGGAATACGACCTTTGAACACATGGGTGATGGAATAGGCAGGTTCTTTGGATGCGGGGTTGGACCCCAAACTTGCAAGATAGTCCACTTACCTCTCCGGAGAAGTGAAGGCTAACCTTCAGCAGTTTATAGGGACTATAGTAATGTAGGAACCTGATCCAGAAACCTTGGGCCATTGTAAGGGTTCCTTATATGAGTCCTACTATATTGGGGGTTATAGGACCAGGGTTGCTTAATCAGGTTCCTCCATTACCTCAAAAAGATCAAAGGTTACCTACTCCACCACTGGGTGTCTTTCTGGTGACAACCCAGAACCTTCAGCGAAGCATCTTCAGTTCAAGCCTTCCGGACCCTCAGCCCCGAGGTAAGGGACCCATATGCAGTAAGATCCTCAGTATGAAGACCGTTGCATAAGAGAGCCTAAGATAGAACGCAAGGATCCTTCTGTGCGCAAACACTGCCGCGTGAATGGTTCGAAGATGCACCACCTTGAAACCTTAAACCCTAAACCCAAACCTTAACCCCTAAACTTGCAGCCCTGACCAGCGAGACAAGGTTCCTTCAGCAGCAAAGGCCGAAGTCAGGGGCTTGGGTGATCAGGCGTTTGGAGTTTGGGTAATCAGCCTTGGGTTTAGGGTTTGGGTAATCAGGGGAATGGGTGTTCAAAACTGTGCAGGCACGCAGTTGTCGTCTTGACAAAAAAAGCTTCCCACAGACCCGCTGACAACAAGGAGTGCTTAACCGCGAACCGCTATCCAAACTAGAGCCTTAAAGGCTTCTCTGGATCCTGGTTAGAAGGGATAAGCTACCTACTTATTGGTGTCTCTCCTCCACAAACGTTGCACAATCCTACGAGAGGCTAACCATGAGATCTCTGAACTTTGCCCCAGTTCGCGGATCCTCAAACCCAACACCCGTGCATGGCACTCTCCTCGATGTGTACATACACATACGACGTGTAGAAGGGTTTCAGTGGCGTTCTGCACGGGTTTTATACAAACAAAGATACGGGATCCCAGGGAAAGCCACCAGGAAAGGGTCCCCGAAACCCTGAAGCCTTTTTTACACTGCGCATATGCCACGAACCCTGAAGACTAAACCCCAAACCCGCTCATGCGTAACTATATGTGGAGTTATAAGTAGGGTAACTATATTTATAACTCCTATCAGGGGGCTTATAACCCCACTTATGACCTCCAAGCTGAATCCTATTTTCTGAGACGCTGTTGCACAACCAAGCAGCTTCAGCACTTGTGAGAAGAGCTTCTCTGCAGATTCCTCGGACACAGGCGGCAATCATATAGGGCCTCAACAATTTAGAATTGGGTTGTGGGGGACCTTGCACGGTAAAAGACGGAATCATGCTGGTACTTATCTGGGCTTCTGTACTAGCTGTTCCTGTGCTGACAAGCATGCGACCACATTTTGCCTGGCGCAGATGTTTGTACATTCAGGGGAGCTAAGTTCCTGAGTAGCCCCTTTATACTGAGGGTACCCTTTTTCTTTTTCTTAGTCTTCGGTTTTAAATGAAGGCCCTTTTTGCAGCAGGCCTCGTTGTCCAGCAGCCCGGTTACAGCAACAGCCCCCTTTCCCAGCTTCTTCAAAGCAAGGAGAGGAGACGAGCTGACTCTCGCGACGACAATCCGTTCATGTTCACCCACTTCTGCAGGCGCATTACTAAATGAAGGCCCTAAACCCTAAACCCGCAAAGGGTGCTACTCAGGAACCGTGCGTGGGATGGGAGGACTTCCGGATTGCTGGAACACAGCACCATAGGAGAAGGGTGCAGACACCGCCTGCACTCACCAGGATCAGGTTCGATTGCAGGTATGTCATAAAGCCAGGAAGAAGCCAGACTTGCGTCGCATAGCAGAGACCAAAGAAGATTGTCCCGACCGCTACGAGACCAATGGCGAGCAGCACACGTTCGAATGGGCCATCGCACAAAAGCCGCACCATGTAGGTCAGTCGGAGCATAATCAGTGCTCCGTTTGGCAACACCATCAACCAATACAGTATGGCAGTGAGAAACATGTTCAGTCCATTGTCCAGAAACTCTTGCAGGATGTCTAGACAAACCTGGGTGGTAGTTTGGGGCCCCAGAAGTATTCACGAATAGATACCTCTACAGGACCATACGCGGAAATCTTTGAAGTTTCCTAACCCTAAACTAAACCCTAAACCCTAAACTAAACCCTAAACCCTAAACCCCTAAACCCTAATCCCTAAACTAAACCCTAAACCCTAAACTAAACCCTAAACCCTAAACCCCAAATGTGCCAGCTAGAAGCCCATAGGACCGGACAGTTCACCATCACCAGGCGCCAATATGTGAAGGTGCGGTTGGCCAGTTGATCCACGAGCACCTCTAGGAGCTTGCTGCGCCTTAGCTGCTGACTTAGCAGGCCCAAAAGTTCAAACGAAAAGTTCTATAGGGGATAGAACATGCTCCCGAAACCATAAACCCAGAACCCCAAATCCCTAACCCAAAAGTGTACTTGGAGGTTATAAGTGGCGTTATAAGTAGGGTAACTATAGCAATAAGCCCTATTAGGGGAGTTAGAAGTTAGAACCCTACTTATAACTACCCATGAGCCTCCAAGTAAGATACCCCTAATTTCCGGAAACCCTAAACCGTTGTAGAGCCCTTTAAAGGAACCCTTATGGCCCCCTTATGGTTACCCTTTAAAGGGACACTTCCTAACCCTAAATCAAAGGGTATAAGGAGGGGCCCTTACTAAGGACCCCTAGGGATAGAACCTTAATATAGCTATTATATACCCATTATATAGCCCATTATAAGGTAGGAGTCCCCATTAACGGCCCCTCCTTTTGCCCTTTGACTAAAGTGTAAGATATATGGGAGTTTCCGAACATAGGGGACCCTAATATACTACCCTAAATAGTGGGATCCTTATTATGAGGACCCAAAATAACCTACCCCCAATTGTCGGAAACTCCCATATCCATTCAGCTACTAAGGCGCACGAGGGCCTCGAACTGGGCCGTGGATCCGAACCAGGCGGAGACGCAGCGAAGAATGATGCTGCGGTCACAGATCCTATGCTGAACTTATGTAGACCCCTATAAGGTTTAGGGATATATATATATATATATATACATATAAAAATATATATATATATATATATATATATATGGGCGCACCCCTATTTGGGGTCCCCTACGTTTTTCGCTACATCACCTGACTGAGCTATAACCACCAGACTAGGTTATAACCAGCCGATTAGGTTATAACCAGCCGACTAGGTTATAACCATTCGAATAATTTATAATCAGGTATACATTATCGATATTTCAGTTTTTTCCAACAAGCGTGCTATAGTCATTAGTCTGGTTCAGTCATTCCTTATCGCGAACTAAATTTTGGAACGAAAAGTTTTCCATCTTTGTACTGTAATGCCGCAATCCCATCAAAGTCTCTGTTGTTGGGCGCATTGCTATGACGTTTTGGCAAACTGATAGCTTTCAATGACATATCCCTGTGCCCCTATGTGATTGCTTGTAGACACTGGTATATCCGGTAGGTATATTTGAGTGGTGCATTCCTTATTTCTGTATGACGGCTGCCCCAAGCCAAAATTGAAAACTTGCACACTACAAGCTTGGCAAACTTTGTACAGTGTTTTTCCTGGGGGACGACATGAAGCGTCGCTTCTTAGGCTTGGCACAGTTTCTATATGCTCAGTGATGAGGCCTGTGCTTTTTGTATCAGCATACCTTAACCATCACGTAAAGCTCACTGAAAACCATAAAGCTACATCTAGCTTGTCCGAATTTCTGTTTGTGTTCTTGTGAATATTTTCTGAAGGTCGAACAGAAGCCATTGTTCCCAATCCAGAACGTGCTCCTCGTTTTAGAAAAAGTGGTAAACACACACCGAATCACTCCTCGAAAGAGGTACATCCATGTAGTTGGAAATAGCATTGCAAGGAATTTTCTACGTACCGAGCGAGGAAACCTAACAGTTTGCAAGTTGCAAATCGCTCACCACACATATTCTTATCAGTTTTGTCTCATCGAAATCCTGCTTCCTTGGAACGATGTTTGAACATAACGTTGCAACCAGTTCGCCTATGTACGAAGTGATGAAACCTGACCACGCTGTAAGCTTTGATATACTATCTCTCCCTACAATGACGTCGTATCAGTCGTATCTCAACTTTTTTGTGTACCGTGATATTCCAATGTTGACAACACTTACTGACCGACTGTAATCCCGATAGAGACCCTTCATCTTCCGCATTTTGATTCCTGGGTCATTGACATGTTAGCGGCTGTACATAGATCTCATAAGCCCGATGTACTGGAACGGACAGACCATTATGTAAAGTCCGCCATATAGCCTTTCCGCTAAAGTTGGGGAATGCGCATATGGTCCCCGGAATTATGTTTGTTACAAAGCACTGCATCATGCCTCAACAACCGAATACATGCCAATTACCTCGGACCTTCTTCTAGTCCTTGTTTAGTTTCATGGCGGTTACATTTCCCCTGAAACACCGAAACTTTCGAACGTTTGGATCTAGGTCTAGGTGTTGATGAAGTAGCGGTGGCACAGATTTGCTTCGTAAGGTTTATATTGTGCAACAAACAATCAAGGCACCCCAATTTACAAACCACAACCCTGGTATGTAAGCCCCCCGGTGTTTCGACACAGTTTACCAATATTGCAGGTTCACCATCAAGTGTTGGGTTTGGGTTTTACTGCTTAGGGTTTGGCGCTAGGGTTTGGGGGAGCCTTAGACTTAAACCATTATACCGGCTCGCTTGCGCGATACGACACGGAAGACTTAAACCATCAAACCAAAAAACCAATCCATTTGATCTATAGGGCACGGCGGGAGTCTTCAAACCCTGAACGTATTTTGCAGCCTGGTTATAACCTCTGTCCCCGGTTATAACCAGGACACCTGCGTAGTAGGCAGCCCTAGACCCATCACTAAACCATTAAACCATTATCCTTTCCCCCAATGGAACCAAACCAATAAACCATTAAACCAATCCTTTTGCCCCATTGCACTAAACCATTAAACCAATCCCTTTACCCCATACCACCAAACCACTAAACCATTAAACCAATCCTTTCCCCCAATGCACCTAAAACACTAAGCCATTAAACCATTAAACCAATCCCTTTACTTCATACCACTAAACCACTAAACCATTAAACCATTAAACCATTAAACCAATCCGTTTGCTCCATACCACTAGACCACTAAACCACTAAACCATTAAACCATTAAACCATTAAACCAATGCTTTCGGCCCATACAGGGATGTGTCTCTCTCTATAGGGGAAAATGATTGGTTTAATGGTTTAATGGTTTAGGTCCATTGGGGGAAATGATTGGTTTAATGGTTTAATGGTTTATTGGTTTAGTGGTTTAGGTCCATTGGGGGAAATGATTGGTTTAATGGTTTAATGGTTTATTGGTTTGGGTCCATTAGGGGAAAGGATTGGTTTAATGGTTTAATGGTTTGTTGGTTTAGTGGTATGGAGCAAAAGGAATGGTTTAATGGTTTAATGGTTTAGTGGTTTGGGTGTGCCAAAACCCAGGGGACCCCATATAGGGGGGTACCCATATATATATATATATATATAATTTAGCTATTTCTTAGGGATTCTTGTAACCAAAAACTGAAGAACTATTTCGAAGTTCCCATGAGGATCAGGTGCTCGCCCGTCGCTTTGTCATAGTGGCCGATGGCACAGCAATGGCTCGAGGAATCCTGAACCGTGAAACCACGAAGTTGCTCCTGCATCGTCTCGATGTTCCGGCAGTGCAGGAGGACCTGGGCTTCGAAGTAATTTATACTGAACTTAGAACCCTAGTAAAAATTAAAATTTTAGCTGTTTCTTAGGGATTTTAATAACAAAAAACCTACAACTATTTCTAAGTACCCCTAAGCAACCGGGGGAAGAAAGGTATAGAACTTTGGTTCATAATGGTTCCCCTTTAAGTAATGGTTCCAAAAGAATTAACTAAAGTATGGTACTCCAAAGCCCAGGGACAATGTAGGAGACCAGTGTTAAACACGGAAATGTCAGTGTAGCGATGAGCAGCCCGCCATATGGAAATAAAGGCAGGGGCGAGAAGTTGAAAATCATCACAAGCGCACAGAGGCCGAAATTCCCGATCACGAACACTGGACCTACAAAAACTGGACAAATCACCAGACGTTGAGCTTGGGTCTCAAGCCCCTGGCTGTGCAGGAAGGCAGCCATCTCAAACATGCACCAGAGCCTTGGTACCGTCTGAGCAAGAAGAAAAGATCCTGCTAATATGATAATATTATGTTTAAGAGTTTGGGGCCTAGGGCTTAGGGCCAAACCACAACAAGAAGAAACCTAAGATTGGCCAAGAAGCCTGGTCACGAACGTGGCATCCCAAAGAACCAACAAAGAACGCGATCTCTTCAAAAACGCACCGATGCTGACGAGGGCTTCCATTTTGAGTTGTTCATCCAGCTGATTTACGCAGGCAACGTCCAGAAATACACGCTTCTTGCGTTGCCAAAGCAGCAGGGTCAGGTAGTAGCCAACAACCCCACTTGGAGTGCACAGTCGTTTCCAGGGCAGCAGACCAGTCGCATAGAGCGAGAAAGTCAAAATGGCACAGGCCGTGCCAGCAACGAAAGCCGGCAAGCCATTGTTCAGAAAGAGTACACTGAGATACTTTGTCAAAGGATGGACAAGCCAGCTGTGAGACCAAAACTCGTCAAGTATTGTCACCATCTCGCTGTGCCGATGAAGTCTATGTAGTCTTGCCTTCCACCAAAGCCCCGGAGCACTCTGAAGGACTCGAAATATACAGATCCCCCGCACGATTTCTGGCCTCGTGGCCTGCATGTGGGTCATGAGTGCGATATATTGGTCCAGGAACGGATTCTCACCCAGCGAGGTCTCGGAGCAATGGGACGCATCGGCTTCGGAATCTCCCGGCACGTTTAACGTGGAGACCGGCTGCTCCGTTTCCTGCGGCAAAGCTGCCGAAGCCTCTCCCGGGGCGCCTACGCAGACCGGCATAGGTCTGGTCGGCATGGCAAAAAAGGGCACTGTAAAACAGGGGCTCTAATAACTTCGAGTCGGCGAGAACAAGGTTACGGTGCCTTTATGCATAGCATAATTAGCCGTAAAGGGGACAATGCTGCCAGACTAGATCTCTTCTATTTCTTGCTAGAAGGAGAATGGACTGAGGCTACACGACAATCCTCCGAAGCGTGCCGGGCCTCACAACTTGAGACATGTCCGATGGCTGTACCCAGAGAGCCCAATACCCCTTAATTAAGGAATATGGCTTAAATTATATAGGGCTTCATATTATGAGTTAAGCTATATTTCCTTAATTAAGGGGCATTGGGCTCTCTGGGTACGAGGATCTTATACTCTCAGCTCGCAAGTTTAAGGGTTTAGGGTTAAGGGGTTTCGAAGCTCACACTCGCACAAGGCAGGCAAGGCTCCACATAGTCCACTAGGGTCTTAGGGTTGGGGTTTGATTAGGGTTTCGGGCTTCGGATTCGGCACAAATCGAGAGCCGCAAATGAGACCTTGCCACAGGGTCCTATGTGGTGTCGATGAAGGATTGAAAAGACCTCAGAAAATAAAGCCATCGCGTTGCGTCTGTTTGTTTTTGCAGGAAAAACGCAGGAACCCATAGATCAGGATCCTACAAAATAACAATAAATATTGTTATTAATACTAATAGCTAGAACCCAGAGTGTCGCAGTCAGGTTCCTACACCCCTGAACCCTAAACCACGCAGGAACTTCAAATCAAGGCGTCATCCACGGCTTGGAAGATGTCGAAGGCCTCTTCACAAGAAGATGTTGAGAGTTGAGGGCTTAGGACTGCTCCGCTGAGGGTCTTCAGGGGTAATATAGGGGCCCTAATAATTACCTATACTATCTTGGGGGTTCCTTATTATGTTTGTAGTATAAGAGGCCCCAAAACCCTATTCTGATTATTAAGGCCACTGCTATATGTGACCCTCAGAGTAGCCCTTATAGGCCCCTTTCAAAGCAACCCTAAACCCTAAACCTTGCTTTACTTATAGTGAACCCCAGAAATGGATTTAGGATGCCTTGTGCTGGGATCCCCTGTACTTTACTTTAGGGTTTAGGGTTTAGGGTTTAGGGTTTAAGGGGTTTAGGGTTTAGGGTTTAGGGTTACTGATGTTCCATCTTTCTACTTTTTTAAGGCCCCTGTGTTATGTGAATGGGCTGAGTTGTGGCATGGGTCAGCTTGACCTGGATAAGGCTACGCCATGTCTTTGGATCTTAGGAGTTCGGGCGTCAAGGGCAATGGTTTAGGGTTTGGGATTTTACGGGTGAGGGTTCAGGGTTCAGGGGTTGAGGGGTTTAGGGTGTAGGGTAGGTGACGTTGCAAGCCAGTTGCCAATGGGTAATCTGTAGCTACACCTCGGTGTTGCTTTGGGAGTCGGGATTAGGGTGCAGGATTCGTCCCCTTGACCCCCAAAACCTACATTCACCAAAGCCCTAAACTAAACCATTCGTTCACCAAGGGCTCTAGGAACCTCGGGGGATTCAAAAAACACCTACAGCCATCTTTATACACTCCCCAAAGTACTAGCCAGCTAAGAACCCTTAACCACTACATCAAACCCAAGCACCTCCTTTTTCGTTCCTGGGCCCTGTAATTTGGCACGATTTCCCACCCCAGTAGCTAACGGGTTCGACAAACATACTCGCACACCGCGGGCACGGATCAACGCCAACTTACTCAGCTTGCTACTCTGACATTCATTGTTGCGGCAGCAAACAAAAAGGGTATCCTAACTAAAAGACCCAAGTCCGCTAACAGTTTAATGTTTAGGGCTTCGGTGGCTAGTAGCGGAATTTTCGCACTAAGGGTGCCTCGCTTTGCGATCTCCCCAAAAACCCGAATCATTGCCCTAAACCGTTACCGCCCAAAGTCTGAACGCAACAACCATGGGAGTTCGGAATGCTCTGACTATGACCAATGACTATCGTATCCTATACTTACTACCCCAATGAACCACAGAAATAAAAGGTTACACTTTCCGATTCCTACTAAACGATGAGCACCCAACAAGTTTTTTAAAGGTTAGGTATTGGGGACCTAAGTATAATATACTATAAATATGTTGTCATAGAGTCCCCTTTAAGGGGTCTCCCTACTTGGAGGTTCATGGGTAGTTATAGGTAGGGTTATAAGTTATAAGTCCCCTAATTGGGATTATAATTATAGTCGCCCTACTTACAGCTCCACTTATAGTTACCCATGAACCTCCAAGTAGAATCCTAAACCCTATACCCTTATCGTATATAGATCCCTTTAACGGGACCCTCAAAACTACCCAAGAAAACAGACCAGGAGCCTCGTCGCGATCCAACGCCGCTGTACTCGCAGCCGTGGACATGGCCTGTCGGGAGACGCTCCAAGTCAGCTAGGATACCCAGTAACCTAAGAATAAAAAGGCCTCTCTTTTTGGTATTGGGGTAACTTTATAAGGAACCTAGGACTTCAAAAAGGGAATAGGGGTACTACTGGGCATCCTAGTCAGGCTTCAAGTCAGGGTTTAGGGTTTAGCTTCAAGTGAGGGTTTAGGGCTTAGGGTTTAGCTTCAAGTCAGGGTTTAGGGTTTAGCTTCAAGTCAGGGTTTAGCGCTTAGCTTCAAGTCAGAGTTTAGGGTTTAGGGTTTAGCTTCAAGTCAGGGTTTAGGGCTTAGCTTCAAGTTAGGGCTTAGGGTGTAGGGTTGAGCTTCAAGTCAGGGAGCCGGCTGTGAAGGTTTGGGGCTACATGTTGCCATCTTTTAGTAAGACAACGTTATACGCACATGTATATGAGACTACCATTGGAAACCACTGTCCTGCTGAATGAAGACTATGTATTGCAATATATTGAACTTTGTTATGCTATCTGGGAGACCGTGGAAGTCCGTGAAATTGCAGGGTCCGGTATTCGACTCGAGCCAGCTACAAAATGAAGCTGTCACAACCGTGCCTGTACCTTGCGAGACTGGAAAACGTGATCGGAACAAGCTCTTGAGACCAACACAGTCACTACAAATCACAGCCTTAGTATAAGCATAATCCCCCGACAATAGGATGAGGTCAGTCAGCTGTTAGTCCACACTGCCAATTCGTAGCCTCATGGCCGCCACGCGGATCGCCAAACCTCTGGCAAAGAGGGTACTGTAGGCTTAGGGCCTGCGGGTCTTTAGTGATGGCTTAAACCCGTTAAGCCTGACTGATGTTGTTGTTGATGCTGTTGTAGTTGTTGTTGTCGTTGCTGTAGTTGCTGCTGCTGTTGTTGTTGGTGGTGGTGTGGTTCTGATTATCGTGGTTATCGTTGGTGTTGTCGTTGGTGTTGTTGTTGTTTTGCTGTTGTTGTTGTTGTTGTTGTTGTTGTGGTTGTTGTTGTTGTTGTTGTTGCTGCTGTTGTTGTTGCTGGTGTTGTTGTTGTTGTTGTTGTTGTTGTTGTTGTTGTTGTTGTTGTTGTTGTTGTTGTTGTTGTTGTTGTTGTTGTTGTTGTTGTTGTTGTTGTTGTTGTTGTTGTTGTTGTTGTTGTTGTTGTTGTTGTTGTTGTTGTTGTTGTTGTTGTTGTTGTTGTTGTTGTTGTTGTTGTTGTTGTTGTTGTTGTTGTTGTTGTTGTTGTTGTTGTTGTTGTTGGTGTTGTTGTTGTTGGTGGTGTTGTTGTTGTTGTTGTTGTTGTTGTTGTTGGTGGTGGTGGTGTTGGTGTTGGTGTTGGTGCTGGTGCTGGTGTTGGTGTTGTTGTTGTTGCTGCTGTTGTTGCTGTTGTTGTCGTTGTTGTTGTTGTTGGTGGTGTTGTTGGTGTTGGTGTTGTTGTCGTTGTTGATGGTGGTTTTGTTGGTGTTGTTGGTGTTGTTGGTGGTGTTGGTGTTGTTGGTGTTGTTGGTGGTGGCGTTGCTGTTGTTGCTGTTGTGGTTGGTGTTGCCGTTGTTGCTGTTACGGTTGGTGTTGTTGCTGATATTATTCTTATTCTTGTTGTTGGTGGTGTCGCTGTCGCTGTCGTTATTGTTGTCGCTGTTGCTGCTGTTGCTGTTGTTGTTGCCGCTGTCTTTGCTGTCGTTGTCGTTGTTGCTGTTGCCGCTGCTGTTGTTGTTGTTGTGCTTGGTTGTACTGTTGCTGTTGCTGTTCTTGTTGCTGCCGTTGCTGCTGTTGTTGTTGTCGTCGTCGCTATTGTCGCAGCTGCTGCTGTTGTGGTTGTTGGTGATGGTAGTTGCGGTGGTGGTGCTCGCAGCAGCAGCACCAGCAGCAGCAGCAGTAGCAAAGGTAGGAGCAGCTCAGTAGAAGCAAGGGGTTGCGTAGTTGTTGAGTTCATAAGCCCCCCGAAAAGTGTACACCTGTAGGTTTATAGTGGGTAAACCTGTAGTTTTCTAGTGGGTAATATTATCCCAAAAAGTGTACAGTGTATCCACTCAGCTACTGAGGTTGTATCTCCGGGCGCCGGCTTAGGAATACGAATGGCCTCTGCAGTATGACATCGCCCAGCACCCTAAACTCTAGACACCTAAACAAACCCGAGGCCGTGAACGCTGAAAAGTGCGTAGCCTTAGCAATGTCCGTGCCTGAGCTCGACGATCATCATCCGCTCCGGATAGAGGCAAAGCAGCAGCTGCTTCTTCGGACCAGCCGTGAGAGGTATTACCTGGCTTCTAAGGTCTCGGAGCTCACGCATGCTCTGACAGAGGTGACACTGACACCGCCGAGCATAGACTCAACCGCATCACTCGTCAAATACTAAGCACAGGGCACAGACGATTTGGGCTTCTGGGCTTGGGGTCTGGAATCCCTCGCAATCAATGCTTCCAGGAGGTCATACTCTTCTCTGCTCCACTCGCAAAAGAACATGGTGCTCGAGATCAGGCCGTAACTAACAGGTTCCAACAGCAACCCAACAGAAAAACAACAAAACCCCCCAACAAAAACAAACGACCCCTGTTGCCCCACCGCTTTCCAGCTGACATGGCAAGAGCGGAGGCTCGAAACTTTGAAAATCAAAGCCTGAACACAAAGACTGGGTTGTAGTTTTGGGGCTCTGAAAAGTATTTATGAATAGGTACCTCTATAGGAACCATAAGTGAAATTTTAAAAAGTTTCCCAAATTGCCACCTAAAAGAAGAGCTCTTGGTAGGACTCGAGGGTTTGTTGTGTTTGCATTTTGGGGAAGCCGCAAGGCGAAAGGGATCAGAATTCGGGCTTTTTGTTCTTAAAAGCGCGTCGGACTTTTGAATTCGGGCTTAGGGCTTCGGGTCGGGGGTGCACCGCAGCTCTGCACAGCACCTCCTCGATGCCGTACACGAGAAGCTCTCCGATTTGCTTGTTGAGTTGCGCCTGAAGTCAAAGGGGGAAAGGAGGGACCCTTAATGGGGACCCCTGGGACCCTATAATGGGCTATATAAAGGGCCGATAATGGCTATATTAAGGGTATATTATCTAGGGGTCCTTATTAAGGGTCCCTCCTTTTCCCGTTTGATGAAGGGAATGACGGCAAGTTGGATTCCCGTGGGCATGATATGTGCAGAAGGCTTTACGAAGTCGCAAAGACACCGCCGAGTTGATCCCGACTTGGACGTATCAGAGTTGAAAGGTGCTATACTTGGGGCTATGACGTGTCACTACCAACTACCGACAAAAACCTTCACACAGCCAGCCTTTGCATTCAGGTGCGCATGTGCCAACCATGTGACAGGCTTCTCTACTCAGTCTACGTGCGCCAGTCCATGCTCCTCATGCTCAAGCAGCGAAACTGAGATTGAAAACAACAGCGAAGCCTTTCGGGCGCCGAATGTAACTGTCCAGGGTTTGGAGCAAAGTTTGGGGGCTTGGGACTAGCTAAACGTCAAGCTCACGTGTTCTACTAACCCGTTGAGATCCAAAGGCATGGTGCATCGCGATAGGAGGATACATTGGTGCGAAGTACGTACTTGAAACACCTGGCACTGGATTCAGATGGAGTCTGCTCTGCACCTGCATGCATACAGAAGCCCGACATCAGAGATTTCTGTTTCCTGTTAAACTGCCTGTACAAGGCACCGTACTGCTCATAGAACCCGCTTATCCTAGCCTCCCCTGTCCTCCTCTCTCTCTCTCTCTCTCTCTCTCTCTCTCTCTCTCTCTCGTTTTTGCCTATACTATACATTCTCGTAAATTGTGAAAACTAACGGGTCCAGAGACCTTCAACCCATGTGACAGCCAAACGGAGGGCCCTAATATGACACAGACCTGACATGAAACGGATCCTGAATATCGGGCGGGACAGCGCAAACCCCTTCAAAAGAATGGCTGACACGGTATGAAACCAGTAGAAACCCTGCAAGAACAAATGCCGCGTAAATTCCTGAACCCTAAACCCTCAACCCTATAACCAAACCCTCATCCCTTTTTTTGCATAACCTCTAAAATCCTAAACCCTGAACCTTGGATCCTAAACCCTAAACTCCTAAACCCTGAACCTTACATCCTAAACCCTAAACTCCTAAGCCCTGAACCTTTCATCCCAAACTCTAATCTCCCAAGCCCTGAACCTTTTATATATCCTAAACCCTAAACCCCTCAGTCGCCTCAAGCTCACACCAGGGACGCACCACGCCCAGCTTTCCGAAGAGCAACCGGGGCTGCCTTTAAGGGGGGTCCTGTAAGGGCTTGTTGAGGGTTCGCTTAAGGGTTCTTTGAGGCTCCCTTTAAGGGTTCCTTTAAGGGCTCCATACCCAGACCCCAGGGAGGATCTAGAAAGTAGATCCCCTAATTTTGGGCCCCATACTACTAAGGGTACTTTGTGGGAACCCCCCTTTCAGGGATCTACTTTTTGGATCCTCCCGGGGGTCTGGGTCTGGGTCTACTCTAAGGCCCCATCGTACATCGTACGGTTGGTAATATAAATCCTGCACTACCCATAATAAGGAATATACCATAAGTCGCATAGCTTAGGATCATTAAGGTAATGCAAGATTTAGACTATTTTGGGGTTCCTTATTATAAATATAGTCTAGTATAATGAATACCTTATAGACTTCTATGTATGAACCCCGGAAAGGAACTACTATGGGGCCTATGGGTAGGGTCTAGTTTTGCCTAGTTGCCGGGCATCATGGAGAACTAAAAGGTTAACGTTGTTGGTTGTATAGGGACTATCTAGATCCTAAACTACCCAGAAAAGGTTAAAGGTTACCTACTCTACTACTAGGTTTGGGGTCAGGGCGCCAGGATGTTAGGGGCGTAGGAGGCTTTCGATGTGAACGGGTTCAGAGATTGTAGGGCCTGGAGGGACAGTGACTAGGGTTCTGCAATGGGTTTCAGGTTCAAGGTGGGTGGAGGGTTCTGGGGATTGAAAGTTTCGGGTAAGTCGGGCCTTGTTAGGCAGATATCAAACTTATACGGGGGCCGACTACGTATCCTAGCCCAAAAAAGTTAAACCTGTTCGGTTATGTTAGGATTATATAAGCCGCAAAAGACTAAAGGTTGCCTACTCAGCTACTAAGAGCCACAAACCCCTATAGATTGCTTGTTGTCACTCGCACTCACCCTTCATTGCTCTCTCCATCGTTGCAGTCTGCCTTGCGAAGCGATGGATCTGGAAACCTGGCCCAAACCTCAAGGGCCCTCCGCCGACAAACCTCTTCATTTAACTCTCATCAAGTCAATATGATACCTTAGAATACGTAAACTGTACCTACTAAAAAACGCATGATACTAATAATAGCAGTAGTACTGATTACTAACTATAACTACACCGCTTTGGTGGACGGGTGTCGCTTCCTTGTAGGGCAGCATGATTGGGCTTCGGGCTTACTTAAGCAATCATAAACAGCAAGAGCAGCACCTCGCCCGAAAGCGGCGGCGCCGCCGCTTCGTGGCGTTGGAGTCCGGGTTTATGGTGTTGGCAATGCCTGCGCTGAGAGGGTGGGCATTTCTTGTTTTAATTGCGAAACAAAGAGACCCTAAACCCTAAACTCCTTTTGTCACGGGGCTTGCGGCTAGCCAGATCCTTGCAACCCTAAACTCCTGAACACTAAACCTAAACACTACCCCTAAACCCTCAAATCTATAGATCCCTAAAGCTCTAAACCACCGCTCGGGACTTTGCTTCTTGCTTGTGTCATGGAAAACGCTGTCGCGACCGAAGAAAAGAACAGGAGCTATTTCAGTTCCTAGAACCAGACTACGCCGCTAAGGCTTATGCTTGTACCCTAAATCCACAACCCAAAGTCCTAAACCAAAACCCTACTGGTTGTTGTAAGTTCGCTCCAAGCCTGGCAATCCCTCGATAGTGTTCCATGCGTTGCTTTTGCACAGATTCGCCCCCTCACCCTGTTGAGCTTATTTTCGAAGGTGTATTCGGGCTTCAAGCGTTTATGTTCTGCCTCTGCTTTGAGATACCTACTCAACTCCGCACAGGAGACACCCGGTGCGTGCGCATGTGGTCTGTTTCGCGATGTGGTGGTCGAGGAGCCTTTGTGCAAGAGCTTCCAACGTCCCGGAGCCTAGACCAGAGAAAAGCCCCAAACACGATCCGAAATGCCAAGACATGAGCTTCGGATATTGTGCGCTCCTACCTCCAAAATTTCCAAAAACGGTTTAAAAGGCCTGAACCCTGAACCTACACACCTGAAGAGAGAGGTAACCCGCACCTGAACCCACGTCACGGATCGCGAGGCCCACGTTGGAGACCTGGGGTGCCGGACATTAAGAGTTGAGGGCGGAGTGGAGGGAAGAAAAAGGGTGGGGGTGCTTTCTCTTTTATTTATCTCAGTTTTTCAGAGTTTGGGTGGGCGACTGAACCCTAGCGCCCAAAGTCTACAGATTACCGGGACTGTCGTCTTGCTGCTTTTGTAATGGATTCCAATGGATTCCAACTCTGCTAGCACAGTCGGGCCTCCGCCTACACCACGAATAGACCATCGGAAATATTGAGCAATACGGGGGGTTGAGTAATGGGTGGTTATAGGACAAACCTTCTTATTGTAGTCCCCAAGACTACCATTTACTGCAAGGCCTCTATACCAACTCCCGGTGAAGACGGCCGAGACGTCAGTAGACACCTAGGTAGCTAAACCATACATGTAAGACTCCAAAACCCCCCACTGCCTGCGTGCCGTCGAGCTGCCGGTTTCACGCAGGAGCCTACCAAACCACGTCCCAGGCCTGTGAAGAAGCCTGCATGACACGTTGGGGCCATGGGGAGAGACACATGTGTATAAGCAATCAAGCTGGCACTCGGCTAATTAATTGTTCTTCCATGATGGGGGCGATTCTGCTTCCATGTTCTGATGTTCTAGTAACTTAGTATCCGCCCCGCCTGCAACGCCATCTTGCTCAGCACCCCTCATTGGCTCGCGCACGATGTCTGCAAGGCCGTCGATTCCTGGACTACTGGTGCATGCCGTAGGCTCTTTGTTGCCACTGCCAGCCTGGAAACCCTGATGCCGAGGCAAGCGCTGTTGTATCTGTAGCTGTATGTATGTACGTCATGCATTCAATCAACCTCTCAGCAGATATGCACAGCTAAGGCCCTGTGCTCGTCATCCACCATGAAGCTAAAAGCATGTCCGGCCTGTGCCCGAATACTGAAGCCCTGATAGGCAAAATGCCTGGGACCCAAACTCACACACTGGATTCGGCTTTTAGGGTTTAGGGGTTTAACCCTAAATAAACCAAAACCCCCTTAACTTCCAAGCCAGCGTCCCTGCTGCAGGGATTTCCCGGCTTCGGCAAGACCATCCTGAATGCTCCTTGGCACGATGTCGGAAGGTGGCATGGGGATTTCTTCGAGAATATCGAGGGTAATGTAGGGACCATAACAAGTCATACCATAACATGCTATTAGGGAACCACCAACATAGTATAGGTCGTTTTTCAAGCCCCTCTAATACTTTTTCCCCACCCGCCCCTCTAGGAGTCCTTTTTGTTTTGAACGCCTTGTTCCTCAGCCTCACACCCTCTAGGACCCAAAGAGCCCAATATCCCTTAATTAAGTAATATACCTTAAATCATAGTCTGACGCCCTCCATAATTTAAGCCATATTCCTTAGATAAGGGGTGCTGGGCTCTCTGGGGAGTCTATGCTCTAGGGTTTCTTTGGTGACAGGCTTCGGGATTTCTCGGGCGCTCCGGAGGCCTGGGAACCCCTCACAGGCGTCCTGAGAGCTTGTATAGTTCAACTATGGGTTTTTAAAGTTTGTAGAGTATATTTAGGACTGCATATATACTATACATACATACATACATACATTTTTTGTCACTCGTGCTCGACAAGTCAGACGAGGTTTGACAAGATGAGGCAACTACTTAGGCATGGGCCCATACGCATTGGAACAGGCCAGAGCATTAGCAACTCCATATTCGGCAACTCACGATTCAGCGCAACTAAAAGGTCACAGTCTCACGATCTCCACTCACACTCACTGCCCCACAAGCCGGTCAGGATTCCGACTTCACAGGCAGGTCCCAAAAATATATGCACAGCTCCCAGCAGCCCTAGTCAGGCGAGGCCAGCCCCAGCATGTGCACTGTACCATTTGCAGACGTGCGTGCACTCGGTCTCCAGGAACTGAGGCCAGCTGCAGCTGACAGCTTCCAGCAGCACAAAAGGAACAAGTGTCGTCTATGGCAAGTGCAGGCAGTGTCACAGTCAGGCAGCTCCCAGCAGCCCTAGGCAGACGAGGCCAACCCCAGCATGTTCACTATACCATTTGCAGACATGCGCACACCCGTTCTTCAGGAACTGAGGCCAGCTGCAGCTGACAGCCACAAGCAGCTCCAAAGGAACACATGTGGTCTATGGCAAATGCAGGCAGCGTCACAGTCAGTTTGTGTTCAATGTCGCCAGGATTCATGTTGATCATGCTCATTCCTCTTTCTCGCCAAAGTTGTCAGCTCCCTTGAATCCGGCTTAAATTAGGCCGGCCACACATCAAAGATCAGCACCAGTTTGAGAGCAGGGAAGCCATCTCTCGGAGAGTACACTCCCGCATGCCCGGCAGTTGTATCATCAAGCAGCGAGACGATCACGAATAGGCTCCGCCAGAGGAGCGGACCCACAGATTATTCCGCATGCTCGCCAGACGTAGACAGCCATAAGCAAACATACATACATACATACATACATATATATATATATATATATATATCATGATTTCATATATATATATATATATATATATATCTTTGTGTGTGCATGGTGTTAAGGGTATACTTAAGGACTTATGGGGTTCAGGACGAACCAGTTGGATTGCCTCGGGCCACGTGGGAAACAAAAAACACCTGAACCCTAAGCTGGGAGTTAGGATTAGGGGGACCCTTGGGGATATAGACCCTCTCAATAAGGCCCCTTTTTAAAAGAGCCAGAAGTAGGGTTCAGAAGGGGTACCCTTTAAGGGGTCTCCCTAATAATACTACCAAAAAACCCTGACCCGTGAAGAGGGATCGGTGGCACGTTTCAAGGCGACGCTTCTTCTTTCGGCAGGAATTGAACATGAAGTAGTGTAGGAAGCTGAGTAAGAAACCTTGGGCCTTTATTTGGGTTCCTTGTATGAACCCTACTATTTTGGGGCTATAGGACAAGGGTTTCTTAACCAAGTTCCTACATTAGGGATCAAAGGCTGGTGAATGGTGCGAAGGGGCGGCTTGTTTCAGGACTGGTTCTGAGCCCAACTCTGTGCCCTAAGGCGCAGGTCGAACTGCGAATCTCTACATGCGACTCAGTGAGTGGTGCGCTTGTGATACAAGCCAATAATATAGGGGGCCTTAATAATTAGAATAGGGTTTTGGGGCCCAATATGCTCTAGTCGTAGAAAGGAAACCCCCAAACACTAGATGTAATTACTTAGGCCCCTACATTACAACCACAGCTTGAGACGAGTTGCTCGATCTGCTTGGCATTCCGGATCTGTCTCTGGCGTGCGATGTACCTCAAGCAGAACCCCCTAAAAACGATGATCTCATTTCAGCAAGATGTATGACTACCATATTCTCGCTAGTGGGTTTTTGTTTATCATCACTACCTTGAGGGTTCAAGCCCTCAACCCCCCTAAAAAAAAATGAAGAGAGCGGTACAGGCATCGCTTTTGGCAAGACTGCAGCCTGAACTACTGCCTGATATGGGGGTTTCCGAAAATAGGGGACCCTAATATAGTACCCAAAATAGTAAGATCCTTATTATAAGGACCCCCCAAAAAGGTACCCTTAATTTTAGGAAACACCCATATTTCCTGGCAGGAGTCAGAAATCCAGTGGCTGGCAGCAGCAGCGATAATGGTAGTGGTACTCGTGGTGGTCGTGGTGAGGTAGTAAGCAGTAGGTAGTAGGAGGTGGTTACCGATGGCCAGTAGGCAGTGGGAAGCGGCTACTGCGTAAGCTATACTAGACTAGATAGTAGGTGGGAGGCGGTATGCGGTAGCAGTCGTGAATAGTAGCAGTAGCAGTAGCAGCTGCCAGAGCAGCAGCAGCAGCAGCAGGAGGAGCAGCAGCAGCAGCAGCAGCAGCAGGAGCAGTAGCAGGAGCAGGAGCGGTAGCAGCCAGGTAGGAGAAGATTAGCAGCAGGAGGACTAGTAGCAGGAGCAGGAGCAGCAGCAGCAGCAGTAGCAGCAGTAGGAGCAGGAGCAGGAGCAGGAGAAGGAGCAGGAGCAGCAGAAGCAGCAAAAGCAGGAGAAGCAGCAGGAGCAGGAGCAGAAGCCGAAGCAGAAGCAGTAAGAGTAAAGCAGGAGGAGTAGGAGTAGGAGCAGGAGCAGGAGCAGGAGCAAAAGCAAAAGCAGAAGCAGGAGGAGTAGAAGCAGGATGAGTAGGAGTAGGAGTAGGAGTGGAGTAGGAGTAGGAGTAGGAGTAGGAGTAGGAGTAGTAGTAGTAGTAGTGGTAGTAGTGATGGTGGTAGTAGTAGTAGTAGTAGTAGTAGTAGTAGTAGTAGTCGTAGTAGCAGTAGTAGTAGTAGTCGTCGTAGTCGTGGTAGTCGTAGTAGTAGTAGTAGTAGCAGTAGTAGTAGTAGTAGTAGTAGTAGCAGCAATAATAGTAGTAGCGGCAGCAGCAGCAGCAGGAAGAGGAGGAGGAGGAGTAGTAGTAGTAGTAGTAGCGGCAGCGGTAGCAGGAGCAAAACAGCTAGGTAACTAGTGCCAGTAAAACCACTACCAGCTGCTTGTAGAATAATATCGGCGCTAGGTCTCAATTCAGACCACAGACATCTCAAGTCTCTTCACCACAAACCCTAAAGCCCGCACCGAAGCCTAATCCTCCTACGGGAGACTTTTAAAACCAGACCCGTGTATCACTAAATCCTCCAAGAACCCCTCAACCCTAAACCCAGATCCTTCTACTTGGAGGTTCGTGGGTAGTTCTAAGTAAGATTATAAGTCCCCTAATAGAACTCTATCCGCAGTTACCATACTTGTAAACCCACTTAGAACTACCCATGCGCCTCCAAGTAGGCCGTAAACCCTATACCCTTATTGAATCCCCAAATGATCCCTTCAAAGGAATCCTTATAACTACCCATGAACCTGCAAGTATCTTTTGCGGCGAAAGTGCTCCTCGTCCAAAGTCAGTGTGCTCAGGAGGGAGGCCGCCTCCAGGGGATGTTTTCGTACAAACATGATAAGGAAGAGCAAAAAGTAGAATAAGGAAGAGCGAACAATATAATCAGGAATAGTGGAAACATAATAAGGACTAGTAATTATGAATATGATAAGGAACAATATAAATATAGTAAGGAGTAATATAAATAAAAAAAGGAGCCCAGAGGAACAGTGTTGGCAAGTATTGAGGCTTCCTTGAATAAGGTTTTACCCGTGGCTCACGGGGGCTGGGCGCCGCGGGTGACTAACAAAGACCTTCAACCATAAACCCTGTACTCAACACATCTCACTGCGGCAATAGAAGCAAAACAATCCAGCATCCGGAACTTCGGAAAACAAGAGATCCCATTAGACACAATACGGGAGTTATGGCCCACCTTTGCAGCTGGAGTCGCCAAACCCCTCCGCCCCTGCCCTGGTCCGACCTCGCCAGTCATCTGAGAGAAGGAATCCGTCACGTAGCCTGGAACGACTTGTCAGGGCGCAAACCCGACTTAAGGAGGCATGTCGAGGCTTTGGCGACGAGGTCCACGGGGTGGATAGGGGGAAGATGCAGTTTCACAGAGGATTCAGGTTTGGTGCATCTGCTCCACTCCGGCGACTTCAGACGAAGCCATGACGACTAATTAGAATGAAATGAAAAATACTGTTAAACTCTTCACTGAAAAAGGGCCTCAGGTTCGTGAGTCGGGATCCGTCTAGGCCTAAACTAAGGTTTCTTGCAAGTGTTGGGCTTTTTGACGCTCACACTCGCACGTGTCCAGGCAGGCAAGGTCTGAAGACGAACTCGGTATGTTCTCGTGAACTGGGCTTAGGATTTTGGGTTTATCTCGAAGCTCCGCTGTAAACTAGATCCGAGAGGATCAATGACAAGAAACAGACTAGAGTGCATAGAAGCAGCTCCAACTTTCACGTCGCTACACGATCCCCTGCGCTCCCTTTCGAGCCACTCAACACTCGAAGTACGATCTCAGGGCCCCACAACACTTGTGCATGCACATATAAATATGTATATATATATATAGAGAGAGAGAGAGAGCGAGAGAGAGAGAGAGAGAGAGAAGTATAAATATAAATCAATATGGATAAACGAAAAATAATAAGCACACATATCTTCAAACATGACAACTGCATATCTGAATGGATAACTAAAACCAAATGAATAAGTAAGTAAATCATTATATATATATATATATATCTTATAATATATATATATATATATATATATATATATATATACATGTATATGTATATATATATATATATATATACACATGTATATATATATATATATATATGTATACATATGCTGCGAGCGCACAAGCAGGGAGGCGCGATTCTGCAGCCCAGGAAGCTGCCACTCGTCATGAGAATACGAAGGGGAACCCGTGGAAGATTCAGTACCTCATTAGGATTTAGGGGGTTTTACGGGCTTTAGGGGTTTAGGAGTTTAGGGGTTGTAGGGGTTAAGGTTTGGGGATTAGGGCTTCGGCTCACAAACATCTTCTCAAAGCTTGTGTATAGCGCATTTTTGTTTGCCTGACATTGTACAAAGGAAACACAAGAGCCTTAACTTCTCAGCCCTGAACCATAAGGAGTTTTAGATGCGAGCTCTTGAGATGGTTTGGGCTGCCATACATCCCCCTTAGCATCAAGTTTGAATCTCGTTCAAGACCAGAACATAGGCAGGGCTCGCGCTGAGGAGCTTCGGTAACTTTCAAAAGCCATGCCGCTAGGTCCGGCTTATAATGCATCATATATGGGAGTTTCCGAAAACAGGGGACCCTAATATAGTACCCTATATAGTAGGATCCCTGTTAAACTCCCATATTCTCCAGGAGTGAGTGTGTAAGGGCCTTTGGTCAGGTGCGGAGAAGATCGGGGCAGAGGCTGTTGCAGTCTACTGGTCCGGTTGGGTTTACTTACCTTTGGTTAGTAGGGCATTAAAGGGGTCTTAGAAAGGGGTCCATAAGGGTTACTAGAAGGGTACTATCACATAGGGGCCTTAATTATCCTGTGGCTTACCTGTGGTTCGTAGGGAATGGAGGAATGGGGCGCAATTATGACTACTATTACTACCATTCCTCCATTCCCTACTAGCCAAAGGTAAGTTTAGGCATGGGCGCGTTGTTCCTTCGACTCAACACTGTTGTGCCGAATCAAGAAATTGCGACATGAATCCAGCTCATCAGCATTTCGGGAACAGGTTGTATGAGGACAAGTGATTTGGGGACGTGATGCGGCTTGCTACTTTCATTCTCAATCAGGCTTGCTTTGAAAGATTCAGACATTCGAGCTTAGATTGAAGATTGCATCAAAGGCTTGGTACTTGACTTGTCGGCGGGTGGCAGTTCTCAATCTACTTACTCCTGTGAACCTCCGCAACAGTCCGGAGTGCCTCCTGAACCCGTAGCCGCCCTAAACTCTTGTAGGCTGGAGAACCTCATGACCCACCATCATGCCAAGGCCCACGTCGACGTCCCGAACACCACAAACTCATCAAAAACCGCAGACGAGATTACCTAAACCCCTAGCACTAAACCCTAAAACACTCTAGACCTCGAAACCCTGCAGGCCTAACCCCCTAGGCTCCTACACCCAAACCCCTAAACTCCTAAACCAATCATCCCCACAGCATCCTGCGGCCAGCGCTGCGGAGCTCTTGCCCAGCAGTTCGCCCATGTGGCTGAGGAGATTCATTGCGTACCTGACGGTTTCGGGATTCTCGCTCGCTGCTTGCGCTCCCGGGAGAAGAGCATCATCCGGGCAGATGTGTTGGCTCGATATTATGACAGAAGTGATTGGCCTGAACGGTTTGGCACCAGCCCCGATGCAAATCTTAAACCCCGAGGGCCCCAACCCAAAAGCCATCGTAAACCTGGAACTGTAAAGCCCAACCTCTAAACCTTCAACCCTGAAGCACCTTTTACCCGAAGGCCCGAAGCCTAAAACCAAAAAGCTGGTTACCCGAAGCCTAGAACCAAAAAGCTGGAAACGTCTGACCCCAGAACCCCTTGACATCGAGACTTATTCCGAAAGCTTAAACTCTATAGTAGCCGTTCGAGAGCTTTTGCTGCAAGGATCCGTGAACCACCCCTAGACTCTAGGATGTAGCACCTCTTTCGGGATGACCTATGCTTTGGTTAGGATCATAAACTAAGAGATGAAGGCAATCAGAGGCATTACACCTTAACAAGAACCGAACAAGCCATATAGATGGTTCCTGTACCCTAAAGGTTCTTTGAGGCCTAAGCTTTGTTAGGGCTCCAGAAACCCCAAACTCCAAATCCGAAATCCACGAAACTCCAAATCCTGAACCCGCGAATCCAGCCCGCGAAGTGAAACCACCCTAAAAGCCCTAAACCTAAATCCTGAAGGCCCTAAAGCCCCCGAGGCACATCGCGCCAAGGCCACGAAGGAAGTCGTGCAGAGAGCCACGGTGCGGCGGGATGTTGCGCTCCTTCAAGGGTTGAAATCCAAGGGTAAAAGGAGGGACTCTTATTAAGGACCCCTAGGTATATACCCTTAATATAGCTATTGTATACCCATTATATAGCCCATTATAGGGTCGGGGTGGCCCAGAGGTTGCTATAGGGGCCTTAATAATTAGAATAGGGTTTGGGGACCTATTATACTATAAATGTGATAAGGAACTCCCCAAAATAGTATAGGTAATTATTTAAAATTATTTAGGCGCCATACAGTCAGGGTTTACCCTAAACCCTACCTGTGGCCAAAAAGACCTACTACCTTTTCAAGAGCCATATATACCTTAACCCCAAGTAACCTACCTTTTTAAGGACTTATTATATAAAGAAATCATATTAGGGAACCCGAAAAAGGTAGGTTCCGTAGGCTCCAGGTAGAAACTATAATAAGGAACCCTAGAAAGGTAGGTCTCTTCGGCTACAGGTAAGCCAGAGGGTCACGGGGTTCGGCTCTGGTGCTACTTTGGGGGAGTTTCCGAAAATTAGGGGACCCCAAGATAGTACCCTAACTAGTAGGATCCTTATTATATAAGGACCCCCCAAAAAAATACACCCTAATTTCCGGAAATATAGAAGTGTTTTAGGGTTTAGAGCTTCCGAAAATTAGGGGTACCGTATTTGGGGGTCCTTAGAAAAAGGGATCCCAATAGTTCAAGGTATTATTTCAGGGTCCCCTGTTTTCGCAAACCCCATTCTGGGCTCGAAAACTCTTAGGCAAACTTCTCCAGAGCCTACTCTGTCTCGTTCGACACAGAGGCCCCATAGTCATTCCGTTTTGGGGTTCATATATAGAGTCCTCCTATAAGGTAATCCCGAACAGGAAGCCCCAAAACTACGTAGAATAATGGCCCTTTGTAGGTTTTAGGTCATTATTTTACCTACTTTTGAGGGTCTAGGTATGGGTAACCTTATCGGATGATTCTCGTCGGGGTTTCGACCCATGGAGGGGCACGGTTTAGGGTTACTTGGAACAGGGTTTGGGGGCATAAAAATACTATACTTCTAGAAAGGAACCCCGGTAGGGTACTATACTTGAAAAAAGGAACCGTAGGAATACTCTCGGCTATTGGTAAGTATTTAGGCCGCTAGAGTAATGCAAACCCAACCTAAACCCTGAACCCCAACCCAAAACCCTAGATCCTAAATCCCAAACCCTAAACCCCAAACCCTTAACCCTAAACACTACCCTTGTTGCCCATTGTCTCCGGAAGCTTCAGGTCGACTCCGTCGAGGGTCAGCTGACCCGAGAAAGAAAGCATGCGGATGGCCTGCAGGGTTTTGCTGTTGGGTTATAGGGTTATATAGGGTTTGGGGCTGTGGTGTTATACGGTTTAGAGTTATGTAGGGTTTGGGTTATGTAGGGTGTAGTGTTCTTGCTTGTTTTGCTTAAGGGCTTACCCTGAACTCTCAATGTAAGCGGATTCTGAGGCTCACTCTCGGACTGCTGGGGATTTCAGTTCCAGGGATTTAGGCTTAGGGTGCTTTGTGGTTGGTTTGGCGTGGATGTTTTGTTTAGGGGCTTCGGGATTAGTTAGGGTACAGGGACTAGAACGGGTTTAAGACTCAAGGTGCTTTGTCGTTGTTTGTCCTACCGCACGGATCACGACTGCAGGTAAAGGTGTTGGCTGGATCATTTTGCAAAGCATTTCACTTGGGGCTATAGGCCTGTGGATTGGAGTTCGTTGTTGATTCTAACTTGAAAAGCTCTGAGTGCGAGATGACAGGCCTTAGAAGGCTGTAGATGGAAAAATACAGACACAAGAGGCAGTTCGTATTTCGTCCACTAGGTATCTAGTGCGTCATAGGGTTGGAGGGGTGTACTACATACTTGAAGGCGTCTCGTCGGGTCGCAACCGAGCCCTAAAAGCATGATGTACGGGCCTGCTTAGCTCGAATACGGTTTGGGGGGGGTAAATTGTACTATACTTATAATAAGGAGCCACCAAAACCCTATTCTACTTATTGAGGCCCCTACATTGTTCGTCTACCAGCTGAAAACAGCAGCCTCGGGGGATGCAACCGAATAATATGGGAGTTTCAGAAAATTAGGGGTACTTTGTTTTGGGGTCCTTGTAATGCGAGTCCTGCTATTTAGGGCCTAGAATAGGGTTCCCTATTTTAGGAATCTCCCAAATATAGGGGGCCTTCATAATTAGAAGTTTTTGGACCCCTTATAGTAGAGTTATAATAAGGATCTTTCAGGAACAGTGTTGGTAATGATTTAGGATCCTATATTAGCTGTCAGCTCGAAACCACCAAGAGCAGCAACAGCAGGATTCAAAAGGACATGTCTCCATATAAGAGCATATTATACAAACGCCCAAACAATTCCAGTAACCAGTCTTTATCACTACCGCCTGTTCTCCCTACCGTCAAGCATGGTGTAACACGACACGGAATCCTTTTTTGTTGGGAACTAGCAGCAGGTCGCTGTGGTGTCTAAACGGTCATTATACAAACCTCAAATGGTTAAAGGTTACCCACTCAACTACTATGTCTGAGATACTCCGAAATCCCTGACCGTAAGGTACCTGGGTACCACAGCCCCTTAGGTCAGTACTGGATCAATATGGAAGCCATGTAGAACCCCCGAATCCAGGTAGCATGGGCTTGCGATGCTAGAAACCGCCAAAAAACAACAAGCTTCCATGTTCTCTCCACGGCACCGTGCGAATCCACTGCGGCAGGAACCGCACCGTGCGTAGCTTCAGCGCGCACCATACAGTGAGATCGACCTGCTCATACTCCGATTCGATATTAAGAGTAAACGGTTTCGGGTTTAGGAGCATTGTCAATTCAGAAGTTTCGTGCACCTCTTGGATCAGGCATGCGAGTTGCAAGGGAGTGCGAGTGTCGCACCTTCGTCTTGCGTGGACGACCAGGGAGTCAGCGGCAGTAAGTATGATCAGCAGGGTCCCGAATCTAAAGCAAGCCCAGCTAGCCGACCTTTACATTCGTGGTAGGATTATATCAACCCAAAAGGTCAAAGGTTTCCTACTCAGGCACTAGTGCCCCTGATAGAACCCCTATAGAACCCTTAAACCCCTTAGCAAGCCTTGGAAATGAAGAAGTTGTCCACTTGGATGACCGCCGGAAGCGGAGGCGGCTGGTAACCTGCTTGTTAGTTGAAGGCCTTTGGGCTTAGGGTTTGGGGTCTAGGGGTCGGGGTTTCGGGTTTAGGTTTTAGGGGTTCAGTTTGGGATGAAAGAGCAGACCGTCAATCAGAAGTGTAAGGGCGCTGGGAGTTACGGGACGCTTGACCGTGAAACTCACTCATGGACTTTACGAAACCTTTCATGCGGATCTTGGAAGAGATTCGTAACAGAAAGGAAGGGAGCTGTTGTAAGTAGGAGTTACTTTTTCGGCCTCCCAGATACAAGGACATCGTATTGCAGTGTTGTGGCGGTCGTAGTAGTGGTACCAGTAATATTAACATTGCTTGCTTGACTATTTATAGAATTTATAGTTAGTTACCAGCAGTAGCAGCAGCACCACCAGCACTGGCAGGAAAAACATCAGCCGTACTGGCGCTGCTGCTGGTGGTGAGGTGCCCCCGTTACCATTCAAGCACTGGTGTTGCTGCTCGTGCTGTCGCCGGTGTAGTTGTTGATGTTGATGTTGTTGCTGTTGTTGTGGTGGCAGCGGCGGCACCTACTATCGTTGCATGTGTCGTTCGTTGCTGCTGTCGTGATCCCCGGAACGATTGAACCCGCTGAACCATTCCAAAAAGTCTGAGACCCCATTTTTTCCCACATGCTCGTTCCCTTCGGCCAAACACCCTAACAGTAAATCAACAAAACAAAGATCTTGATTCTAGCGGTTAGGGTTTGGGTTACAGTACAGGACGAAAAGATGGACAATGAGTATGCACTAACCCCAAACCCGAAGCCGAGAGCAACGCGAAAAGAATCATATTAATACTACTTCCTGCCACTAGCTTCCGCCTCTGTGGCCTCGACATGATGTGGGGGGTGTTGTGAACTTGAGGGATTTAGGGTTTAGGCCTGTGACTACCTAGCACGACTCACAGACCCGAACAAAAACGCATTGAGCGTGTCAATGAACCCCCGCCCCCAACACCATGACTCAACAACTCTGGATCCTGTCACTGTAAGAATGCCCACTCTCCGCCGCCCAGCACAAAGAATGTGGATGTAAAGTCAGTCTGTCTGGGTGTCTACCGATCTGTCTGTCGACCTATCCATCTATCTATATTACCAGCCATTATCTATATCTGCCTGTATCTGTCTCGGAAACGCAAATAACGACTTCTACCAACGCATACACTCACAAATATTTATATACACGTATCTCTTCCTTTCTGTCCCATATTTCTATTTTATCTATCTATCTCTACCTACCTATCCACCTATCTACCCATCGATCTATCTCTATGATTCCATATATGGCCATATTTATCCTACCCATCCATCTGCACATGCATGGTGCATAAGGCATGTCCTTGTGCGTACATGTGCAGGTATGCATGTACGTCAACGTATGCGCGTACAAACATATATGGATATATCAATACCTACATTGATGCATCCATCCATCCATCCATACACATATTTCTGTAGAGGGGCCCGCTCTGTGTGTGTATATATACATTTTATGTATACATATACATATATATATATATATAAACATAGTTTCATCATAATCGTAGCCAAGAACTTCATGCCGACACCACAGACAGAGCCTTCCAGCACCGACTGTCCCGCCACGCTTGAAATGTCGGCAAAGCGAAAACCTGGCCGCGACTCCCTGGTGCTTATCAGGGAACTTAGTTGCTGAGTTCATAAGCCCCCCCCCAAAAGTGTACACTTTCAGCTTGATAGTATTTGTGATATTATGACAAAAAGTGTACACTTTCAGCTTTATAGTGTGTATAAGATTATCAAAAAAAGTGTAAAGTGTATCCACCCAGCTACTAAGATGAGGGAATGGATCCTTATAGCAGTCCCTATATAACCCCCAAGAAGACTTCCCATAATCCATTTCCCATCCCCTACTAAGAACCAGGGAGGGGAGGGTTGGGCGGTTCGGATCTCATCGTTTGTTTTTTAGGGAGTTTAGGGCTGGCTGTCTAAGCTTCGTGTTACCCTAAACCCGAAACCCCAATGCCCTAAACCCTAATGCCCTAAACCCAAAACTGCGAAGCAAAAACCCTTGTGGGAACCCTACAACCTTAAACCCCAGCTTGCGAATGACAGGCGATGGTAACAATCATAGAGTCATGGGGACCCTTAGGGGTGTGGGTGGGAGGGGGCGGTGGGGGGACTATACTTCCTTAAATAGGCCTTATTGAGTCCTTCAGCCCCCCTACCCCCCGCCCTGAAGGGTCCTTATCATAGAGGAAGCCGCTGAGCTTGAGAGGGGATTTGGGGTATGCTGGTTCCAAGCCCGAATAGAGGGATCCTGAAGCCCTCAAGGAAACCCAGAGCCTTAAAAGGAACCCCGAAAAGGAACCCTGAAGCAACCCTAATATCTAATAGACGGAGCGTAAAGAGGCTGTTAAAAGGCAACTTTAAACTTAAGGGGCCTTCCAGGCAACCCTAACACGGAAAAGGCAATATTCTGTAAGTAAGGACAGCACATAAAGTTACGAAGGGAATTTGATGATATGGTTTCAGGCGTCTGTCTGTATGGAGAACTTCAAATAAATAGGTATAACGATATAAAGATATATCAATATATCCAGGTATAGACTTGTAGAAATAGATCTGGACACAGATATAGGTGTGTATATGTGTATGTATGTATGTATGTATGTGTGTGTATATATATATATATATATTTGTATCTTAAATCTTAGAAATATTGGGCTCTCTGGATCCAGCATCCCTCTTCTCCGTTCCCAAAAGCCTCGGCGAAGGGATGCGCCGCTGCGAAGTTGATCCGCCCAGGACTGAAATGCATTTTAGGGTTTTCGACGCTCACACTAGCACAAGGCAGGCAAGGCTCCACATAGTCCACAGTATCTCCACTACAGGCAGAGGTTAATGCACAGTTCCCTCCACAAAGACGGCATGCGTGACACAAAGACGGCATGCGTGATTATTTACAACAACATAAAATCAACGCATTGAGTTGCAGGCACAGGAACTGTCGCACTCCTCCAGAGCTTGGGCTTGCACCCCTATTTCAAAACAGGCCACCTCTCTACTCTACTCAGCCATCGTTGTGCATCTTAGGGTTTAGGGTTTAGGGCCAAGAGTTCGGATTAGGGGTTCTTTGACACTCACACTCGGACTGCGGATTACGGGTTTAGGGTTTCAGCTATTTTGAGACTTCTTTCTATACCTTACCTACCGAACCCTACTTCTTTGTAGGTTCTTAATATAAGCCCCAATATGGAATTTGTAGGGACCCTACGTACAAAAAAGTAGGTTCTTGTAGGTTAAGGTATGTTGCCTATACTAGACCCGAAACGGGCTGGATTCCTTTTACGGCCCCGGGGGAGACCTGACCTCTGATTCTGGGTTCCAAGCTTCTTGCCTACAAAGTTCAAGCGGATCAAGCCCCAGGGGTTCAAAAAATCCTACCTTAGGGTTTAGTTTTTTTGTTTAAAGGGTGTAGGCTGTAGGGTTTTGGGTTTGGAGTTTTGTTTTGAAGGCCTTTTGGTTGGGTTTAGGCAAAAAGCCCTCGACGCAGATCAAAACAGCCCGCCCTGCCTGCAGGGGATCGAGCCAGGCATCGTCAATTGTCAAATCGATGGAATCCATCGCGACCTTCCTCAGGATGCGATGTTCTTACCTTTGGTTAGTAGGGAATGGAAGAATGATAGTAATGACAGTTGTAATTGTACCCCATTCCTATATTCCCTACTAACCAAAGGTAAGTGCTGCTTGACAATGAAGCTTTATAGCGCTTGGGCGTAAAGCTTAGAGGCTTAGAACTCCTAACAGACTTCAATACTTCAGGATCTCCGGTGCCCCGCCCCTGCAATGCTAAACTGCGTAAACCCTCAACCCATCTTACCTCTTAATAACGAGCATGGCTTCAGGGTTTGCGGGCTTTTGGTGTTCGGCTGCAGGATATGTCGCCAGTCGCCACTCTAGGCAAGACCAGGGGCAGGACTTGAGGTTGGAGGGGTCTTGATGAGGATATGCAACCCTCCCGCTCTAGGTCATGCTGTTCAGCAGCGCTCTTTCCGCAACTGAAACCCTTAAGAACAAGTCTCAGTAGTGGGCAGTTTTTTGACTCCGGGACATCTCCACTCACACTGCTGGTGAAACGTGTTTGGCTGGGTCGAGGATGACAGAATCAAGACGAATTCAAACAAAGTACTGGGCCGAGATTTTGCAAGGCTTTAGCTTCAGTCAGTAGCCGTCTATCCTATGACGCCAGCCAGGAACCCCCCAGCTACCAACTCAGTACGAATAGGCTTGGGGAAAAGACTCGGGTCACGTGACAGCACCATTCCCGAATCCAGCGCCGCCAATTCTCGGACTCAGCTCTTGTCGCAAGAACCGACACTAAACTACAAAAAGCCGCCTCCCTGAACCCAGCGCTTCGCGTTTTTTGGGTTCAGGGAAACTCATCGCTGGGCCCGGCTGGCCCGAACTGCTCCCACTCAGCCCGAACAGGGAAGGGGTCGTCTTCAAAGAAGTAGCCTTAGTTGCTGAGTTCATAAGCCCCCCAAAACTGTACACTTTCGGTTTTTATAGTGTGTAATATTATCCCAAGAGGTGTAAAGTGTATCCACTCAGCTACTAAGAAGCCGTTCTCTGCCGGTGGCTTCACACCCCACAGCTTGGAAATCTCCTTCTTGTCGGCTTTCGGGATGTTTGAGAAGGGCCCGTCTGCGAAGGATGGCGTGAAGGGAGGCGCCATCTGCCGCAGGCTGTCCCAGGACCCATGGGGCCCAGACACGGGCTGGAAGAAGCTGTGCTCAGCGAGCGACTCTGCCCCGCCCGGTGCTCGTTTCGAAGGATCCATCACCAAAAGCTGACGGATAAGCTGCTTTGCTGAGGTGGGCACAGATTTTGGGATGCTGTACTGGCACTTCTGGATCCGATCGTAGGTGTACATCATGCCTTCCTCCGAATAAAACGGAGTGACCTCTGCACAAAGCTCGTTTGTCAAGACGCCGACGATCCACCAGTCGTAGTCGAATGAGTGCGCCCGGGCTCTGACGACCTCGGGTGCCAGGTAGTCCGGTGTCCCACAAACCGTGAAGCTCTTATTGACGATGAACTTGGAGTAGGAGAAGTCAAAGAGCTTGAGCTGGCCTTGGGAGTTCAGGAGGCAATTCTCCGGCTTCACGTACCTTGAGACGATCTGCAGCCTGTGCAGGTGCTGCAAGGCACAAACAACGCTGGCCACGTAGTACCTAGCATGCGCCTCGCTGCCGTGGAGCTTGCCGCGCTGGTAGACATAATGCAGGCTCGCACCAAAGCCTTCCATCTGGAAGCGGAGGTATTTCGGGGTTTGGCAGCAACCGTGGTAGCCGATGATGAAAGGCGATGGGCAAGCTGATGTGGCTGCAAGCACGAGGCGTTCCTGCACCACGCTGTTGAGTCTCTTTTTCTCGGTTTTGACTTTCTTTTTCCCCTCGACGAGTTCTGCTTTCGACACGGTCTTCCATGTGCACAGCTGTCCATCCGGGTGCTCGACGAGGTCAACCCTCATCATGCCTGGTCAAACTCAGGGCCGTGAACGCAGCCTAGAGCACGAAGTTTCGAAAAGTCCGTGCTGACGGTGCGTAACCCGTTTGATCCGTTCGATGCCTGCTCCGCATCCGGAGCTGGCGCCCGTCCCCTCTCGTGGATCTCGACTACAGCGTCGGCGATCGATTCCACAAGGCGAGTTCCAGTCAAACCCTTAGACAGCTGGCGGCGGACCTGCATCTGCAGGAGTCCGTTGAGGTCATTGCTCTTGTTCTTCTCGTTGGCGGGCCAGATCGCCGCGCAACAACCAAGGCTCATGGAGCACTCTGACAGGTTAATGGCGGTCTACCGCCTCAACCTCAACACATTACTTGGAGGTTCATGGGTACTTATAAGTAGGGTTATAAGTCCTCCAATAAGAGTTATAACTTTAGTTACTACCCTACTTATAACCACTTCTGATACCTACCCATGAATCTGCAAGTATATGTCAGGTACTGTAGTAGGCCAGGTCAGGGTCTTTGGCTGCTGAGGAGGGGTAATCATGAACTGGATCTTTTTTCGCACGACCCGGCTTGAGCTTGAGATCCTCAAGGGTTCGCAGCGGCCGCTTTGCAAACAACCTTGGCCTCAACTTTCGAACTGCGCTCTAGGGTTTAGGGAGCAACGAGTCCGGCAAAGTTGCAAGGAGCCAAAAGTGCTTGTCTCTTCACAAGTGGTGTTAAATGGGAGTTTCCAAACATAGGGGACCGTAATAGAGTACCCTAAATAGTAGGATCTTTATTATAAGGACCCCAATTTTCGGAAACTCCCCAATGCTATAGAAGGCCACATTCAACCTTTCAGGATCGCTCAGCTTGCCGTCCTCCGTTCACGGCGAACGTCTCTCCCGAAGCTGGTCCATGCCATGAGGCTGGCGCCCCGATTTGCTCTCTTCCTTTAACATCGCCGTCGTCTAATGTAGGGGCCTTCATGGGCCTTCATAGTTAGAAGAGGGTTTGGTGGTATATGATACCATAGTTGCAATGAGGAACCCCCAAAACCCTATTAAGGCCCCTATATGAGATCAGTCACGATCCGGCCAGGCGGCACAAAGGGGAGAAGATAGTCTCCAGAAGATGAGTTACTGCGCTTCAGCTCCAGGACTAAGAAGGCCTGGCAGAATGCACAAAACCGGCATTTCTCAAAGAGCCCAATCCCTTGATTAAGCAATATGGCTTAAACCATAATATGAAGCCCTATATAATTTAAGCCGTATTCCTTAATCAAGGGGTATTGGGCTCTCTGGGTTCCATCCTACTTCTTGCGTGCGTGGGGTTTACCTATAGTATCCATTGTAGTTCCTTTTTGGGTTACCTTATAGGATCCTAAATATGTAATTGGTTAAACATTTCTGGGTTGTAGTTTTGGGGCTCTGGAAAGTATTTATGAATAGGTACCTCTATAGGAACCATAAGGGAAAATTAAAAACGTTTCCCAAATTTCCACCTAGATTTCCATACTACTTCTTGCGTGTGTGGGGTTTAGGGTTATCTTGATGCCAGTTCCTGATGGCCTTTGAGAAGAAGTTTGGAAAACCCCAACACAGTTACAAGCTTCAGTGATCCAGGGTCCAACCCGATGGAGTGCACCTTTTCAAGGGGTTTCAGGCTGTTGGGTTCAGCTAACAGATCACCAAGGAGGATATCTTGAGACCCGTGGGAATATGTAAGTGGAAGCTTTGTCAGTCACGGGCTGGGATAACCAGGGCCTTCTTACTCAATTCCTTAGCCTAAAAGGTCAAGAACATGAAAGAGAAGTAAAACCGGCTCTACAGTTGAAGGCAAAGCCAACCAGCACCCTACGTGCAGCCTATATGTTAAATCCTTGGATCATAAAAACCGCGGCTGAAGCTCAAGGCACCTCCTGTCAGACATTCGACCATTGACAGGGCCCAGAATGAGAAAAGGACAAACAGCACACCAACGGGTCCAAAACTCTAAACTCCTAAACGCTATTGATTCAGGTCCAGGTTAAAGGGTCCTGGCCCATGTCTTGGGTCAGCCTTTGGGTGTCGAACTGGGCCCTCCTGGGCCCGTAAGCAGAACTACGGCTGATAGTATAAATCCTGCATTGCCCAGAATAGGGAATTAACCATACTTCCCATGGCTTGGGGTCATTAAGGTGATGCAGGGTTCATATCATCAACAGTAACATGGCCAATAACCCTTGGATTTTGTATAGGTGTCTTCACGATTACACTTGTTTGCTTTGGAGGAGGAGCGAATGTAAACAATACGGCGTCATCATATGAGGCACGGCTATCGTAATTTAACTGAAGCAAAGTACTTCTTGACGAGATCGCAGCCGAAATTGAACACCCAAAAAACCCAGCGAATGCCTTGTCACCCTCTCCTCGGTTGGCCACAACCACAGCAGGGCACTCCTTTCTCAAAGAGACTGAACCGACAAACGAATATCACACGAATCATGATAAAGTCGAAAACAATACGACCAGTGACAATGGCGAGGCTATAATGTTGTCTCAAACCAACTTTAGTACAGTATTCTACGGTATCCTGTTCACGATGCTTCCACAAAACCGACGAGCCCTTTCTCGTCATTCGTGACTGCGGTACTTTCCATAGACCTTTCATACCATGTCTGCTGTCGAAGTTGTGCGAATTACTGTAGGGGCCTTAACAATCAAAATAGGGTTCTGGGGTTTGATTCTTATAGTTATAGTATAAAATGCCACCAAACCCTATTGTAATTAAGGCCTCTATCTTAAGTCTGACAGCTGCAGAGCTCCGAGAACCGTGAAACCCGTCTAAGGGGTAACTCGATCCCGACACCATGAGCACATTCGTGAACTACCTCTAGGCTCCATTGCAGTTCCTTTTTGTGGTTTATATGTAGGATCCTATAATGTAATCCCAAAATGGAACTACAATGGAGCCTACGGGTATCTACTGATTGTTTTCAAACATGTGGCGGTTTCGTAGGAGTGTGTCGGAGCCCGGGTGACGACATGTTGCAGAATCTTTGCTTTCAATGCAAAATGCAACCCCCCGCCCCTTCCCACAGCCGTGAAGAAAGCCACTTTCATACCTGCTGGCGAAGATTTGGGGAACTGTGGGCGTGAGTGTCCTTGTCGAAAACAGGCTAACCTTTCAAGTATGGCAGGGTTTGGGGTAGACATATACTTCAGGGCTGAGTATCCTATCCCAAAAAAGGCTATATAACCTTTTCAATTGTGATAGGATGGTATAAACCCTAAAAGGTTGCCAGGGTACCTACCTATAGTCTCCATTGTAGTTCCTTTTTTGATTTAGCCAATATTATATTCAGGATCCTAAAAGGTAACCCCAAAAAGGAACTACACTGGAGACTATAGGTAAGCTACTAAGTATATATAAACTTAAAAAGAAAGTATCGAGCGAGGGGGCCCTCAGGAAACATGAAACGAAGCTGAAAAGCCCTGAACCAAATCCATAAAAAAGCCTCATGTAGCGGCATTAAGAGCTAGAATAGGGTTTTGGGGCTTCTTTCGTACACGTATAACAGTAAGGGTTTAGGGTTTAGGGGTTTAGGGTTTAGGCACCCTATAAGTATTACTGTTATTTGGTATAATACTTATTCAGGCTTCTTTATCACAGCTTGATTCCACTTGAGAGATGAAGGCAGCTCCTCCAGTTGCCTCCCCAGCGTAGCATCGCCCCGGTGGGCGGCCTGGAATAGTTCGCAGTTGGGTGTTTATAACTTACGGTTCAAAAGTGCAGGGGTACTATAGGGTCCTTTATAATTAGAATAAGGTTTTGGGGCCCAATATACCATCAGTATGACCTATATTAAACGTCTTCAGCTGCAACCGGAATGGGAGGCAGTCCTCTCGCGCGACTTTCGGCACTCGCTCTCTCTCTAGCCAGGCGAGGTCTCAGAGCAGTCCCACAATCACAAAGCATGTACAAGGCAATTGTTGCGAGTCACAAGAGGCCTTTCTCAGAAAAAATGAACTAACTTGACAGGAGGCCTTCACCGTGCTAAAATAGCACTAGGCCACATGCTCCTCAACCCGTTCCCAGACCCTAAACGCCACTGTTGGCATAAACTTCGAGAATCCTTACAGAAAGGATCCTACTGTTTAGGGTCTACAAAATGTGTATACATACATACATACATATATATATATATATATATTTATATATTTAATATCTACATTATAAATATATACTAAACACTCCTTGTTTGTTGATATTTATGCGAACGTACGGCACCTGAAGGCCTCCCGGTTTCCAGTACAGATTTGCACCCGACTGCGCTGCAGGAAACAGTGGCGATGAAAGGCTTATACTAGAGCATGCAGTCTGTACTAAGTCTGTACTACATGTGATATGGAGTAGCACGTACTACATATACTATGGAATAGCAGAATAACATGCAGTGACATAATCACACTCCTAGTTTAGTTGACCTGCTCGACGCTGCGAATGCAACTGTCGCTCGGCTGCGTATGCAGCCATATGGTAAGGCCAGCTCAGTCCTCAAAAAATCACCACAACACTGGATCTTCACGTCGACCTCAGGCAGCAGGCTTGGGCAGCTTGCCGCTGTCAAGCTCAATCTGCATCTGCTCCTTAGTTGCTGAGTTCATAAGCCCCCAAAACTGCACACTTTTAGTTTTATAGTAGGTAGTATAGGGTATAGGGTTTAGGGTTTAAGGTTTATAGAGTTTAGGAGTATTATCCAAAAAAGTGGAAAGCGTATCGACTCAGCTACTAAGGCTCCTTGGTGAGGAGGCCGGGCAGGCGATAATCCTTCTTGCCCTCTACAAGAGGCTTGCCATAATCTGCCTCGATCCACGTTTTGCCACGCTCCTCTGGGCTCTTGGAGTTACCATAACAGGGATACCGTATGATTTGCTATAGATCCCTATTATCCTACTTGTCGGGTATCATGGGGAACTAAAGGTTAACCTTTTTGGGTATAGAGGAATTATATGGGGACTATACTACCCAAAAGAGGTTAAATGTTACCTACTCTACTACTAGGCTATGGTAACTTACGCTAAAACCCTTAACAAGAACCCAGTCCTCATTGAGGGGGTCGTAGCCGGACCAGGCTGCCAAGCCTCGCAAGAGGCCCTGCTGATTCTTGGCGCCGGACTGGTTCACATACCTAGCTCATGGTCGGGGTTGTAATTTGAATTATAAAACAATTTCTTATTGGTTTGTTAAGCACCCCCCCCCCCAAACAAAAACAACAAAAACAAAACGAAAATGTTGCCCAGCTATGACAAAGACACTTGGGGTACCAGCGCTTGCGGCCGTAGCGCTTGAGCCAGTACTCGTTCTCTGCGAGCTTCTTGGGATCATCGAGACCAGCCTGTGCCAGCTCCTCTGTCTGGTTCTTAGTACTTAGGGGTTGGGGGTCTGGGATTTAGAGGTTTAGGGTTTAGGGTTTGGGGTTTAGGATTTAGGGTTTAGGATTTAGGGTTTAGGATTTAGGGTTTAGGGTTTAGGGGTTTAGGGGTTTGGGGCTTTTGGGGTTTAGGGGTTTAGGGACTTAGGGTTAAGAGGCTTTAGGGGTTTAGGGGTTGGGGGTTTGGGGTTTAGGGTTTAGGGGTTTAGGGTTTAGGAGTTTAGGGAATGGGGGAACCGATAAGTGGGGTTGGAAGGTCCCTAACAGGAGTTATAGCTATAGTTACCCTATAGTTCTTAGTACCCTAAGCCTCCATGTACCCATATAGTATATACTTAGGCCTTAAAGTACCTATATAGGGACCCCTGTAAGGCTTAAGTTTCTACTATAAAGGTACATGGAGCCGGTGGAGGGAATGGGGGAACCGATTACGTGGAGGTTCATGGGTAGCTATAAGTGGGGCTAGAAGTCCCCTAACAGGAGTTATAATTATAGTTACCCTATTTGGAACCCCACTTATAACTACCCAAGAAGCTCCAAGTTGGGTTTAGGGTTCAGGGTTTAGGGTGAGGGGATGGGTTATTGGGACCACTATAGGGGACCTGAAGGAACTATCATAGGGATCCTTTCCCCCATTCCCTACAAAGCACCAGACAGTCCTTCTTCAGCTGGCGCAGCTTGTCATTGTTGCCGCTGCCACCGAAGCACTCGCCGACCTTCCACTTGATGGGGCCGATCTGGAGCGGAGCGGGACAGTCGATACCCTTCTTGAACTCCTCCGGGGAGGCTCGCATGCGATAGCGGTAGCCTTGCGCCCACTGCGACTTCTCGAAGCCCTTCTCCCCGATCCAGAAGCCTTCCGAGGTCTGCAAGGACCGGTCGCCATCCGTGGCTTCCAGCATCCTGTCCAGCCGATATCCCCTCATCTCAACTGAAGAAGATCGATTGTTGGTCAAACCGGCTCCCACAAAGCAGCTCAGGGCGTCAAGGGTGAGATAGCAAAGCCCCAGCAACAACGCCAAGGCCCCAGTCTTCCCCAATGAACTTCGCCTCATGGCCGTGGACCCCTGGAAGAGGGAGAAAGCGGGTCTTTCAAAGGAAAACGGCTTGAGCCAGGGCCAAAAATTCGCAGAGGTCGCTGGAGCTCTCGGACAAAACAGGCGATGCACATTATCCGGCAGCGTCTTTCAGATTCTCAGATTCGAGGTTGAGAACTCTCTATCCCTACACACCATAAACTCTAACACTAAAACACAAAACCGATAAACCCCAAAAACCTTAGCCCTAAACCCTAAACCCTATCACCCGGTCAACCCCAAAACCGGCCTCACCGTCGGTGCGCCCGGGAAGCTGGCAGTCGACCTCACTAGGACCCACTTGAAAGAGCCCTGTGCCCTAAACGAACCCTAAACCATACTTACTAACTAGGGTTAGTATTAAGGTAACTATACTTATAATTCCTTATACCCCCAATTAAGGTACTTATAACCATGCTAGGGCCTATAACCCTCTTTGCTGCAGGCTTGCTTGCAAGGACACCTGGTAGTTTGCCGCTCTTCCGCCAGTTAGGACAGTGCCCCTAGCTTCTGAGCATGCGACTGAGAGACCTGACTGAAAAGGCAAACTAGTCCGAACTTGTCGTAACCCTATAACCCTAAACCCTACAGCCCAAAGACACCCTACATGAGCCCCAAAACCCTAATTAAAACCCCAAAGCAGCCCTAAACCCTAACCCTGTGCAATCGGACAGAAACGCTCAGTTTGCGGCAGATTGAATCCTAAAGCCCTTCACCCCCAACCCCACCAAAACCCTGAAAAAAAAAAAAAAAACAAACAACACCCCTGAACACCACCCAAAACCACTGAAAAGAAAAAACTGAACACCCTTCAATCCACTTCTGGTACACTGATGTTCCCAGGCCTGTGCGCCGGAAATCGCGAGTTTCAGCGTCTGCGCCTGCGCTCGGGTGTCCCTACACAAAAACGGTAGCAAGTTCGTAGTTAGGATTTCTTTAAGGGTCCCTTTAAAGGGATCTACAGGGATTCTAAAAGGGTAAAAATAGGGTTTCGGATTCTACTTGGAGGTTCATGGGTAGTGATAAGTGGGGTTATAAGTAGGTAACTATAATAACCCATCTTAGGGGACTTATACCTCCAATTATAACTACCCATGAACCTCCAAGTACACAAAAACGGTAGCAAGTTCCGAGCTCAGAGCCTACGGTTAAGACAGGGTGGGATTATGTAGGGCTGAGATATATACCGAGTAAACCAGCAGCTGTGTTGTTCATGTTGGATTTCGGTCTCCAGACCACAATGAAAGAAATTGATCCGTCTTTTGAGGCACCAGCGCGTGACACGGCAATCGCTACACGATGACGCTAGCCGCTAGCCACTGGCGGAGGATGCAACACAACCCCAAGGGTCCTAAGTGCCTATATGATCATTGAATGTAGGGTTTACATATTCGGAAGTACTATTATTATGATTTGGGAAAGTACCTATAGAGCCGCTACGGCTGCTTGGCCGATGGCATCAACTGGAAGTGGCAAGTCTCAATAATATCCTTCATGTTAGGGAGACTCCGTACGCACATACATAAATATGTACATACATGCATACATACATAATTACATACATACATACATACATACATACATACACATAAATACATACACACACATGCACACGCGCACATCTATCCATCCTTCCATCCTTCCATCCATCCATTCATCCATCCGTGCAGGCGTGTCTCAGGATATATATATATATATATATATACAGTTGCGGGTGGGTGCTTGTATTTGCGTGTGAGTGTTGATATGTACTTGTATATGTTTACGTATTTGAGTATATGTGTATATGCGTAGATGTGCATGTGTGTACGTGCATGTCTTTATGCACAGAGAGTTTGTACTATAGCTGCATGCTGGAGTCTGGCAGTCACGGAAAGACCACTGAAAAGAAGTACTTGGGCCACTGGAAGAAGCTGCAACGGCCTGTGATTTTGGCTTCCTTTGACAAAAAAGGACCTACAATGGAGACTATAGGTTAGGCCACAGCCGCACCAAGCGTCCAGCCTGGTAGTCTTTCTGCCAATCCATGCGCACCAAGTCCTGAGGAATTAAGGTTTAGGGTTTAGGGACTATTATGGTTCTCTACAAAATGGTAGGGGAAATTAAAGAAGATCCCAAAGGACAACCCAGCCTGTAGATGTCAGGGCTCGCTGTGCAGAGTCTTGTTGCTCCGACATCTGAAAACATCTGAAGCCTTCCTGCGGAATTTTATGATGGCAGCCAGGTGGCAAGGGTGCAGAACAAGAGCTCCCTCGGTCGCGGCTCGCCTGCGGCCGAGTCTTCGGAAACGACAGCGGGGGCTCTTTTGCAACAAGAGTGATGGGTTTCACTAAAGGGTTATTGCAGGACTGGTGAGACAAAGCTTCCCGATACGACAGCTAGAGCAGATGAGATAACATTGATGACCTACTCGAGCACCCGGTCTTTTCTTCAGCATCTGCATCGTGGCAGCGGCCGTCTGCCAGCGTTCACGCAGCTTCCACATCCTTGGTCTCCTCGGTGTCGTCCTTTTCCAAGCCTTTCGTGGCATGATCCTTGCCATCGCCTCCTGCTTCTTCGAGGAACCTGGGATGTAGTTTCGGGGCTCTTAAAGTATCCATGAAGAAGTATACCCTTTATAGGAACCGTACAAGGGAATTAACAAGCTTCACAAAGTGTCTTAAAGGAACTCCTTGCGGTGCGTAAGTCGGAAGAGACCAGCTGCCATGAGCCCACCTGTGGGTAGTATTATTAGGGGGACCCCTTAAAGGGTAGCCCTTCTGAAGCCTACTTCTGGCTCTCTTAAAAGAGGCCCTTTTGAGGGGGTCTATATATATATATATATATATATGTATATATGTATGTATGTATATATATATATATATAATTATATATATATATATATATATATATATATATATATATATCCCCAAGGGTCCCCCTGATCATAACTCCCAGCCTGCAAGCTCAGAAAAGATCAAGGCCAGCCAGCTTCCAACAGGACCGATGCCCCCCTTTCCAGGGTTCACCACCTCCGTTGCTAAATTCATAATTTAGGAACCTGATTACGAAAGCCTGGGCCTATAACCCCCAAGTAGTAGGACTCATATAGGGAACCCTACTAAAGGCCAAAGGTTTCTTTATCAGGTTCCTACATTACCCCACAGAAAAGTTACAGGGCCATATAATCTTACACCGAAAAGTCTGCACAGAATACTTCTTCAGCTACTAAGCCACATTTCCGATCATGAGGCCCAGGGTCACGGACGGATTCAGCTCACCGCCGGAGACGGCACCGACGGCAAAGCTGCCACCTGTGACGGCTGCGGCAACGACGAGCCCGAAGAGGTCTTTGGTGTAGGGCTCCCTCACAGTCGCGACGCAAAGGACAACATAACCGAGAAACATGGTGGTGATCAGTTCCGCAATGGATGCCTGTGCCAGATCGAAATCCCTTCCCGGAACCAATTTGATAGACTTGTCAGCAACTGCTGAGCCAAGGTGGTAAGCGGCGTAAACCAATCCTGCAAGCAGCCCACCAACAACTTGAGCCACGATGTAAGCTCCTGCGTCCCGTCGCGAAATTCTCTCACGGCCACCCGCCAGCACTGCGAGAGTGACCGCTGGATTGAAGTGGGCGCCAGACACACTTCCGAGGGAGTAGATCATGCACATAAGGGCAGCCGCGGCCGAGTATGCCGTGGCACGGGAGCCACTCACGATGTTCAGGCCAACCGTCACCACCAACATGAAGGTCCCGAATGCTTCAGCCAGGCAGCGCGTCTTCAGGTCTGGTCCATTACCGGCTTCCGGCTTTCCGAACTCCTCCGGCCGAAGTATACGGTAGACTCCAGCTGCCAAAGCGGCGCCAAAGAGCTCGGCCGCAAACCAAACCAGGGCCCAATGCGGGTCCTCTCCGTGGTGCTGAGTAGGATATTCATCCCTATGATATGATAGGTCCCTTTCTGCAGTCCCTAAAGCCTAAAACCCATTCCCCCACTCCCTGAATTGAGAACCAGTCGGGTCCTTGCCGCTGCCAAGGCCCAGAGCCACGGAGACCGCCGGGTTCAGCGCAGCGCCCGAGATGCGCCCGATGGCATGGCCACCGGCCAGGACGACAAAGCCGATGGCGAGGCCGTAGAACCTTGCATTTGTCCGGTATCCTAGGGGAACTAAAGGTTAACCGTTGGGATGAGATACTATAACTATATTATAGTATATTATATTATTATATTAGATTAGATTAGATTAGATTAGATTAGATTATATTCTATATATATATATGTATGTATATGTTATAACTAGTATATATATATACACACAGAGAGAGATAGAAATATACAAAAGTTCGAAGTTGTTATTCTACTGCTAAGGAACTGATTTGGTGTGTTCTTCTTGGCCACCGCACAGCAAAGCACAACGAAGACCAGCATTGCCGTGTAAAGCATCTCCCCACCGGCCGCGTAGCCAGCACTGAAGGGTGGCACAGGTGCCACCACCGCCAGGTGAGGTGCGCAGACGATCTTGTAGACGGCAGCAGCCATGAAAGCCCCCATGAACTGGAAGAGCCAGTAGATCATCACTCCGCCGAAGGACTTCTTCCCGACCAGGGCCATTGCAAATGTCACTGCTGGGTTAAGATGCCCACCCGAAATCGGACCTGTGGCATAGACCATCACCATCAGGACCGAGGAGATGGACGTCGCAGACCAGGGAGATGGGGTGGGAGAAGTGACGACACATCCCACCGTGAAGACAAGAGCAAAGGTACCCAGGGCTTCTGCAAGAAGGGGAGCTACGCCCTTCAGGAATGCCTGGGTTCTTGTTATAAGGAACGTACAACTCAAGTTACCCTAATAAGGATCTATAGTCTATACTAATTAATTTGGTTTCCTTGTTGTGGCAATTTAAATGAAATCCCTTAACAAGAACCCAGATGCATTCAAGAGGATCTTCGCATATTCGTCGGCGTTGCGCATCACTTCGTTGAGAACCTCCTCTGGGGAGAGCCGTGGTCCGGTGGCGTCACCGGACTGGTCTCCCGGAGCCTTACGGTGCAGGGATGGGGTTTAGGGTTTAGGGTTTAGGGAAAAAGGGTTTAGGGTTTAGGGTTTTAGGGTTTTAGGGTTTGGGGTTTAGGGTTTACGGTTTTCGCAAACCCTCAGTTTTGGGGGCCCATACAGCAGTCCTATGTTCATCCTCCTCAGTTTTTGGAGCCATATTACCCATACTCATCCTGGTTGTAACCCCATACTTCAACCCGTATCGAGCCTCAGGCGTCGGGGTCGAGCCGTAGGTGGCATCTGCCTGACCTTCCAGGAGACCCCTCTCCGGTGCTTCCAGGGGAGACTCGGCGGCGGCCATTTTGTTTTGCAAAGTTTCAGTCAGCTTCGTTGATTTTCGAAGCGTTGCTTGCGGGAAAGCTCAAAGCTTGAGCCACAAGGGTCAATCACATTCAAAAACTGGATCTACAGAAGTAGACTTGCCGACAGACATATCAGTGCCGTGCTGCATCATGATTCACACAGATTCCGGTTGGCCTGGGGGAGGCTTCTCCTCGATGATGGAGATGCCCGCTTTGCTGATCTTAACCTGTTGGTCGGCTTTGCCGGGTTACCCATGGGTTAGAAGCTGCCCCCACCCTGTAATGATTATATAGGATTATATTAGGGCCCTATTATACTCCTATTATACCACTATTACAGGGTGAGGGCAGCTCCTAACCCATGGGTGTATCTCAAGACCCCCAAAAGCTTCCCTTCACCAAGTCGAACTGCGGCTGTACCTAGACCTCTTCCAGTGGCTTTGGGCTTATCAACACTCCACGCGACCAGAGAGTGTAGCTCGGTGGTCCGGTTTAGACAGAGAAAACTCAGGAAAACGAAGAGATGCGGCTTCCCCGCCAATAAAATCCCGAAGAATGAGCCGTCACCTACTAGAGGCTGAGGTCTCAAGTAAGGATTCCTCCGTATAATTGAAAGTACCCTAAACCCCAAACCCGATGCATCTCTTGGTTAAGTGGTATGGGCTTTCTGGGTACTCAGAACGCCGGATGCTGAGACCCCAGGTCACTGGGCCTCGAGGTGGGTCGTCGAGCCTTGCCCGGGATTCCTGGGCTTGACCAGAGGGTCCCAAGAAAATGCAGGGGGAGAATATTTCCCTACAGGGAACACCAGAAAGTTGGAATATGGTTTCATGGTAGGATACCCTATAATTTACCATAGAAGGGTTAGGACAATCATATTCCAACTTTCTGGCTTTTACCTTAAACCAATACTGTACTTCCTACTATGGGAACCCCTAAACCCTAAACCCTTAGGTTTGTTCCGGAAATGGAAGCCCAGCTTCCAGGACGGTTCTCTCGGCGGATTCGCTGCAGAGTGGTTCTAGTCGGCTTACCATAGGGGCTCCATGAGGGTTGCACTTCGGATTTTAGGGTTTTGGGTTTAGGGGTTTAGGGTTCGGTATCATGCTGGCATATATCCTGAACTGAACTTCATCGAAGGCCTCACTAGACCTTATAGGCCTCACGCTGAAATTGCTGTTTTCGGGCCGTCCTAATTTTCTCCCTCTCAGATCCTATGCTAGCGATAGTTGGCAGCCAGTCAAATAAACTACGATAAGAGGTCTTGGCAAGCGGATGCATGTCTTCCAGCTGTCCAGCGAGAAGCAAAAGAGGGAGGGAGCCGGCAAGATTTATACTATATAGGGCTAGAGGAAAATGAAGTGATGGAACAAGGCTTTAGGGGCATGATTTTATAGTGTACAGCGCAACCATGGGATTCATGATGGTGGACATATTGTTTCTTTTTTTATGAGAAGGCGGCGTAAGCAATAATATCATTCAGTGTTCAGGCAACAACCCCATTCCAACAACAGTCACCATGGATACGCTTTCTACCTGAGCAGCGTCTACCCTCTCGCCTCCCAGCAATGCCAACACCGTCTGAGATTCGTCGTGCCTTTGTTGGACACGCTTTCTTGCCCAGAGCGGCGCACCTCCTGTGCAAAGGGGTACAGCCCTGGCAGACAGCTCAGACCTAAGCCCCCAAAAGTAAGTAGAATACTGGTCCGAAACCCGTTATGGGGTGTCATTCTACATACTTTTGCGATCCAGGTAGGACCCCTGTAGGAATCCCAACAAGAGCCCTTCGTGCGTCCTTGAGGTCTTCCAGACTCAGCACTGAGCCAGTCCCTGCAAAAAGCTGGAGGGTCTACTTGGAGGTTCATGGGTAGTTATAAGTGGGGTTGTAAGTAGGGTAACTCTAATAACAACCCCTATTAGGGGACTTATAACTCCACTTATAACTACCCATGAACCTCCAAGTAGGGTTTAGGGTTTAAGAGGGTTTCGGGTTTCTGGGTTTATGGGTTTCGGGTTTATGGGCTTAGGGGTTTGGGGGCTAGAGTTCAGGGTTTAAGGATAAAGCAGCCAGAGTCGTGCAATTCATGTGTTCGGCGGCTTTTCACGAACCAGCATGAACCATGCCCCTACTTACCTTTGGTTAATAGGGAATGGAGGAATGGGGTACAATAACTACTATTACTACCATTCTTCCATTCTCTACTAACCAAAGGTAAGCTATAGGATTATTAAGGCCCCTACATATTTATGGTATCCTTATAGATCCCTTATAGTAAGGCCCTTGAGTTTCAACCTTGGCCCGACGGCTTTGGAGCTTCGGGCCTCGGGGTGTCGGGTTTACCCTAAATCCTAAACCCAAAACCCTAAGTCCTAAACCCAAAACCCTAAATCCTAAACCCTAAACCCTGGACCCGAAATCCCTAAACCCTTGGCCCCCACAAGGCCTAAAGTGACCTACACTTCGGAGGAGGTGCAGGCTTGGCACGGCTGACGTTATGCACCAGGTGGGGCTCTGGAAAATGCAGAGTCTAGCAAGAGAACCAAGCAGACATGACTAGTCCCTTCCTTTTCGGCCAGAGTCCCCTGCTAAACACCTAGACCCAAGAGTAACCCAGGCATAAAAAGGATGCCCTTTTTGGTTTAAAGGGGTTTATATTATAAGGGAACCTGAACCCTAAAAAAGGGAATAAGGGCCTACTCTAGGTCCTAGACACCAACTTCTCTATCTAAATGTACCGATCACAGTTCTGAAGCTGCACTGTATCATAGGAAGAGCGCAATGCTCTTGCAACAGGGTTTAGGGTTTAGGGTTTAGGGTTTTGTGAGCCCTCCAGGGACGAGCCTGTCTGTCCCAGAAGCAAAGTGAGGCCAAGCTCGGGGAAGACGAAGTGTTCCGTGCGTCGGACATCACGGACCTCCAAGGCTGAAGGTCCGAATTTTGGAATTAAGGTTTCGGCACTCGCACTCGTTAAAATTTAATTAGGGTGTATCGGGTTAGGGTCAAACCTTGCTCCAGGAGGAACTTACAGGGCGGTGAGGAGCTGCGTGAGCACACCATCCCCCCCAAGTGTCATGCGAGTAAATGCCCGGCCTCATGTTGCGTCACTTCTTCTCTGTGTCCTTTCCTCGTTTTCAAGATGATGTCGACACTGTGGCTATTCGTCCCTTCCTGTCGAAGGCGCAGAGAATCACATGGAGCCAAGCTGAAGAAGTCTTTACTTAGACTTCAACGAACGGGAAGACGGTACAGCTGCTTGCATGGTATTCTTACCTTTGGTTAGTAGAGAATGGAAGAATGATAATTTTACGCCGTAGAGACTTATCGGGCTGAGGGTGCAGGGTTCACACTGAATACCCACAGGCTCCATAGTAGTGCCTTTTTGGGATTACCTTGTAGGATTCTCAATATTAACCCCCAAAAGGAACTACTATGGAGCCTATGGGTACGGACCGCAATCCCAAGCTGGTGGAAACCCGTCCTCGTGCGGTTCCGACCAACCGTACTGCACCTCTTCCCCTGCCCGCACCACGAAGTTGCTCAGGCATGCCTGCGCAGCGAAGGGTGGCAGATGAGACAACGTCAAGACATCAAGTCGTGAGCAAGCTTCCCAATGAAGCGCAAGCGAGCCAGAGTATTTCAACGTATTATACGGCCGTCTAAAGCTTAAACATGACTAAACCCTAAAAGTTATGTAACACCTCAAAACCCTACCTAAACCCTAAACCCTAAACCAACCCACCTCCAAGCCCTTGGGTCGCACTTCCATGCAGACGCCCAGGCGTGCAGAGCGGTTGATGGCCACGAAGTCCTTGTCGTTGCGGCTTAGGGTTTAGGGTGTTATATGGGGCCCATTGAAATGTGAACAAGGCGCTGGACTTTACTCTAAAGTAACTTTATGTAGGGACGATACGGGGCTACTTCTTCAGACCCCTGTGACGAGTTTGGTGGCAGATTCTCAGCACGAGCAGTCTCGCACCACCAGGTGAATATGTACAAACCCAATCGATCATGCTATGACTGCTGTGATCTGCCTTTTTTGAAGGCCGGAGGGCCTCTCGACCTGAAAAGCTACCGAAGAAGTTTGCGACGACTTAGGCCGTGAGCCGAAGGTCTGAGCTGCTTAGACTGAGAAGCGGGCTCCTTTAAGGAATCCTAGATGGGTAGTTGTCAAAATGATGGAGCCTGTTGGGGGTACCTTACATACTAGGTGCCGTATTATAATAAAGACCCAAAAAGGGGCCATAATTTTGACAACCACCCATATGGGTTCCTTTCAAGGATCGCATCTACATAGCCGTGGCTTACTTCCCTCGATCCATACAGAGTCTCTTACGGCTGTTCTTGTGGAGGGCTTGTAAAAGGGGAAGCTGCAAACTACATGAACCTGAACCTGCCGAGAGCAGACATCCTGGAAGGTCCGGCCCGAAAAAGCAAAAAGTTTGTTATGGGGGGGGGGGGGGGGTTAACGTAAACCTTAAGCCTTTAAATCCTAAGCTGCAAAAAATGAAGCCTAAAACCCTAGACCCTATCAAAACCCTACACCCAAAACCCCAAAACCCTGACACCCCAAGCCCGAAACTTCAGATTCTTCAGACCCGCCGAGGTTCCGAAGACTTTTTGAAGGTCACGGCCACCGCGCCGCGGGTGGGTGACACCTGTGGCAAATACAGGTGCCTTAATGCCTGGAAGAGAGCTCCTTTATTGGTAGTTTGCAGCGTTCTACAAGAGTGTTTATTAGCAATTATGGGATGTTTAGGGTTTAGGGGCCATCATCACTGCAAAAGGGCTTCCGGGTAGACTACAGTGTAAGGAATAGTGTTACTAACTTTTCAGACCCTATGGTACCACCGAGGCTTCTGCATCTATGTTGACCGGTATCTATTCTGCTGAAGGGTCTTGGCGGACGACTGGGGAACGTACGGATCTAGGTTCCTCTCTTGATCCTGACATTCAGTACATAGTCATACAACAAGCAAAGGCCTTTTTTAGACAAATGATACGTAGCCATGCAGTACCTCCTCCACAAAACCTACAACTGGGTTCTTGTTAAGGAGTTCAATGTAAGTTACCATAACAAGGAAACCAAATTTATTTAACATAGATTCCTGCTATGGTATCATTAAACCAGGCAATCTGAACTGTAGACCGGCGCCTACACCCATGACTCATTGCCCACCCTCCCATAAGATCGAAGCGTTATGACACCCTTACAACAACCCCTTAAGACCCATATTTTCATCCCCATATATATATATATATATATATATTCATGCCCTAATCCCATAAACCTGATGACGCGAAACCCTCATGGCCCTACCTCGACGGTCCACATCTCGGCTGTTTGCTTGCCTGCCTGCTTCGGCAGGGATGCTTGACCTGCGAGGGCATCTCACAAAGCAGTCTTTTGGCCAGGACGCAAGACCTTGTCAACCTGCATATAATGAAGGCCCGGGCTACAGACAAGATGCAGCTTCGAGGAATGGGATACAAGAGAAATCTGAATCTCCGACGCCTGTTGCAATTGCGAAAGCGGCGCCACGTGCAGTGGCATCGCCACAAATCACCTCTCTGACAGTCGGGTTCATGGAAAGTTTGTTAAGTGTTTCAAAAGCATAGTCCCAAGCCACATCCTCTCTCAAACATGTGTAGAAATACATACACATTCTTGCTCCGATCTCCTCAAAATCAAGCTCAGTAGTCCACGTTGTCTGACCAACCCTGAAGCAGGTCGTACCTCTACCCAAGAAATCCTACCTTTTTAAAACAGTATATATTGACCTGAGCTAGGCTTCTCGGGGATAAGGCACCCTAAACCCCAAACCCCTAAACCCCTATATAAACCCCTAAATCCTAAACCAATAAACCCTAAACCCCTAAACCCCTATATAAACCCCTAAATCCTAAACCAATAAACCCTAAACCCCTAAATCCCTAAATCCCTAAACCCTATAAACTTTAAACCTAGAGCTGGCGGCTCCATGCGGCTGAGGCACTTTGCCAGACCAGGAGCCCGAAGTCGCCAACCTAAGAAGACTTTCTGCAGGTGCGGGACTTGGGGGTTTTTGTCCTACCTGGACCCCAAAAGCATGTAGAATAATAGCCTTTAAATGGTTTTGGGCCATTATTTTACCTACTTTTGAGGGTCTAGGTACTTGTGTGTTCCTTATTATAAGCATAGTATCATGATTACCTTGTAGAATTCTAGAAATGGACCCCGGAAAGGAACTACTATGGGGCCTATGGGTAGGGTCTAGTTTTGCCTAGTTGTCGGGAATCATGGGGAACTACAGGTTAACTTTTTTTATTTCATTATATAGGGACTACACTACCCAAAAAGGCAAAAAATGTTCCCTACTCTACTACTGGGTTGTTGGTTGCAGACTAAGGGTTCTCATTTAGGGTGTGTGTTGGTTCCTTACGGTGTTTGTTGGTTCGGGGGGCGGGGGGGTTTTGACTTAGGGTGTTTGTTGGTTCCGGGTGTGCGTGTGTGTTTGACTTAAGCTTCTTGTTGGTTGCAAGGTTGTGTGGCTTAGGGCTTTTAACTTAGGGTGTTTGTTGGTTGCTGGTGTTTTGACTTGGGTTTTTCGGCTTCGGGTGTTTGTTGATTCCAAGTTTTTTGACTTACGGTTTTTGCTACCGCTCGTCTTAGGTCGTACTTCCACGACCGTTTGGTGCCCGAGAGCTTTGCAGAGACGCCACCTACCGTACCCGCGTACAGTTCACGGACAACAGTACGCCACCCAAGTGCGATGATCTTTACCCCCTAAGCTACGGGCTTCATGTAGGGGCCTCAATGACTCAGAATAGGGTTTTGGGGGTTCCGTATTATAAATATCGTTAAAATGTACCCCCGAACCCTTTTCTAATTACTAAGGCCCTACATTACCCGCTCTCTTAGCCTGAAGCTCTAGCGTTCATGATGTATAGGGCCATACAAGTAACAAAGAAACCATGTTGTTCACTATAGATCCCGATATGGTAACTTAAATTAAACTCCTTAACAAGAGCCCAGTTGTGGGCAATCTATTTTGGGGGGTTCCTTATGTTCATAAGCATAGTACTTATAAGGTACTACAAAACCCTATTGTAACTATCAAAGGCCCCCCTATATTATATAGGGCCTTGAGGGTGTGTGGTCCCTCCTACGGCCAGGAGAGGTTGATGGGAGGCCCCCCTTAAGATTCTTGGGGTAGGGATTCTTTAGTATGAACCCTATTATGGGAACCCTGATCCCTACTAAGCCCCCATAGGCTAAAACCCCGTTTTTGGCCTCCTATGAAAGGTGAGCAGTCCTTTCCGAGAAGCGCAGTTGGCCGGAATCGCACAGTGCAGTTCGGAGCGTCGGTGTGGTCCTTGATGGTTCCCAAAGGCTCCATGTACCCTTATAGTCTTATAGTAGATACCTCGGCCTTTAAGTAGTCCCTGTATAGGTACTTTAAGGTCTAAGTATACACTATATGGACACATGGAGCCTTAGGGGTTGTAGGGCTTAGCGACGGTTTAGGGTCTAGGGTTTAGCTTCTTAGGATGCTTTGGGACTGTAGGACTGTAGAGCTTTGGGTTCGATATGCTTGCGGGTGATAGTTGATTACTTTGGATCGGTTGGTCGATTCGACGCTTTATGACGGTGATGGTGAAGGTGATGATTTGGTGAGTCGTTGCAATTGTTGCTGCTGGTGGAGGTGGTGGTGTTGCCTTCTCTGCGAACGCGCCAATTATCTCCCAAGGATTCTATGTATCACCGGCAAGTAGTTGTCCCTTGCCAGGAGGCGCCCGAGACTGGCCAGTGGTAGACTGTGGACCTTGCACACGCATTACATCAGAGTTTGAGGTGTTTTGGGGTTTAAGTGCTTGTGTTCAGGATTTAGGGTTGAAAGCTCAAGTTTAGGGTCCCTTACCGCCGTAAATCCCTAATAGAAACAAATAATCTCAACTGGCCACCATTACATCTAAAAAACCTACGGAACAATCAACGCCACTAGCATCTAGGATCCATCGAACTCTGTGTCTACAGGAGACAGACCCCAAACCCTAAACCCCTAAAACCTGAACCCTAAAACCCTAAACCCTAAATCCGAAACCAGGATTCAAAACGGCTCCGGCATCACTTCGCAGGTTGGTCGGGCTCGGGTGCCGAGAGCAGCCCGCTACCTAGAGGCTCCATAGTAGTTCCTTTTGGGGATCCTTTAAGGTAATCCCAAAAAGGAACTACTATGGAGCCCCAGGGTAATTACAGGGTTACCACGCTGATGCTCACAACTCGCAAGTGGCAACGCTACAGGGCTACAGGGTTTAGGGTCTTGCGGTTTAGTAATGTAGGAACCTGATGAAGAAACCCTGGGCCTATAACCCCAAAATAGAAGGATTCATGTAAGGGAACCTAATAAAGGCCCAAGCTTTCTAAATCAGGTTCCTACATTAGACGGTTTAGGAGTTCTGGAGCCCGAATCATCTAACCAATGGTTTTGGGGTTCCCTTGGCTCTTTAGCTCATTATTAAGTAGGGTCATCATCACCCCAGGCTCCTTAGCTCCTCCAATATCAATGGCAATATCAATGGTTAGACATTGCCCACAGGTGAGCCGAGAGGCTGCCGCGCTGGCAAAGGCGTACCGACGACCCCTCGTTTGAGGTCCAGCTCCTGCGCTGCGGCCCTGGTTTGGTCTATAAGGGTTACTATATAAGAGATCTATAAGGATACCATAATATGTAGGGGCCTTCATAATCCTATAACTTACCTTTGGTTACTAGGGAATGGAGGAATGGGGTACAATTAGAACTACTATTACTACCATTCTTCCATTCCCTACTAACCAGCGGTAAGGTTCGCTCCAAGTCTTTCTTAGAGTTTAGGGCGCAGGGCTGCTATCTCACGATTAGTGTTGCTAGGATTCCTGAAAAGATCTTGCTTCCTTGCGAAGACTCGTGTAGCTGAGCTTCAAGCTCCATGTACCGACCTTTGCCCAGGGTAGGCTGCTTTGGGGTGTACTGGTAAGGGCTGCAGCGATTGCAAATCTAACTCTACCCTTGGCCCGCCGAAGGTGTCCAGGCCCTCGTCGGAGGCATTCGTCAGCACCAGCCGCGGACGGAACACCAATGCCTGGCTTGGCTCAGGCTTTCGCGAAATGGACAGGCCGGCTTCATAATATAAAGCTGCATAGCAACACTGAACAGGAAAATTTAGAATGATGGAACGCTCTGAAGTGGCGAAAGCCGCCGCAGTAGACAATAGTATGGTGGTGGTGGTGGTGGTGGTGGTGGTGGTGGTGGTGGTGGTGGTGGTGGTGGTGGTGGTGGTGGTGGTGGTGGTGGTGGTGGTGGTGGTGGTGGTGGTGGTGGTGGTGGTGTTGGTGGGGGTGGTGGTGGTGGTGGTGGTGGTGGTGGTGGTGGTGGTGGTGGTGGTGGTGGTGGTGGTGGTGGTGGTGGTGGTGGTGGTGGTGGTGGTGGTGGTGGTGGTGGTACGGTGGGAATGAAGGATTTGACGACTTCCCTGACTTTCATGCTGCCTGCTTTGCACGCATAAGTGCCGGACGCAGAAAGAAACAAGATCCCTCAAAGCCATGGAGACTAGTCTTGCGATTCACATTCGTCTCCCTCCCAAGTATCAGCATCTGAGCAGCTTCGAAAGCTCGCAGATCCCGCGCCCTTTTTCAGACGTCCGCGCGCCGCGCTGGGCTCGAAACAGTGACCGAAAGCGGCGCCGCCGAATCACCTTCCGGAGCTTTGTCCGTGACCTCTGCGCCGGCCTCCACCAGCAACCGGGCAATTTCCAGGTGCCCGTGGCCAGATGCATGCAGCAAAGGCGCGCTGCCCTTCTCGCCCGAGCTGTTCCTTTGTCTTCCAGAGCCCAGAACCGAAAAAAAGACGTGAGGACTTCGAGAAGCACACGGGAAAAGACCTCAAAGAACAAAACCGAACCATAGACTTGGACCTAAGTCCCATGTAGACCCTGCACTCCAGCACCTCCAGGAGGCTGCTCGCAAGTACCACTCACCCAAAAATTCAGGAACCCAAAGCCTGTCATCTAAGGGTCCTCCTTGGTCCTACAAGTGATCTCTATATGCCATCAAGCTTCTTTCTTCTTTATGGTCCCAAGTACTTAACTTAATTACATCCCAGAACCTCAGCCACGGTTCACGCTGGCTCTCGCCTCCACAAGCAGTCGGCAAATGTCCAAATGGCCCCAGTAACAAGCCCAGCCAAGTGGGGTCAGGCCAGAGTCAACAGGACCAGCCGCCTCCTTTCCGTGCAGGGATAGCGGTTTAGGGTTTTAGGGTTTTTTTCCTCCTACCTAGCAAGGACGCGGCAGGTTTTAGGGTTTAGGGTTTCGAGCATCTTGCTCGAACTTCCAGAGATTACCTGTAAGCTCCATTGTAGTTCCTTTGTGTGGTTTATATTTAGGATCCTATAATGTAATCCCAAAACGGAACTGTAGCTACCAGGGCCGTTAGTTTTAATCATGCTAATCACGCGAAACCACTTCTCACCAAGACAACACCCGAAGAAGAACATGGATGAGAGCTTACTTGAATTATAGCAGGGGCATGATCGAGGTCAGGGTTTTCCACTCTTGCCGGGTGGGGCTGAACGAGAAAATTCGATGCACCAGACCGCACGAGGGTCTTGGAATGAAGCACTGATGTAAAAGCGTGTTCGGGGTCCTTGTCTGCTCCCGCATCCACCAAAAGGCGCACGATCTGCAGGTGGCCATTCTCCGAGGCTTGTTGCAATGCTGTAGGGGCACCCTGTACACCGCCCCAAGCTTTCTTGTCGGGGTTCGCCCGCGCTTGCAGCAAGGATGCAACGATCTCCTCAGCAGTGCGGGCATAGCTGGGCGGGTTTCAATGAAACTATAGTAAGAGAACCTTATTTTGGGAAGCTAGGGGCCCTTGCAATCAGGATCTCAGTGTTTCACCTTCTCCGAGACTCCAAATTGTTGTCAAACACAGCTCTTGTTGGACTGTAGGGGACAAGGCCGGGACTGCTACTCTGCTACTTCTTTCTGCTTTGCTTTTTCTGTTACCTCGGTTCTCGACAAGCCCAAGCCTGACCACAGCATCGTCCAAGCATCAACGTGACCGCACTTTGCTGCAAGCTGCAGGGCAGTTGGAGTCCCTTCGGCCTGCCGTTCCGCTCGCGATCAGATTCGGGGTTCGTGATCTGGGAATACTTACCTTTGGTTAGTAGGGGATGGAGGAATGGGGTACAGTTATAACTACAATTACTACCATTCTTCCCTACTAACCAAAGGTAGCAATATCCGAAACTCAGCTGAGAGTTTTGTCGGGCTTCAGTGTTCAGCAAGGCCTCCAATATGTGGGGAGGTGCACAGGGTCCGGGGGATTCGGCCTGTTTTCAACGGTGCAGCTATTTACTGGGTTGAACTTGTTTGAAAGCGCTACTTGAACTTTTGCGTCCGAGGAGACAGGTTGTGAGTCTAAGTGGGGTGCACAACAATATAGCATACCATCACTACAGTTCTTAGAAGTCTACTTCCGAACGCCCACGCTCATTCAACACATGCACCAACAGCCTGCGTGCAAGCGCACCTATCTCCCGCTATGGGCATGGGTCTTCGTTGTTCCTCGCACTTGTGCGAGGCATTTGGGGATCGCATGGAAACCCGATCGTAGCCTTTCAATCTGCTCTGCCTTGGCCACCAAGCCCTAGAAGCCCGAGTCTGTGGTGCCATTTGCCTTGTCTACGTCGGCCATGGCCGACACGAGCCTCGTTTAAGGTGTTTAGGAGTTTAGGGCTTCCCATTTAGGATTCAGGATGGGTTTAGGCATCGACTTAGAGTGTTTGCCCGGTGCTTCCACGAGGTTCTTCTGCCGGGTTTTGCAACTTCTAGCCGGATGCTGGCCGCACACAGGAAAAGAGTCAAATCGGAGCTGGCCCCCATAGAAGGCTGCGAGCAGTACCGCAACCATCGACGAAAAAGTGTCCAAGCCCATCACCCTTAACTGCAATTACCACTTCAACATCACAGCATCAACGAGATTGACTCGTCACCTGCGGCTTTGCCCAACCACTTCAGTCTCACGACAAATGGCTGTTCGAAACAATGACCCAGAAAGGCCAACACCCCATGAGTAAGGAATGAATGATTTTATGTGTATATATATACATGTATATACACATATATATATATACACATTCGTTGATTTAAGTGATATTCCTGAAGTGAGGGGTAGTGGGCTTTTGGTGGACCCTGTCGTTATAAAACCCGATTATAAACGCCTCCTCATACATTGTCACACATCCCTCAGAAAATGACCCTTAAATCTCTCACAAAAAATGCAGACACCCCTTACAAAGCCCCATAGGCCCCCCCTTGAGAAAACTCCTTCACAAGCCCATAAAAGGTCGAGGCACAGCTGCGAAGCCTCCACATGCCCCTTCCGAGCCGCCCACTGCAACGAAGTCAGGCCGGAAGCCTTGCGGATAAGGGCGAGCTAGGCTTAGGGGCTCTACAAGGGAGTTCACAATATGGTGCCAAAATATGACATGATGGTTGCTAGAAGCCAGAAGGGCTACTACTACTACTACTACCACTACTACTACCACTACCACTACTAACACGACTACGACTACGACTACTACTTCTTCTACCGCTACTACTGTAACTCTGCGGGTTCAAGGCGTTGGCTTTCGGGTTTCGGTGTCCCGAAGGCCTTGGACACGTCCACGTCGGCCTCCGCCTGGAAAGGGGCGATCCATCTATGGCCCTTACTGAGGACTCATGAGAAACTGCCAAGCTGCCCCCACCCTGTAATAGTGGTATAATACGAATATAATAGGCACTGATATAATCCTTATAGTCACTATTACAGGGTGGGGTCAGCTTCTGAGGACTCAGTTCAGAGTTTGGGAATCTAGGGTTTAGGCTGTAGGGCTTAGGAATTTCGTAGTCAAAGTTTAGATATCTGTGAAGGCTGCTTCCGAAGATCATGCACCACCGCGTCAGAGATACGAGTCGCGGCCGCATGCCAAAACTTTCGCTGTCATAGGCACCAGACCTTCTCAAATTGATCCACCCACGCCCAGAGACGTCTGTAGCGGCTTCGTCTCTTGGGTGCATGGAATACCGGACATGTCCTGTCTATGTTGGAAAAGCTGAATTTGCAGACACCGGGAGCCCCACCCAACATGTAGCACCGATAAGGGTCCTTCAGGTATATGCTCAAGAAAGGGAATGTAGCATAGATGCTCGGGGCATGTGGGCTAAAGAACTTGCAAGTTTACAGATCCACATTTCGGATGGCATTGAGGTTGACGGGGGATAAGACGAGCGTTCACGGTGATGACATCACAGGTTGCGACTTGGATTGATCGGGGGAACAAGAACATCACCCTAAACCCTAAACCCTAAACCAAAAAACAGCCCCGCATTGAGCTCTACAGTTTACAATGCATGAGAAGCTATGATCGGCTCCACTGGCTTCGCTGAAAATCGATACTTATACACTTACAGGCTCACAAGGCTTTTCCTCCAGATTTTCTCTCCAAAAGCTGCGGCTCCAAGAATGTCAACCCCAAGACACCAAGTCCTTCAATCTGTAGTTTTACGCGTTGCAAGGATGCATGAACTGGTTCTGCCACTAACATTCATATCCGCGTCCGACTTCGGACTACCTGTACGTGTGCGTTGCAATCGCTGTCGGTCCTATTTTGCTTTTTGCTTTCGTCAGCATCCCTATATTTCTGAAGGATCAGGAACCCCACCCGCACACCTTTACTTACAAGCCTAAAGTCCTAAACCCTGCACACCAAACCCAAAGGCTCCATGTACCCTTATAGTAGACACTTCGGCCTTTAAGTAGTCCCTATATAGGTACTTTAAGGCCTAAGTATATACTTTATGGGCACATGGAGCCTTAGGGGACATTAGATCCCAAAGTAGGTACTATTTGTATACTTGGAGCCTTAGGGAAAGTGCCTCCAAAAGAAGCCGCAAGCAGTCGCAATTGCCGTTGATTGCAGCCACCTTTCAGCCGCAGGGTTGCCAGGCTCAGAGCTGCACTGTAAAGGGAGCTAAAAGGGTTCCTTTAAGGGGATCTATAGGGTTTACTGTTGATCCTAGGGTTCCTTTAAAGGGAT